GACGAACCGTCCCCAACAGACTATCCAGGCTCGCCATCTTTTTCCCCCGTCTTCTTGCTCGAATCACATCCGTGGCAGGTCGCGCTCTACGAACATCTCGCGCATCTATTTGCGGACCTCCGACCACCACTTGTGTCACTCTTTCTTCTCAATGGGCTGCATTCGAATGGGGCATGGTCATCACCGGCACGTCAACATCTCACCACACCATCTCACCCTGGCCCGGGATCTCGTTCTGCCTAGCCAACACGACGCAGCAGGCGCAGAGGCATTTCGCGCGTTGGCGAAAGTCATGCGCGGGAACGGCAACCGCCTTGCGATCATGCAGCTGAATCATGCCGGCCGCCAGTCTCCGAACGTCTGGGTGGCAGACACCGTTTGCTCCCCCCTTAGGACCGAGCTCCATCCGTTTCGGATCTGAGCACCCTGCCACCACCGACTCCCAACGGATGCCGACAAAGGGAATGCTGGCTAGTTTAATAAACTGCTGATGTTCCAGTTCCCACGGAGATGTCGCTGGATGATATTGACAAGGTTGTGGATGAATTCGTCCGGGGTGCGAAACTTGCAGTGGATACCGGATTTGATGGTGTCGAACTTCACGCTGCTCACGGTTGTGAGTAGAGCACCCGATGACAATTATACGATTCTCTGAATGCAACGGTCGCAGACTTGCTCGCTCAATTCATGTCTTCCAAGGTGTGCAGCGGTGTCATTGGAAGTGGCAACTATCTTATACGACACGTAGTCGAACCAGCGAACAGATATTACTCAGCTCAAGGACTCAAACTGCTTCATCGGATAGCCGACGGGATTCGCATGAGCGTACCCTCCGATTTCGTGCTCGGGATCAAGATCAATTCTGCCGATTATTCGAGCAATGAAACCACTCTTGTGTTCGAGCACTTTCGCACCATCGCAAGCTGGGGATTGTTCGATTTCATTGAAATCAGTGGTGGTGATTATGAGAACCCAGGTCCGCTCTATTTACATATCATCGTCATCTCTCTCAGTGCAGCCCAAGGACAGACTTTATCACCTCACGTCTATCGTCGCGGCAGGCCACATTTGCGACGTTCTCGCAATCCGCAATGCAAATCGTGGAAGGTCTACCCAAACCTCCGCTGATTCTGCTGACTGGTGGACTGAACTCGCCGAATCTCCTCCACTCTGTCCTGTCCTCACATCACGCACATCTACTCGGAATAGGCCGCAGCGCAGTTCTCCGACCAGACATCCCCGAGATCCTGCGGGCGTGCTCTGACTGGCAGTCCAATGAACTGTTCGCACGGGACCCCGATCTCCAGGCGGGGACACTCCGTCGCGTCTTCGATCTCCTCCCACCCATCAAGCTTATCGGAGCTGGTGTAAAGATGGCATGGTATACCATTGGCATGCGACGGCTTGTTGGTCTTCTTCAGGAGTCGAAATGTAGACTGCGCGGTTTTCCACCTGTGGACTATTCTGCAGGAGCATTACGATCCGTCATTGTCATGTGGGCCTGGTTTCAACCCGAGCTCGACGTTATCGCCCCCAACATCCATCGCTTTTGGCTTCGCGTCATCGCTATGATAGCAATCGGAATCATGCTTGCCGCCGCGGTGTCATTACCGAGGTATTTAGCCTCTTGCAGTGCATGCTCCCGCTTCACGACCACTTCAGCTTTTTGACATCATGAACACACCAATCTCGATTTCTATGGTCAACATGATCCTCGCAAGAGCTGATAAAAACCCTGCAGACCACCCGGCCTCTATCATCATTCCACCCCAACACCTTCCTTTTCCTCGAAATGCTCTCTGTCCGCTCGTTAATCGCCGCCTGTCTTTTTCTCCGTACTTTTGCTGCCCCCACTCCCGAGCCCTGGAAGAACGCCCCAACCAAATGCGACCTGACTGCGGTGGAGATGAATCTTCCGGCGAATCAAACTGCGCTCTTGGCACCCATGAGGCCTCCCCACTTCGTTGCTCTTGGTCTGGGTTTCCAGAATTACACCTGCAATCCTTCCACCTCGGCGTACAGGTGAGTTTCTTGTGGTCGCCGCAGAGCCTCTCGCTGAACCGGTCAGTTCTATCGGTGCGGTCGCATTACTGTTCGACATTTCATGCATGGATAAAGCGCCCGCCTCCACGAGTATCCAACAGTCCGCTTTTGATGCCTGGAGCCGCGCAGCACCAACGATCACGTTGCAAGCCGTCCTAGCTTCGGTTGGGACCAATGCCCTGCTCGGGGTCAGTTTCTGCCATATCAAGACTTGCTGCAGAACAAACGCTGATTTTCTCGCAGTCACACTACTTCGTACCCTCCCCCACCGGCACCGGCATCTCACCTGAGTGGGACTTTTCCGTCCCGTCGCACAACACATCTGCCATCGTGATCGGAACCAAAGTTGGAGACATCCCCGCCCCGAACAATTCGACGGCAAATGTCGATTGGCTCGCTGTGAACGGTGTACAAGGCTCGCTCGCGTCCCAGGTTTTCCGGATCGATACAGTTGGTGGACAACCTCCCACTTCCGTAAGTTCTCGAATCCTGCTTCACTTTTGAGTATTGCTGACCGATTGATGTTCCTAGTGTGCTGCTGGTTCAGCCAACATCTCCGTCAAGTACACGGCAAAGTACTTTCTGTATTGAGAGTAACATCAGGGCATATTATCTTAATAGTGTCATCTAATCTCTCCATTTAATCTGCTTCTCAAAACCTTCTACAACTTGCTTCGACCTTTCCCGCTATCTGCTTCGTCCCAATTTGGATCGCATTCTAGAATCGCTTCGGCTCAGCAAACACATGGCCTACATCCCGATCTCTCGAACGACCCATTGAGTAACGTTGGATTAAGCATACCGGGCAGAAACATGTCTAGGCCTGTGGCAGATCCGTGACGCCTAGGGCAGGACGGGCACGGAGTTCGGTCTAGAGGAGCTGCGTCGTCATCAGGTTAGCGACTTGCTGCACGCAAGGTGCCCAGATCATTGTCGTGATGTTGCAGAGGTGCGACGGGCACTTTATACGATGCCGCCCACATTCGGGAGATGGCGGTGGGGGATGGCGATGGCGAGGTGGATAAACAGACGTGGCTACTTCAACTGCCTAATTTCGTCAGTCAAGTGAACTGATTCAGCATGAAAGGTCAGACCTGCGGATAGGGATGGGGGAGCAGCACTCGGAGCACTGTGCTGAGTAGGGAGTTTTCAGCAGGCCCAAATAGCTCCTCATCGTTATGTGAATAGTTGCATCAAGCCTGCGTATTGAAGGTTCTGCGTCGGAATTCTAGACAGTCCGATAAGGTCAACGTCGCGCATTTGAGGTCCAAACTATCTAGCATCAGTTCGTTCGAACGGTATTACTCCAAGGGGCACAATTTTGCTGCGGCCTCAAACACCGTTAACGCTTTTTGAATGGGGTCAGGATAATTTTCTGCTTGTTTCTCAACTTCAGCACATATTGACGGAGGAGAGCCTCACATCACGCCAGAATGTGATCAGTCGCCAGACCGAGTCCATCACGTGTCGCCCGACGGTGGTGGGTCAACAATGGGTCAATACGGTTTGATAGCGTTGACCAAAGGATTCTGACTCCTTGAGCCAATCACGCTCTCTTGCAGACGGACCACCCTGAAAACACTGGTCAAGGCTCCTAATTTCTTCCCCCGCGCCTGCTTGGTCGAATCACATCTGTGACAGGTCGCCCGCTACGATCCTCTCCCACATCTCTTCGGCGGAGCTCCGAATCGCCACCACTTGTCTCTTTACTCTCGATGGGCTGCATTCGAATGGGGCATGGTCGTGACCGGCGACTTCAGTATATCATCACGCCATTTCACCCTGGCTGGGGATCTCGTCCTCCGTAACCGACCAGACACAGCGGGCGCAGAGGCATTTCGTGTGTTGGCAAGACTCATGCGCGGGAACTGCACCCGCCTTACGATCATGCAGCTGAATCATACCGGACGCCAGTATCTGAACGTCCTGGGTGGCAGGAGACCGTCCGAGTTCTCCGACCGGACATCACTGAGATACTGCGAGCATGCTCTGATTGGCAGTCTAATGAACCGCTCACACGGGATTACGAACTCTAGGCGGGGACGCTCCGTTGTGTCTTTGATCTCTTCCCTCCCATCCAGCTTATCGGAGCCTGCGTAAAGATGGCAGGGTATGCGATTGGCACGCGCCGGTTTGCTGGCCCTCTTCCGGAGCTACGATGTGGACCACACGATTTTCTGCCTGCAGTCTATTCTGCAGGAGAATTGCGGTCCGTCATTGTCATGTGGGCATGATCCGAACCCGAATTCGACTTTCTCGGCCTCGATTTCCATCGTTTTTGCCCTCGAATCATTGATATGATAGCCAATGGAATTATCCTTGCCGCCGCGGTGTCATTACCGAAGTATTTGGCCTCTTGCAGATCTTGCTCCCGCTTCACGGAAACTTCAGCTTCTTGACATCATCCACACACCAATCTTGATTCCTGTGGTCAGAATGAGTCTCGCAAGAACTGATAAAACCCTGCGGACTACCCGGCCTCTATCATAATTCCAGCGTCAACACCTTCCTTTCCTGCACCTTCCTTTCCTCGACATGTTCTCCGTCCGCTCGTTACTCATAGCCTCTTTCGTTCTCCCTACTTTTTCTGCTCCTACTTCCGAGCCCTGGAAGAGCGGCCAAATCAATTGCGACCTGACTGCAGCGGAGATGGATCTTCCAACAAATCAAACTTCGCTCGTAGCACCTATGACGTCCCCTCTCTACGTGACCCTCGGCGTCGGTTTCCAGAATTATACCTGCGATCCTTCTACCTTGACCTACAGGTGACTTTCTAGCGGTCGCTGTAGAGCTTATTGCTGACCCACCCAGCTATCTTGGTGCGGTTGCATTGATTTTCGACATCTCATGCGTGGACAAAACACCTGCATTTGCGACTATCCAGCAGACCGCTTTTGATATCTGGAGCGGCGCGACATCAGCGATGACTCTGAGCCCCGTTCTAGCCGCGACTAGGACCAATGCACTACTTGGGGTCAGTTTTTGCCGTGTTAAGACTTGAGAAACCGACATGACCTTGCCTGCAGTCTTACTACTTCGTTCACTCACCCACCGGCACCGGCATCTCACCCGAGTGGGACTTTTCCATCCCGCAACACAACGCATCTGCCATCGTTATCGGAACCAAAGTTGGAGACATCCCTGCCCCAAACAACCCGGCGGCAAATCTCGATTGGGTCGCCGTGAACGGTGTACAAGGCTCGCTCGCATCCAAGATTTTCCGGATCGATACAGTTGGCGGACAACCTCCCACCTCTGTGAGCTCTTGAACGCTGCTTCACGTTTGAGTATTGCTGATTGAGGCTCACAGTGTGCTGCTGGTTCAGCGAATATCTCAGTCAAATACACGGCGAAGTACTTCCTGTACTGAAAGTAACATCACATCCTGATAGCATCTAATCTCTTGACCTGATATATTTACAATCAATTACCACTTGCTTTGACCTTTCACGATCACTGCTTCGTCCCAAACCCGTTGGACCGCAATCCAGTATTGCTTCGGGTCAGCAAACGCATGGCTAACATAGCGATTGCCTTTGGATCCCTCTCCTGACACATTGAGCCCGCGCTCCCTCACCTCTTGCACGTAGCTCGTAGACATCGCGTCCGTCTTTGAAAAGCCATACAACCACGGCGTCGCGCGTTCCGTCCACAGAAATAAAGTCGGATCCAGCCCGCCGGGAAACGTCACCACTTATCTCTTTGTTATCGGTGCAATCAGCGGCGCTGGTTATGAGACCACAGTTTTGACACTCTTTCCTCATCAGGGCCATCTCTCTTTCAATGTAACCCAAGCGCAGGCATTGTCACCTCACGTCCATCGTCGCGGCATGCCACGTTCTCCATGTTCCCCCAATCTACGATGAATCACGGAAGGTCTCCTCAACCCTCTGGTGATTCTACGTACGGGCGGACTGAACTCCACGAGTCTCCTCCACTCCGTCCTATCTTCACACCACCTCCATCTACTGTGAATAGGCCGCAGCGCAGTTCTACGACCAGACATCCGCAAGATTCTTCTACGTCCATGTCCTGATTGGCAGTCCCCTGATCTCCAGACGTGGCCGCTCTATCACTTGTTCAATCTCTTCCCGCTCGTCAAAACGCTCATCAAACTCTCCGGAGCCGGTGAAAAGATGCCAGTTGTACGATTGGCATGCGACGGCTTGTTGGCGCTCTTCGGCGGCCACGATGTGGGCTATACAGTTTTCCGCCTTTAGACCATTCTGCAGGATGTTTAGACGGTTTAGCCTCTGTCATTCGCGTGTGGGCCTGGGGCTGGTTCGAACCCAAACTCGACATCTCTTGCCTCGGCCTTTCTTACTTTTAGCCTCACGTCATTGCTCTGATAGTCATCCTACACTTCCGCTTCACAGCAACTCAGCTTGTTGACATCGCTGGCAGATCAATCTCGATTCCGGTGTCCCAAATGAGTCTCGCGAAATCTTATAAAACCCTACAGACTACCAGGCCGCTATCTTCATCCCTGTCTCGACATCTGTCCTCTCAGACCAATGTACCCAGTTCTCTCGCTACTTGCAGCCTCTCTTGTCCTCCCGGCTTTTGGCGCTCCCAGCCTCGAGCCCTGGAAGAGCCGCCAAAGCAAATGCGACCTGGCCGCAGCGGTAATGGATCTCCCAAAAAACCAGACCGCCCTGGTAGCGCCCACGACGGCTCCTCTCTACGTTACCTTGGGTGTGGGTTTCCAAAATTACACCTGCAACCCTTCTACGTCGACCTACAGGTAACTTTCCTGCCCTCACTTCAGAGCCTGTTGTTGAACTCTCCAGCTCTATCGGCGCGGTTGCATCGCTGTTTGACATCGCATGCATGGACAAAACACCCGCATTCGCGACCATCCAGCAAACCGCTTTCGATAGCTGGAGCCGCGCGGCGCCGGCGATTGAGGCGAGCGACATTGGCGCCGAGATTGGCACTGGTGCACTGCTCGGGGTCAGTTTGTGATGCGTCGAGATCTTTGGATAAACCAGCTAACTCTACCTCTAGTCGCACTACTTCGTGCGCTCACCCACCGGCACCGGCATCTCCCCCGAGTGGGACTTCTCCGTCCCGCAACACAACCCATCTGCCATCGTAATCGGGGCCAAAGTTGGAGACATCCTTGCTCCGAGCAACGCGGCAACAAATGTCGATTGGCTCGCTCTGAATGGTGTACAAGGCTCGCTCGCGTCCAAGATTTTCCGGATTGACACAGTTGGTGGTCAACCTCCCACTTCCGTGAGCTTTCATAGGCTTCTCCAGACTTGAATATCATCAATTAACGTGTTGATATTCCTAGTGCACTCCTGGTTCAGCCAACATCTCGGTCAGGTACACGGCGAAGTACTTCCTATACTGAGAGGCATCCCATGTTGATAGAATCTAATCTCCTGATCTGATTTATCTACAACCAATCACAACTTGCTTTGACCTTTCACGATCACTGCTTCGTCCCAAACCCGTTGGACCGCACTCCAGTATCGCTTCGGGTCAGCAAACGCATGGCCAACATGCCGACTGCCATTGAATTCCTCCACCGACACATTGAGCCCGCGCTCCCTCGCCTCTTGCACGTGGGCTCGCACGCCCGGCACCAAGGACATGGCGTCGGTATCCGAAAAGACATACAGCCGCGGTGTCGCACGTTCCGTCCACGGAAATAAAGTCGGATTGAGCACCCCGGGCAGAACCACGTCCTGCGGAAGTTCTGCCAGACCTAGGGCAGCGCGAGCGCACAAATCAGTCCAGAGGAGCTGCGCCGTCATGAAAACGGCGGCTTTCTGAACGCCGGGTGGGTAGGTCATCGTCATGGCGTTGCGGAGGTCAGAGCCGTGGTATGTGCTTGGTCCTGAATCGAAGACGAAGGCGACGGGCACTTGATGTGAGGGCGGGACATTTGGGAGATGATGTCGGCGGATGGCGATGGCGAGGTGGAGAAGCTGGGCTACTCCACCTGTTCAATCCCGTCAGTCAAGTGAACCAGTTCAGGATGAAAGGTTTGACCTCCGGACATGGCGTGGAATAAGATGGGTGGGGGAGCAGCACTCAGAACACCGAGCTGAGTCAAGATTTCGACAGCGGGCGCAAGCCGTTCAGCCTGTCTAACCATTGTGAACATCAATCTGTGCCGAACACATTCTCGTACGCACGTTGAAAGCTGTACCACCAATGAGAGCCTTGTAGTCAGACTGGATGACAATCTGCGTCGCGCTCGGATAAAGGGACGCGTATTTCGACGTGTAATACTTGAGATGTGATGCTTTGGCATCCACTGGGAGCGCGAAAGAGCATTACAACAAGGCTGACACAGACAGGAGCCAGCTTACACCATGGGAGCAGGACGATGACCCTAATGCCTGTCAGGGCACAGTTTCAGATCCGTCAGATACATTCTCACTGGGGATGCGAGGTATTCCTTGCGTCAGAGGTATTCCCCGCTTTCGGGGGAATAGAGAAGACGAGCGGAGTGGAAGACATCTGCAAGATGTAACAGAGGACCCAAGAATCAAGATGCTGGCAGCACGAAAATCGCACTGCCACTGAGATTCCTGTCACTACGTTATGCGTGATACTCGCAGTAAGGCTCGTAAGGCTCGAGGTCCGCTGAACAAGACGCGCGAAGATGCTGACGTAGATTGTGCTCAATCTCTTGCTGGTCCGGCGATCGCTGAGGTGAGCAATAGACCGCCAGTCCAATGGTCTGAGTTACAGATGAGTCATTAATGATGACCAACCCAAGTGCCTTCAATGCCACTCAAGCGGACTGGTCCTCCGGCGCGGCTGCCTTCCGCGTATTGTCTCCTTCAGTTGACCTTTTTGAAGGGAATTGACATCGCTGGAAAGAGCGGATGTCACTCAGCACCTTGATGGCCCGGGCTCGGTAGCATTAGTAAACAAACCGAGGTGTCTGCACGCCTAAGAAGGCTTCAGAAGTTCTTCCTAAAACGCACAGGGAGGCAGAGTACCATGAGACGAGCATGTGCGTTGACACTCATGAGCGCATCAGTCATATCACCATCGACGCTGTCCCAGATATCTATGACATAGTCAATCTTCTAGATGAAATGATAGTAGATACAGGAGGAGAGACACTTGTTCATCCCTCCTACATCGTTCTACCCAGTCCTGACGTCCGTCATATTGCAGTTGAACGGGACGCCAGCATTTCTGAGCGAACAGAACCTTGCGGTCTGCAACAGCGGGGACGTTAACCTCCAGGCGGTCGTGCTTTGCGAGCTGTACGATTAGAGACCCCCGATATAGCGGAAGTTGTATTGACCCTACACAGTACGTTAGTATAATCGAAATCAGACTGGATTGTACATGCCGGCTTGCCCTGGGAGCATGCCCTCCGGACGCAAAATGCACTCTGGCCTAGGACGGACGACCGCGTTAGGCTTGGAGATTCAGCAACTCGATCGTCCGATTCACCAGCCATCACTGCTGGTGAGCTTTACACTGCCATGCGATGTTCGGGAGTGGTCCATTGATCGACGTGTCTTGCGTCAACTCTGGGACGATATTACAAAGTGGTCTTGGTGTTGGGATAGTCACTTGCGGATCAATCGCTTGGTACAGAACAAGGAATGAGAAGAAACACACGGGATGCGTAGCCGCCAAATTATGTGCTTCGCTAGATTTGCAGACGTGTTTATAACACCGATGCCAATGCCGGTCATCTATCCAGCTGACTTCAGATCGACTTTCCTATGACAGAGTTGACAGTTATGCTCACCTACAGTATATGCGAGCTTTTCGGGCGGCCAGTCAAGCTCAAGATCGGGGCAAACTCGCACACTTGAAACATAAGATGGCGGATCCACTGCGCAGATCTTGTAGCCCTTGCATGGATCGAAAGAGAGCAGTAGTCTTAACCAGAAATTTGCTATTGAGTGGATCCAGCTCGATAGTCCTTGATGTTTCTTCGAGATTGATGAATTTTACGAGCCACAGGATTACTCGTCATGCTAGAGAGGTCACTTGAATGATGTATGCCGATTTTCAGGGTCCGACCTTGGGTGAGTGTCAGCAAAAGCAATAACATGTCTGTAAAGATATCACGTGGGATGGTATAAGCTGAGAAGTTGATGCGCCCGCGCCCATTGCCCCAACCTTGCAGTCAACACAAGGATGTTCGACAGCCCATTCCGGGCCAACGACAACTCGCATTTAGCATCACTCTGATCTCCATACGTATCATATGTTGATCTATACTTGTCATTCCTAACCGAAATGCGCGGCGAACTTGAAAGCTTCGAAGCTAGGCCTCATAGAACATGCTGCCTGGCAATGTCTTCATCGGAAGTGGCAGCAGGATCCAGTCATGCCGGGCGGAGTGAATCGCTGGCCGTGCCATAAATATACTGACAATTATAGGCAAAGATTGCACATGGACACTATGGACGAAATATACTAATTATGCAGAAGGTATCATCATTTCATGGGGGCAGGGATTCGGCTGCCTTCCCATCCACCACGGAACGCCGCCAGACCAGATATGAGTGATAACGCGCTCGTCAGCAACTGAAGATCGATTAGCCGTCGTAGTTCATGGAAACGCGTGAACAACTGACCTCGTTACTATATACGCCTCCGACCACGGACCTGTTCCAAAATGAGCGGGAAAGGCCGCATCCAGACGCGCGGAAAACGCACCAATGCAAGATGACCGGCAGACGCGACACATTTGCCAAGAGGTGATGCGCAAGAACGTATCGCTTCTGCTTGTTGACCACTCGTGCCGCCTGAGCTTTTTCGTCATCGCCCAGAGAGATCTGTTCCTGTTGATTCGACAGTTCGCGCCACTGGTGAAGCTGCTCGACGATCTTCAAGAGCACATACACGCCCCATGCGCGTACACTCCACAGCCCCGCCTTTCCTGCCAGAGATGGCGAGATACGCAAGACCGGTGCAAAGGGGGCAGAAAAGAATGAGATGTATTCGAGGGGATAGAACACGATCATTGACAGTCCTTGCAGACGGGCAAGGTTAAGCGCAAGGCGGGACGCCGGAGGGGAGCGTTCGAGAGAGGAGAGGCCTTTCAGTATTCCGAGCAATCCTAGTGAAAGACGCGTCAGAAGAGGAAAGACAGAGACGAACTGGTAGCCACGCACCCCAAAAGCCCATAATCCGCCGCGCAATGCTAATCTGACCCGCGAATTTGAGCAGTCCCTCACTCGTTAATGAAGCAGGTTGCGCTCGTTTCTTCGCGTTGAATTGCAAGAGGGCACGGTACACGAGAGCAGGAGCGATTAGGCGGGCCGCGTATTGTGTCGACTGAGCGCGGCAGTGAGTTCGACACAGGATATGTTTCGAGCGAGCAACGACGCCGACGAACCATCATGAGTTTACTGTGAAAGCGAGTTCTGCTCAGAACGACGACCACCCGCGGGAAAGAATGCCGACTCACTCCGTACCCGACCAAGTCGACAAGAATCGCAGAGTGTGGTCCAGCGTTTGCGACGGTGGTGTACTGGCACCGACGAAGCCGAGTACGAAGTCATCCAGGCCGGGGGCCCGCCCCAGGCGGGAAGTGTTGGTGGATTTCTCGTAGCTCATGGTGGCGGAGAACAAGGTACTGTTCGTTACAGGTTATGTGGCAGCGATCGTTTCTCCTAAATTGCTGATACAGATTGTTATGACAGCGGCCTCAGATCAGACAAGACATTCGGATGTGTAGATTGGTGAATGGAATCTTGTCGTACTAATGAAGACGAGACACGGTTGTGGTGCTGATTGGGCTATTCGGACCGTGAGTTGGCACAGTATACGGCACGACCCCGTGACCGACCGGCGCGCCAGCATCCGCGACGCGTGCAAGACTTGTTGGTATGCGAATTCGGTTCTACTACCCATGGTTTAGACTTGCTCAGAACGAGGTGCACCTTTTGCCTTCTACGAGCCTGGTTTACAGAGGGTCTAACAAGAGAACAATCGGATGAACGGAGTGAAAAAACTGAGTCAGATACATATACCAAGTTTCGATCGTAAGGACCATTTGACCGAGTGGTTAAGGTGATCGCCTGCTATTCGAGTGATAGTCCAGCGGTTGGGGTTTCCCCGCGTGTGTTCGAATCGCACAGTGGTCGTAACTTTTTCATTTGTCAGCCAGGCTGATCACCACTGTCCGCTCAACTGCAGCAACTACCTTGATTGCAGGATATGACCTCATACATGGCTTGTGCTACGTTAACATCTTCAAGTCTGATGCCTTCACATTCTCTGATTCAGCTAGCATATCCGTCGGCGTGGAAACCTCTTCCAGCTCATCTTCCTCGTGATGTTTGACCAAGGGACGCATCTCTTCACTCTGTTTTTCCACATCGCCAACCGCCCTGCTCGGTGATGGAGGCGGATGCGACTGGATCCATGTATAAAATATTGTCCCGCCAGTGATGAGTGAAATGGCCGTGAACCGGTAGATGTTCATAACGTCGCCGAAGAAGAATACACCCAGAACGATCTGGATCACACTCTTGGCAGCCTTCAACGCCATCAGCTTCAGCAGCGCATTCAAGAGAAGAGACTCACCGCAGAGAACATATGCGAGATCGGGCTTGTGACTTTGATGGACACCACGCTCGCGATCCCCAGCATGAAGCCAAACACCCCCGTCACCGCACTCCCCACAACGAATGTGATCAACCAGTCCTGCTCCGGCGAGATCCACCTGGTGTGCAATTTGCCGAGCTCACCATTCAATACCACCAGCGGCGCGACCATGACACTCATGAGCAGGTTGCCCCAGTACGAGATAGCCAGCGCCGAGCTGTTCACGTTCGATGTCGCGACTTTGCTCAGCACGGCATGCACAGAGAGGACCATGCAGGAGATGACACCGTACACCAGCGCTTTGATGGGCTCGCGCGCCACTCCAGATGTCGAGCCTGGAAGAAACGAGGGTGCGACTCCGATGAAGAACCCGAGAGAAACGATCCCGGCAGCGCACAGGACGACTGGCTTGGGCATCGTTTTCGTGCACAGGGAGGCGACAAGAATAGTGAAAGGCAGAAGAAGGCCTCGCGCGATCTGCAGCACGTCAGCGAGATTAAGCATGTATGCTCGGTTTCAGAGCGAGGTACAGACCTGGAAGAACGAAGCATCGACGTTCGCCAGACACAGAGTGTTGAACACGAGCCCGATGAATCCGACGACGAGAAAAGGTAGCAATTTCGTCGCGGTGGTCCTATCCAGCGTCGGAAGCTCCACTTCTCGAGAAAACAAACCCGTTCTGGAAATTAGCGCTATGAAGCGCAAGAGCAGGACCGCAATGACGAGTTGTATGAAAAGGAAGGTGAAAGGAAGGTCTGGCGTCTTATTGAGAACAGCCTTGTTCACGAGAACCATCTAGACGCGAGTGAGACATTCGGAGTGCGATGTGGATGAAAAAGCGCACCACCAATGCGGCGACGATGTAGAAAGTCACCGCCCCCGCCACCTTGACCTGTGAAGGGCGAGGCTCTTCAAAGTGCGTGATGGCCATGGCAGAACGAAAGAGAACAAGTTTAGGAGAGCGCAGCGAATCCGAGACATTTCGTGAAGCGGAAGTACGAAGAAGGCGAGTGCGGGGTTTGCCCCTGTCGATCCAATCCGGAAAGGTACGATTTCCCGTCATCGCGTCGTGCCTGTATCGGGAATGTACACTGGCATACAGAATTATAACGGAGGAATATTCTAGGTCTATCATTACGATACGGCCGTTGTTCACCAGAATCGTGTATTCTCGGAACGTAGATCTGGGTTACGCATTCGTAGCATAACCACATTCGAAGTCAGACTGGAAAACTACAATGACTGGGGCATCAGAAGACGCAGTGGACTAGGCATAATAGACTCACCCCATTACCAATGAATTGCTCTGAACGCTGTCCCACATACATGTCCAGCGCCTCCGATACATATTTTCCTTCCCAAGACAAATCGAGCTCCCGGCTATGACTGATCCCGTGCTTCCAATGTCTCAAAGAACGCAGCGCGTCGATAAGCTCGCCGAGCCACGGCTCATGCGCGTTGGTCATAATATAGATCTGTTTGATGTGGGGACTGGCAACAGCCTGGACCTTTTCAACGATTGCGGAAATTGAGGGCAGGCAGTGTCGCATTGCAATATCGATTTGCGTCGAATGAGAATCGTTGCTCGCAAAGACATATTTGTCTATGAGCTCGGGAAAACGATTGAAACCGGTGAAAGAGCCCCCCTGGCTTGTGAATTCTGTACAGAATTCTTCATAATCCCCTCGTCTCACATGCAAGGTGAGCAGGCCCTTCAGTGGCGTGGTTGGCGACTGGGCGAGCGAAAGTTTCTTCGTGCGGTGGGAGGTGAAATGCCGGATGTTCTTGTAGAACTCCTCCATTATAAGCGGAGACCAGCCGAAATCGGCGAGAATGGGAGAAGCCGACAGCGAGGGAAAGACGTCCAGTACGCGCTCCGTGTTAGTTATTCTGCATACAATTAGTCGCGGAGACATGCGCGCCGCGAGATGACATACCGGTAACTGAAAAGCGCCGGGCTTAGGGTCGATATCTCGATGCACCTCGCTCCAAGGTAGTTCAATTCCGTGACCCATTTCTCCACGATGTCAGACACCGTCGCTTCAGGGCTTAGCGTTGCTTGCACTTTGCGCGTATCCAAGCTCGTTATCTCCTCTGGCGGGCAGACTTCGAGGAAGTATTCACGAGAGACTGCTCGCGGGATGTCTGACTGTGACATCGGGCCCCCGATCATTGGCCCTACGATTGCCAGTGAGCCAATGACTCGAGGATCACCTTGGGATTCACACCTGAGATGAGGGCAGAAAGCGGTATGCGAGCAGGCGTTGGCTTCTTGTGGTAGTTTCCGATGTCGGGACCAGCTTTATCCCAGGTGTAATTGTCGAATACGTAGCTGGAACCCGTGAGCTGGTAATCTGGTATTCTGCAAATCACTCACGAGCGACCGGATGCATAAGCAAGATACGCATTCAGCACCATCTCCTGCATGTAATTTCCCCATCCGAAGTCTGCGTCAAAGCCACAGTCAACACCGCGTTATGCAGTCGACAGCATTACACACGTTCGCCGTGGTTAGCAGCCCATAAGAACTTTGCGTGCGCGCCGTCGGGAAAAGGCAGCGACATGTTATGCTGTGGTAAACGTCTTTCTTGCTCCATCCACGGTCGATACAGCGGGACGACGCTCGAATGCTCGTGTTCGTGTGGTACGACGATGTCGGCATCCTCGTTCTTCGAACCATACGACCGCCATGCAAAAACCGCGAAAGCCACCACAAGCAGCAGAGCGACCGAGCCGAAAAGAATAAGCGCGCGACGCGACAATCGGGTCTTTTGCCGACGAAATCTCCGGGGTCTGAAAGCTACGACGGGACCTTCTTCCGGAATGGTCTCGAGGGTGTCGGTGCCGTTAGTGGGGAGAAGGACATAATTGTCGCCGGCTTGGCGCTGGAGCCATCTTGAGAACCATGAACTCATGGGAGAAGCGCAAATGTAGAGGCTAGTGCTAGTGAGCGCGCTAGTAAGCTATGACGTCGTAGAGCAAGACATGACTCTGAGCGGGCACAGGCGGTCTTGAGATCACACGGACAAACAGACTTCCCGGACGGTTGGGATGCCTGGACTGCTAGAACACCTTCGAGACGATGCAGCGGAAAGTACCACTCGAGTGCCACGGTTTCTGTATCCTTGGAGTTGCGAAATGGCCCGCGCACTTCCGGAAAGGCCGACTTCAACGTTGACGTATTCAAGTACTACAGACCACAATCTCTGTTCGAGGCTCTCTGACACAGTTGAAATTCGGCCAGCTTCAAAGAGGGGTTTATGGAAATTCATAATATCTCTCCATACTTGTACATGGGCCACGCTCGAGAAGAACCCACGTCGATCTTGTTATCCTTTTCAGATGCAAAGCTAGCGCGACAGTATTCCACGAGGTTCCTATGGGCTAGACGTTCCTTTTGGAGGGTGCCGGTCATGGTTCGTGGGAGGCTGCAGTTCAAGGCAGTGCATGTATCAAGACTCTCTATACATCGATCGGCCGAAAATATGCGATCGTCTTTGTTGGGCGGCAAGATCCGCCACTAAGTTCGAGAAGCCGCGCGACAAAGTCGGACAGGCATGCCCACGAACACTCGAAGATGCTTGCTGCGCCAGATGGATGCCGCCGAGCACGCTTCTTCTCCCTGGGCTTGAATTAGAAAACCAGGTGAAAGAAGGATGGGATCCAGTTCGAGTGGGGATGACTTGGTCTGCAGGAGGCTCACGGCTGTCATCATTGATGGCTGCCTCTCTCTCCTGAGAATATTGGACACAGGAGTTTGTGTGTCCAGCCGGAGCAGGAACGCACGGGCAACGAAGCGCTTGTCACTGGGCAATATGCAATCTTCTTTTTCGGGGTTCGCTGATCGATCGGATAGCAGGTGCGGGGCTCCGCCTTGCCAAGAGGGTCACATTCCTCCCCCAGTGCCTCTCGAGTTTCAAGTTTCATCGTCTTTCGACCACCCTATTGATTGCTTCCGTTTACTTGGGGCTAAACCGATTGGCCGCCAGTGATTATGCTTAATATAAGAAGAGGATCCGCTCGTCTCCCCTCTCTTCATTCCTTTCGTTCGCGCAGGACCTCAGTTTCGGCATGACCACCAGCGAGAGCAAGAAACTGAACATCGTCATCGTCGGCGCCGGGCTCATCGGTCCACGGCACGCACAGTCGGTCGCCGCCTGTGCCAATGCACGTCTTCATTCTCTCGTCGAGCCGTCTCCCAAGGGCCCCGAGATCGCAGCATCGCTCAACACAACGCACTTCAAATCCATCGAAGACCTGATCCTCTCCAAGCCGCTCCCCGATGCCGCCATCGTCTGCACGCCGAACCGCACACATGTCAGCCTCTCCAAGCAGCTCATCGCCGCCGGCATCCACGTCCTCGTCGAGAAACCCATCTCGACTACCATCGCCGAGGGCGAGGAGCTGATCCAAGCCGCCGCCGCCGCCAACGTGAAGCTGCTCGTCGGGCACCATCGCAGGTTCAACCCGTATCTGTTGTCGGCAAAGAAGGCCCTGGACGCGAACAAGATAGGGAGCATCGTGGCCGTGCAGGGCATCTGGGCGACGAAGAAGCCGCTGCCGTATTTCGACGGGCTCGGCGAGTGGCGGCGGAACGGCGAGAGCGGCGGCGTCATCCTCATCAACCTCATCCACGAACTCGATCTCCTCCAGTATCTCATGGGGCCGATCACCTACGTGTCGGCGCTCCCGGCGCCGAAGCAGCGCGATTTCGACGCTGAGGAGGGTGCCGCGATCTTGCTCCGGTTCCGCAGCGGAGCGGTAGGCACGTTCGTGCTCAGTGACAACGCGCCGTCGCCATGGAACTTCGAGGCGGAGACAGGCGAAAATCCGATGATTCCGAAGGTGCAGAAGGAAGCTGCAGCCGGCGGGTTTTACCGGATCTTGGGGTCTGAAGGTAGCCTGAGCGTCGGGGACATGATCATCTGGAAGTACCAGGACGCGGATGGAGACTGGACCAAGCAACTGGTCCAGGAGCACCTCGATGTCCAGACGGAGAATATCCCCTTCGATCTGCAGGTCCAACATCTCGTAGACGTCGTCTCCAACGGCGCCGCCCCGAGCTGCACAGGCCAGGACGGGCTCAGCGCTATGATCGTTTGCGATGCGATCAAGCGGGCCATGGTATCGGGGACGGGCATTGAGATTTCATAGAAGGAATAATTTCCGTCATGTAGAAATTTGTAAAATAAATTACACTGTTAACTATTCTTCGTCGTCCTCGCCGTCCCCGTCATACTGAGTGAATCCAAGTTCCTTGACGCTGGACACAGCTACGAGCAATGGGTGATTGGAATCAAAAGCGGCGAGCATCTTGGCCATGTCCTCCAGAGCAAAGTCCTCGATTTCCTCGAGTAGGGCAATGTCTTCCCTGTCCTCCTCGAGATCTGCCTCGGGACGGGCCTTCCGGGCTCGCCGTTTGTCGGCCAATGCTTGGAGCTGGCGCTTGGTCGCTTCGAGAGCGCCACTCTGGTATTCGGGAGATAGGGCACTAGGTCCGCCGATGATCCTCAAGGAATCAGTGAAGCATCTGTACAGAGAGCTCAGGAAGGACGCGTCGTGTTCTGTACTGATGCCGTTGATCAACTGCAAGAACGTCGCCGCGACCATCTGATTGGTGAGTGTCCCGCTGTTTTTTCCGCTAGCAAGCAACATCGGGATGAGCCTGCGAGATCGCCGGAGCGTTCAGCGAACGCAGAACCAATCAGACACACGCCGACTTACATAGCACAAGCTTCCCGAACTCCCTCATGGAAGTAGAATCGCATGGAGGGAAGAGTCACTTCAAACGTCTGGGAAAGATACGGGGCAAACCGCGGTCCCAATGTCGAGCAATAGATCACGAGCGTCTCGAAAGCCTGACACTTCTCCTCAATCGCAGACGTCCGGATACCCAACGTTTGACCATCCATGTTGACCGTCTCCCAGCCGTCACGTTCTTCGACCTGATCATCTTCGCCTTCTGGGACAGAGGGTCGGTCGATATCAGATGATCAAGGAGTCACAATACCGTAGACAGAGATGTCAGCTTTTGCGCTGGCCGTCGCCAGCAAGCTGGGCATCACCACCGGCAAGTATGGTTCGAACTCGGGCCCCATGGCCTGGCAGACCTTCGCCCATGTCGCGATCAGATAGTGCCCCAATTGGGCATCCGTCGGATCCACGGGGCTCTCTGCACAGCAAGTGAGCCTTGGGCGAAACAAGCAAGTCACACGCGTTTACTTTGGATGTGGATCAGAAGATCGACGAGCGTGTGCGCATCGGGCAGGAACATCTCTGGCCCGACAGCAATGGCTGGAGGACTTTCAAGACAACAGCTTTCAGAGTTTGGCGAGTTGTACCTATCAGCCCTGCGCACTCCATTGCCTTGGCTCGCAGCTTGCTGTATTCAGGCCCTCCGGCATTGCGAAGGACGTTCAAGAGCAGAGGCATGATTGAGCTGTAATACTAAAAACCCTTGTCAGAGACAGCGACGACCAAAAAACGGCGAACAGCGCAGACCTTGCCGAAAGAAACCTCACTCGCGTCGGCAACCATCGCCAACGTCGTGATCGCCTGCTCCTGCACATATCGCTGCACTTTGGTGGATGAGCCCGAATCATCCAGTAGCTTGAGGAGGCGCTCGACAATCGGATCCAGATAGGGTAGCAACACATTTCGTTCGACGCCTTCACAAAAGTTGATCAAGGCCGCGGCCGCATGAGCATGAACTCTAGGGTATGCGTGAGACGTCGGAAGACCAGCACAAGCCTTTCAGCGCACGGACCTCGGCTGGGGATCTTCCAGTGTCGGGATCAACACAGAGAACAGCTGTTGGTGATATTGTTCCTGAATAACTTCCTGCGGCAGGTGAAGCCAGGCAACCAAAACGGATGAAGGCCTGTTACCTCAAGATCGGTACACAATTGACCGCTGTATGCAGGTTACCAGAGCCCGCAATCTGTCTGAACGATCACTTACACGCATTGACAAGCTGCATAACGAACTCGAGGATGTTGATCATGGAACATAGGGGTCACGAGCTGAACGACCTTTCCAAGCTCGTGCTCCATAACCTGGCCAGGTAAAGATTTGAGGCACGTGAACTCGTAGCAACTCACTTTAGCCGTGCCTTCTGCGATGGCTGCTACAGCCATCAGCCCTGCATGTCGCACTCTCCAGTCGTAGCTAGCCATCATCGAAGGAATGTACTGCCACACATCAGCAAAGCCTGGGGGCAGCGCCAGGGTAACTCACCTGGAATGCCGGAGGTAAAACAGCTCTGCCCCCGACTGCACATGCTAGTCGATCCAGACTCTGCTCGTACATCGCCGGAGCAGAGTCAGTCTCCGGAGCGGAGTTAAGTGACGGCTGAAACAAGAATCAGCAACAATGCTTCTGCACACGGAGCACACTAGCAAACGCACATCCTCATCAACCCATCCCTCGAGTCCATCACCCTCTTCGAACTCGCCCATCCCTTCAAGGCAGGCCCGCACCATTATTCCGACCCACCCCTCGACACGCTTCACCATCACAGCCCGAGCCTCACTCAGGCTCACCATAAACTCCAGCGCAGCCAGTCGCAGGGTCTGGCGCTCATCTGCATCCAGATCTCGTTCCGCCTCAGTCGCACCGACGTCGCGGGGGGAGCCTGGGTCCGGGGACGATCCTGCGGGCGGAAACACAAACGCGCCGTGCGACGCCTCGGACGCTTCGGCGCTTCCGTCGCTTGGGAATGGTCGCGAGACGGTGGGGGTCGGGCCCGGATCGGCACTGGGCAGAAGAAGTGGCGGGAAGAACGAAAGCAGCGCGGCAAGGTGGGGTGCGAAAAGCGATGGATGTGTGGTGCACAGAGGTGTCAGTGCCGTCAAGTATGTCGTCAGATTGACATAGGGAGACGGACCATCGGACGACGGCCGCGACATGCGGGAGTTGTGAGTGGGATGGGCTGTCGCTTGTGAGCCTTGGGTGGGGAGCATCTGTGCCATCGAGTGCAACGTGTCCAAGACCGGTCGCATCAGTGACACAGATTGCGCGAGCTGTCCTGGCTCCGCTGCATTCAGATAAGCAACACAAGCCAGCAATGCAGCCTGCTTGACCTGGGATCCTCCTCAGCACAAGACACGACAAAACAGTTCACGGGTGAAACATACATCAATGCTGGACGTGTCCTGCAGCCCTTGCTGGAAAATAGTCAGAACGGCATCCGTCTGCAGATCCATCACAAGATTCGGGCAGCCTGAAAACACCCGGTACGCGCTTTCTCGCAAAGCCTCCGATGGCAACGTTTGCGGGGCTAATGTCCCACTTGTGGATCCGGGCAATCCCGCCTGTGCCATCCCAAAGGCGGCCATCTGCAGTGCATGCCACGGACGTCCACGTCGCATTCCCTCGTTTGCCAGGTCGCACACAGTATCCACCGTCTTTCGTCGTACCAGAGGAAACGCCTCATGCTGAAGCGAATGGAGCAAGAGCTTCTCGAGCGCGTTCAGCGTTTGTCCGGAGAGATGATCGTATAATGTAAGTCGTGGCTGATTGGGTAACGACTGATACTGTGATTGCTGGCCCTGAGAAGCGCTCGCATTTTCTGGTGTGTTGGGCGCTGGCGAAGGTCGGAAAAGCAGTCTTCGTAGAAGTACCAAAGAGAAAGATCGCATCTAAAACGATATTATTAGAGCTGCATTGTGTGCCATGTCCAGGTCCACAGCGAACGACGCGTCTTCGAAGTGATTTCACGCGGAAATGGCCTCGTCGACCGGGCGCCGCAGCAGCAGGCAACCCGGGACACACACATTCGAAAGATTTCAGACGAGAAAGTTACATACCACTTCCGTATCCGCCGATATCGAGAACTGCGCGAGCGCCAGCAAGTAAAGTTCAGGCGTATGCGCCAATCGCTCATTGACCGCAGTCTCGGCACTGATCACGTAGATGAGCAGGTGCTCCGTGCCTGCAGGAGTACAGAGGAGAATTCTACACACTCTGAGCGAATGGCGTTATCTCCCAAGAGAAGGTTTGAGAGAATTTGGGTCAGTTCGGTGGTGATCGCAGGTGGTACTACGGGATCCATGGCATGTGCGGCCCTGAGATGTAATGGGATGTGAGGGTAGCAAATGAGGGTGGCAGGAAATCTGCGCTTCGATTGAAGCCGCGATCGGGACTCAAATTTAGCATCAGAGGCTGTGCTTGGGCTCCATCGCTCGGCGGCTGACAAATTACAATCCCGCATCCAGGTCTCAACTTGAACTCGCGCAGTCAAACTCAGTGCTCGCGAAACACTCCTCATGAAGCCGGCTTGGAAGCTAAAACTTGATGCTTGTTTTCTTGGCAAAAAACACGCTTGAATGCAGCAAGACCCCGGTGTCGATATGCATAATCCGGCGAATTTACTTTTTCCTGCGGAAGCCTACTTGCGACCATCTTTGCCGGATGAGGCTCGCATGTGAATTATCCATGGTTCTGCTGTCTCTAGAAACCATCTGTTCTAGGCGCGGCCAGCCCCGGGCACACGTTTCTCCCAGGGCACAATCCGGGCTTTGCCCCCCCCCCCAAGGTCCTCTTTTTGTCACCGCGGGAGACATCAACCGTTTTTGCAGCAGCCCACGAGATTTTTTTGAGGGTTCGAAAAACCCAACAGTACACTTCTTGGCGGCTTGGTTCTCCCGCGAACTGGCGAACTGTGCTGTCTTCTCTTGTCATAGTGTTTGGTTTATCAAGGAAGTCTCTAACCATACACTTCAAAAAAATGCAACACCCAACTCTCGAGCACGTTTTCTCGTTCAAAGACAAAAACCGGTGGTGGGCGACCTTCAGTCTACCTAGCGGGCGGAATAAGCGGCTTCAGCTCCGGCGTTTATATCAACAAATCCGGCATACGGATGAGACGGTCGTCGTGATGGCCGAGAAGGGAGGGGAGGGTGGATTCACAAAATCAACGTCCACGGATATGGGCTGGATCTCGCCTGAGGCGATCAAAAGTCTCCAGAAAGCTCGTCCCCGTCGGCCTCTCTTTGCCAATCAATGTCTCGGCGGTCGAAATTTGATAGTCGTGCCATGGCACGGGGTCTGCACCGTAAATATTGTCAAAATGGAAACATCATCTTGCTTCCAGACGCACACTACTCCCTGTTTATAGAAGAGTTGCATTTCCCGGATCAGGCGACAGATGCAGCTCTTTCGCCGTGCTGTAGGCTAGAGCTAGGATGCAAACTGAATTATCATATTTTTACATGCAGGTGAATTGTTTTCTCAACCTTGTGTTTTTAACCAGAGCTGATGTTTCTTAATTCATTGATGTAGCTGCGAAATGATGTACTTACTGTGTCCACAATCTTTGTCTTGATCTCACATGATTGGATTACGATCAAAGCTTTTCCCATCGATGGCCCTCGAGTAAGTAGATTTATAAATGTTCGAAAAGTATTTCTCACTAGTTCAAAATGAGGAAGAGCTCGGGCATACAGACATTGTGCACATGAGCCAAGAGAGGGCTAGGGCATGACGATATCGAGGATGAATTCAATTCATCACGACTGGATTGAAAGTGAGCATAACACATCACGACCAACAAAACATTGATTCGCCCCGGGATCGAACCGAGGACCTTTCGCGAACGCAGTGTAAAGCGAACGTTATAACCACTAAACTAGCGAACCACGGACGGTTGGATAGTGGTAGCACATCTGCTCAGAGTCATGATTATAACGGTCTCGACTGTCGATCCTCAACTGACCGGCCACCACACACATCCAAGCCGTGAATTCCTTCCCCTACTTAATGCCCTTCTTCAACTTGCGATTCCAGGAATTAAGCACTGCGCCCCATTCCTTCAGTCATGCCTTACTGCAAACTGATTCACAACTCCCACTGCTTAGTTCTGAAACCAATATAATGGAGCAACAACAGTCCTTGGCAACGTCTACTCTCGACCCTCGGAGCTACTAGAGACCGTTTGCACAGTAGACATCCTCCTTGGTTAACCTGCGCTCTTGAGCACGGACAAGGCACAACAACGATGGACTGTTATCGCGGGAACCTTGGTGAGTGAGGGGCAGGATGCTATCACCGGGAACTCGATACTGTGCGTAGAGGGAGTATGAATTACAGCTGGAGATGGATGTACAAAGCCTGTCACCCTCCTTTTCACAGAATATCGCGTCTCTTGATTCCGACATTGCAGTACAGTGGCTTGCGCAAGAATCCTTCGCTTGTCTCGAGCTGCAAGATAGCAAGGTTGGCACTCATCAGTGAGGAGGTAATGAATGGCACACCTTGGCGGAGGAATCCTGGAGTACAAAGTCGAACCTGCGCAAGATGGAGCCACAGATCATCTGAAGCTCCAAAGATGCCAGATTGCGACCGACGCAAGCTCTGTACAACCCAATGAACAAACGTCCTTCACTGACGGGGCTCGATAGACATACCTCGGACCAACCGAGAAAGGGTTGAATACCTTCTGCATCATATCTGCCTTGTCTTCCTCAAACCAGCGTTCCGGGCGGAACGCTTCAACGTCATCACCCCAAACGGCAGGGTCGCGATGAATCGTGAAGCTCGGAACACTGAGCACGGTTCCCGGAGCGAAGCTGTTCCCATGGATAATCAACCCTTCTGTACGTTCAGATTGTCAGCTATCGAGATCCCCAGGGTTGAGACGTCACAAACCATCGGGTACCACGCGCGGCAACCCGAGAGCACTGGTAGAATGCAGCCGCAACGCCTCGTTGATGCATGCATCCAAGTATGGCAGTCTTTTGGCTTGGTCACTGGTCACAACGCGCTCGTCCTCAGTTCCCAATTGCTCATCCAACTCGGCTTGAAGTTTCGCCTGCTTTTCAGGATTCTTGGCAAGATAGTAGATTATTGCACAAGTTGAGCTGGGCAGGTGTCAGCCAGTTGACTAAACAGTTTCGGGAGAGCCCTTACTTGGATGTCGTGTCAGAACCGGCGATCAGAAGAGTGAGCGCCTCTGCTGTAAGTTCAGCGCGGCCCATGGGGTTTCCGTTGTCGTCCGTCCCGCTCTGGAGTTTGCTCAACAAGTCCACACGATCTGTGGGCGTCGAGAGCCGTTTTGCGACGGCCACAATTGCAATACCGGCGAGGGAACGGACATCCTGAAGACCTTTGGAGTACCATGGGAACTTGCGAAGGATCGGCCGCCACCAAGCGGGTACGACCCCCATCGACATCGAATACTCTCCGCGCCCATTCAACACAGCGACGGCGGGAATGTGTTTCACGTGCTCGGGCTTGTCGGCAAAGTCAATTTGTTCGGGTCCATCGACGGGCACGGGCACAGCGTCTCGTGCCGCCTCAATCATCCCAAATGGTGCTCCGAACGCACTAGTGGGTAGTAGATCAGCACTTGCCTCGAAATGTATATTGCGCCCTACGCACAGATCACCGATGATGTCAAACGCGAGGAAATTGCACCCTTGGTACGGTCAGCCGACCTGAGCCAAGGTCATGATCCGGTAAGAACGTACATGGCAGGCAGTCGAGCCACACTCTGCCCTCCCGCGCGATCCAGCTGCACTCTCCGATGGCACCAGACGCCGCGTCCCCTTTGCCCGCTTGCTGACATAGTTGCTCCCATTGCGTGAGGAGCTGGTCAACGTAGAGCCGAATGTGAGGCTCGAACTCCACGACACTCTTCTGTGAAAAGATGTGTGAGACAATTTTCCGCTTGCGGGCGTGCTGTTTGCGATCCCGGGTGTTGAAGAGCCCGCGCTCAATGGAAACGAAAGCGTCGTAGAAGCCGCTCTTGAGAGCGCCGTTTCCGTGTGCATAGACGATAGCGAGCGCTTCCGGGTCCGCAATAGATACTTCGGACGGCGAGATGCGAACAAAAGGCCCTGCAAGCGGACGATGAGCGTTTACGAGGCGCAAAGACGACAATTGAGGAAGGACTAACCGTACTTGTGATGCATCTCGTGTATGACTTCGGAGCGGTGTCCCTGCTGGGACACCCGACCCAACCACGCATCTGTGAATTTGGCCCAGAAGGGCCCGGGGTATCGGCGGATACTCCATGGATCCGCCACATAGAGCGCGAGATGAATGAGAGCGATAGCCGCGGGAAAAGCCGCGAGGGCTGGGAGGAGCAAGGAAGACTGAAAATCGAGCATGATGGGTGGAGAGTGAATGATGATGCATTCACTCCTCTGTCTACATATATACCCCGCACCACCCCACACGGGGGAACTCACACCCCCTGAATAACTGAGACTCAGGCGTTCTAGCTGACGAATGGGAAGCAGACCATTGCACCACCAATGGGATCATATCTGCGCCCGCCAATGGCCGACGGTTAGTGGACCTAACAGTGCACGACGGCATCGGGTCAGTTGCGTGAAGCTCGGGGAGTGCAATGTACATTGTACAGCCGGTCCGCATGCTCGCACGTGACTTGTGGGGGAAGTTCCCTCAGGGACCAAGAGAGCCACCAAACTCAGTGACGTCCTCATTCAATTTGCAGAAGCACTCGTGATACTGAGCCAACAAGATTAGATAAGATATCACAAGCACACAGAGTTGCCTGATTTGTTTTGGGAGTGCGTGGCATTGGAAAACTTCGTTGCTTCGTTCACACGCGGGGGCATCCGCAAAGTCGTGATTCATTCCGACGCAGACCTGGCAGCTTTTCCCAATATCGTTCAAAAGTTGAAGCCAAAATCAAATGTGCACCGATAGTCAGCACCAATCATCCGTAAACTCCAGAATAATTTACTCAGAACCACGATAACATATCAGTCTAGGCGCACAATCGGTGAAGAATGTGCAGCTATAACGAGTCTGGGAAGTTAGCACCCTGTTCGGATTACCTGCCAAGACTTGACCGATGCTTCATAGCAGCTGGCGATTGCAGCGCAGTTTCCATAATTTCCAAACGAATTTGTGAAAGGTGACCTATGGACCGATGTGGGATGGCCCTCTGCTGACGAATGTGACTTGAATCGAGGTGGGCAGTTAGCAATCTGACGGATGGGTACAAGACGCTTCCTTATACAGCTCACTTGCGCCGGATGAGTGTCGATTAATGAGGGAATGATCGAGGAAGCTCTGCATAATAGTGTCGAACTCGTGGGGCAAGGTGCTTGATTCATCCTGTATGCTCCTCGGACCTGGAGTAAGGCCAGAACAATCACCTTCTGAAGGAACCTGTGATCATCTACGGGATCACTTCAACGTGCGCAAGGGGTACATAAACGAATGCGATAACAATAGTACAAGGTTGCATGATATAATTATACACCACATACAGTAAGCCCAAGAAACGTCACAAGAAAGAACACGAAGAAATCGAGTTACACGGTGAACCACTAAAACAGATCAGTCATCTCAGATGCAGCTAGCACTCCGAGCGCACCTCGCCTTCGCCGGTCTCCATCCGATGCTTGAGCTCCGCTTCGCCCTCGGACCTCCAATCATGAGATAAGATAGAGCCCAGCCGCTCTTCGATCGCTCCCATTTTCATTCGTTCAAGGATAAAGCTGCGCGCGCAGTCAAGTCCCCGTATCACAGATCGAGACTCAGACTTGCCTTTCTATCGGAGTGGAGAGGGCATCCTTTATAGCCTTTTTGAAGCCTTCCTGATCGTCCCGGAAGACGTTGTAGACGTAGGGAGGATCGTACATCTTCAACAGACCTTGTTGCGTCTGCCACTTGTCGCGATTAGTCGGGTCAGCTTTATCCCACTATAAAGCTGCGTCAGAGCCGATCACCGGTGAGTCATACGATGTACTGACCCCGAGGATGGGATTGATGAAAGGAACTCCGAGACACAATGCGTCGTACGGTGTAGGCGACCTGAAGATAATTAGCATGTGCTGTAGGATCTGAAGGAACTATCGCTCACGTCCAAGGCAGTCCTATCCCTATCAGGAGTGAGGAATTGGCCAGGACCCTATAGAACTCGCTATTGGGCATCAACCCAACATTTTCGATGCTCTTCGGGAACCCAGCCGGTTCGTATCCATCGGCACCAAGCAAGAATCGCGCTCCTGTCTCCGCAGAAACCTCATCGTAGAAAGACAAAGGCCAAGCGTTTTCCTCGGCAACAAAGTACTTGAGATGTTTCGCCAGGATGTACATCTGCTTGGGACGCTCGGATGCAGGAACATAGGGTACGGTCTTGCATCCAGGTTCGACTGAATATCCGAGGTAGGTGTTATTGCTGTACCACGAATGCTCCAGAGCATACTGTCCATGTGATCAGTGCTCCTGGCTTCAACGCAAGTCACCAAGACACACCGGCTCAGGACTCAAAGTCCACTTGCGACCGAGTGGATGGCCCTCACCGGTCCAGAAAGAGAAGGCAAAGATCTTCCAAGCAGGGATTCCGTAAGGATTCTTGTATCCGAGAACACACCGTTCGTTGCCGAAGCAGACTTCTGACTCCTCGCCCTCCATGATGACCATCTTGACCAAGTCGGGGAAAAGACGATAGAATGCGACCGCACCAAACAGGTCGGGACTGTACGTGTAGAGGTATGTGTAGCCGAGGTTCTTGAGCGCAAGGACCGTCGACCGCGCCCACATTTCCTCGCCTCCGATGTGGCCCTCAAGGAGCATTTCGAAACGGTAAGACGCAAGTAGTACAACTGGAGCGCAACTTGAGCAACACGATAGCGGGAGCGTGTCAGAAAACAACGCACCATTCGTCTGATTCTCTTTGCAAGTACCAGCACCCATGCACGAGAACAGCTCGCGCATGGCGATCTGATTGTGCTCAATCCACGAATACGCTTGCTTGTCCACATCGGTCTTGACAGGAAGGATATCGGCAGGAAACTCATAGGGTTGCTTTTGGCTCTGAGAGTCGGAATCGTAGTCGAGCTGCAATGGTGGTGGAATGGGCGGCCCATGTATTGGAAGCGGCTGGACGTTGTCAACGTAGGCGTGTCCAAAGCTGTTTTGGTGTGATCCATCAACGCCGGCACCGAAGCGTGCGCGGGTGAAAGTAGCACCCATATGCTCGGATCGCCATTGCGAAAGTGATGCGGGAAGGAATTCTTGGGCTAGAAGCATGAATGTAGCACCGCCAAAAGCAAAAAGAACTATGGCGGGGGCAATGGTCTTGCGCAACGAAATTCTGACGAGAGATGAGCGGAAATCGAAGGGCAAGGCTGAGCGAGAGCATACGTGCGCCTAGAAACCATGGCTTGTGGGGAGCAAAGGGTGAATTACTCGCTGGAAGCGGGAGAAGATTTAAGATAGAAGTAATGCTGAGTGGAAAGTGGAAGGAAGTGTGAGGAGCAGATTCAGTTGGAAGAATAGGCCGCCTTATGTATGAGACAGGAGTTATTCGGGTCGATCTCGGAATCGCCGTCGATTGCTCACTCCGCTCTGCGCACCTAACCCAAAGTTCCATTCTTCGGCAATGAATGGTCTTTAAGCATACAATTCTGCCCGCCTCATCTGTTCCCCCTCAAACCAACAAACAGATGCGGAGGCGAGCCCACGTCATAATGGCTCGATACAGTGCCCAAAGACCGAACGCGGATCCACCTCTTGACATCAATGCGAGCCATTTGATTCCGCTGTCCGCTGGAATGACCACGGAAGAAGACATTGCATGTAGTATATGTCAAGATGACAGGGGAGCCCGTGATATGAGCCACTGGCATCTAGATCATCGATGAATAAACAAATGGGTGTAAGTGGACAGCCTCTGATTATCTAATCTGATAAGGACTCTCTGTTTCATAAATAATAAGGAGCAGTCCACGTAGATCAATTCAGTGCTTGCACAGCCCAGAAAAGATGCAATCCCTCCAAGCAGCATACAGCAGAACAAAGAAGTTTTGACCTTCAGGACTGTCCCGATGGGTTAGAGAAGCTCAAAAGAATGCAAATTGGCACACCTCCCAGTCATCCAAGGTGTGGGATCAAGCCAGCTCAACGGATTGACCGCTGGGGCAGCTATTCCATCCCGAGAGACGTGTTTGGCCAGGACAGAACGGAGTGCGTCAGCCCAAGGGACGTAGATCGCTGCCGGAAATTCGGTAGGGGCGAGTATCACCATACGGTAGACGACAGAGGCCAAGAGTGCACTCCCAGATGTTTCGCCAAATCCAGCAGCAGAATCGGTATCGTCCAGATAATTCCGCAGGAGACCATTGTCCAAAGGCGATGCACGTGCGCCGTCGATGATCTCCTTGATCCAGGCTGTCAAGTCGCTGATAGCAGCGGGTGCCCATCCAGTGCTATTCGCTATGGGCGCGTGCATGACGGTGACGAGCACCCGAGTCATTCCAGCTGCAGCCCAACCATTGCCGGTGCTCCAGAGACCTAGGTCCGCGGATTGAGGTCCCACAATGTGATGCCAGCGACCCGATGTCGCTGATGAGTTGACCGGGGAAAACGTGGTCGCATTCGAGCCAAACAGAAGAACTTCACGATACAGCCCGCACTGCTCGTAGCTGGCCTGGAGAAGAGAGGCATTACCGGAGGTCGCCGCAAAGTAAGCCATGAAGGGTGGAGCCATATACATGAAGTCAGCCCTGCGTAGTCTAGCTCGGTGAACCCGAATGAAGGCCCAAAGAAGGGGCACTCACCAAAGCTCGGCAAGCTCTGCTCGCTGAGAGATTGCACCGTTGGGCCAACGAGGAGCGCCGGTCAAAAGGTAATCAATCTCCTTTTGCACCGCGGTCGAAATGGACGCGTTGGTTTTACTCAACATCACGGCAGCAGTACCCAAACTGGCAGGATCCCCGACCGTACCCCCTCCGTTCGAGAGACCGTTAATCCCCCACTCGATTTTCGGAAGGGCGTAGGCCAAAGAGGACACAGTCGTCGAGTTGGGAGTGACATGGGGATTGAAGGCCGCGGCGCCGAATACGGATAGAAGCGGATTGTTGAGCTCGAGCAAAGCTTCAGAGGTAGTCCCGTACTCCCAAGAGTGGGCTGCGAGCGATTGACCGAGGTTGGCGACCGCCGTCACGTTGAATCCGGGGTCAAAGGGCATCGTCGACGGCGACGCCAGCTGACCCATCGTTATCAGGTCGAGAAAGAAGGTCGAAAGGACGGACATGAATGGCGTTAGGGACAACACAACGGCTGGCGGGGATCTGTTTTTTTGTTGCAGGCCAAGATCTCGACAAGTCTTCGATGCCGTCATTGAGACGTGTTTTCGGAGTACGATTGATGTCTTCGTGAGGAACAGTCAGGATTGCCTGCGTCACAATTGACTTGAGGCACGTTCGATGCCGATAACCTGACGGTGAATAGAGAATGTGGTCGACAACTCGAAGGGCAGACGGCCCAACAGTCAACCAGCGATGCCCGCCTGAATCCAGCAGCGTTATCCATAAGAAAGAAGATGTCGCCGTTCGTCGATGTCATCCTATGCATTGCTTCTGCGCCATCAGCAGGGAGCCGAGATGAGAGCTAAGCAAACTCTACAAGCGGAGGGTAGTCAGTGGTTGCCTGTGGATGCAAGCAAAGTTAAAGCAGAATGCCGTAGATTGATGGCCGTCTCTTGCACCACTGATTTTCATTGCATTCCTTATATCAAGGCAACGCGGAGGTCGAATGCTCATCCCTCCCTATGAGTGTCTACATCGACCAAGACAAAGGACGAACGTGGCCGTGTAAATGAATGTGGAATTGCAGACTAGATGGACTTTAAGAGTATGTGCAGAATAATGGTATCCAGTTCCAAAGCAAGAGATCGAATAGAAGGACCTTAAACCTGTAGGCTATTGAGCATTGACCTTGATCAGATATTGCGGGAGACGCACCAGACTGAGTTCCAAGGTCCATACCCTGCGTGCCCAAAGCTTGAATGAGCGGGCGGCGAGATTATCTTGTGCAGGAAGCTCGACATCGATTCCGTCCCACCAACATTTCCGCTGACAGCATACGTCAATCTCAAGAAGAACGAAACCTGAGTATAGAACCCACTGCAGGCTTCCTCCAAAACAGAAGCAGCTTTTGTGCTGTCGCCATCTGAGTATAATCCACCTCGACAGGTTTGCCCGGTGCATGGTTGATGCCCGTCTTCAGAAGGACGAGAGCAATGGAGGAGATACAGGAGCGTGAAGGCTCCAAGGCACGGAAACCCCACTCGTCATCACGATTGAAGCCACTCCATGGCCTCAGTAAATGCTTCTTTCAAAAAAGTAGACGACGCACCTCATGCAAAGCATGTCAATAAGGTGCTGTTCTGCGACGTTGTTCTCCTTGTTTACATTCCTCTGCAGCGCAGTGAAGATGTTCCGCTTCTCCATGAGATACGCTCCTCCATCACGCTTGACAGTGAGCAGGCTTTCGTTTGCGAGCCCGTTCGAATCCGTCAAAGCACCAATGCTTTTAGGTGGAATTGTGAAGTACTCGAGCTCTTCACGGAGAACAATGATCGCTTGTTTGGAAAGTAGAGGATTCTGCGAGGGGGATGTGAAGTCTTGACTGTTGGGTGAGTTGGACGGAGAGACGTCCAGCAAGTGGTGTTGTTTAGAGAGCAGTCCCGGCGTAGTAGCGGTCCCGTAAAACGCTTCCGACGACGTTCGGAAGAATGCGAGCACGTATTGGAAGCAGTCAGGGTCGAACTACGAGCAGCAAATGAGAGAGAGGCGTTAGTGACGAGCAAGTAGGTGCGGAGACCAGATACTCACGTCGACACCGTACACCTCCTCATCGTCTTCGTCCCCGCCGTCTGACATAGCCACGCTCTGACGACTCAGCACCAGGCCGTTCGGAAAGAGGCACAACAAAACGGATTCAGGAAGATTCATGATAGTCTCTCTGTCGACCTCGAAACGACGCCCTCGAAGATCCAACAGCAGCCTTGTCAGCAGCTGCGGTTGGAGATTTGAGTGAGTGGGAGGTGCATGTTGGGAGACCTGAGTAATGGGCGACGACGAGGACATGGCGCTTGACAAGAGGCACGATGAAACCGGTCACTGCCACACCACAACACAAACAGGTTGCTGGTCACTCTTTCCCTCGCTTTTTCCTGATAGTGCGAAATTCTCAAAGTGTTGGTCTGTTTCTTCCTGCTACAAGAGATTATACTGATGCGCGTCTAACCTCTGCTACAGAGAGTCTGAGAAAGTCGGTCGATCGCGAAACTCGAAGAACTTTAGCTGGATCAGTGACGCTCGTCACACGTGACCATTTGATCTTCGACCCCGCGAGCGCGACGTGTCCGACTGCGTCAACGTATAGATTTCACACATTCCCTTCCTTCCTGTTATCAACACCAAGATGCACACAATAATAACGCGAGCGAACAATATCTCTGCTTTTCTCTCGTCCTGCGCAATGGCTCTGTTGGGCATAATCACCGTCACTTCAATGCTTGGGACTTACTTCCAGCCCCCACTGCAGGGCGGAGCTGTTATTGTCAAGGGTCTGAAAGTGTGAGTACGATCTCGACTATTAAACATGACTTAGTGCCCTTACATATGACAAGGATGCATGGGAGAGGGAAACACTACCAGACCCAGCACGCAGTCGTCAATTTTGAGATTGATTCTGGTGCGTGGATCGCGCTTAGTGGCATTCCGTTCCCCGTGCTTAAACTTGAAGAAAGACTTGAGCCCGCTTTTCAATTGGAACACGAAACAATTGTTCCTCTATCTTGAAGCAGAGTACAAGAACTCCAAAGGTGTATGTGGCAATGACCATTTTGGGGAGTTGCGACTTATGTTCTGCAGGTTCAAAACTCTGTGGTCATCTGGGATAAGATTGTCCGTAGGAAGGAGGATGCGAATATCAAGATTGAAGGCAGACAGAAGTATCCCTTCAAGGATCTCGTTGGATTCAAGTAAGTCATCTTACTGGTCCGACAGCTGAAACCATGTGTAATGTTTTGCAGAGATGCAGCTGCAACATATACCCTCCGCTACAATGTGATGCCTCATGTCGGCACATTGGTCTGGGGCTCCGCCGGAAGCACAAACGGAAGTGTGCCCTTCCCAGCCATGAGCAGCGCGTGAAGGTGAAACACGGTCGTAAATATATCAGCACTACACCTGCATTCAGGCTGTTGGGATCTATCTCTTTTGCGATTCAATGTGTAACATTGGTGCTCCAGCTATCATCTACAACCGGAACGACAACAGGTCTAGGCTGGCCCACCGAGTCGTAGCAATGAGACTGAGATGATGCGCGTTTCGGGTGGGTCCCTTGGAAAAGAACGCAGCTGCTTTTCTCGGGGTCAAGCAGGGAATGTCGATGTTGACCTGTAATTGCCTGGCGAACTTGGAAGTCAATCCATTATTCAGCGAAACACATACTAATGTTGTCAACGTCGTTCGGCCGTCGCGCAACCTGAACAGAGCAGATGTTCCTCCAGTACCGACTCTCCCGATGACCAGGTCCATCGGGCCCCGATTCAAGTACGACCCGGCCGCCTGGTATCTCAGCAATACTCAAGGCGCTTCGACCCAACGGCCGAATCTCGACTGGTCTGATGTAGAGAGTGCAGCCAAGACGCCAAGAAATCGCAGACTTCTCCCGCGTCTGTTTTGCACGGCCGTCAGTGCAGGTGAATAGAGCGGAAGATTGGATGAAGTCATCCGCCGATTTTGCGTGCAATGCGCCTGGTCAGCCGACGAAGAAAATGCCGGGTAGTTGAATGGAACAGCAGCAGCAGGGTGATCATTGGGTCAGTAAGACTGAGTTGTCTGTCCCTTTATAATTTTCTGCCGCTCGACCTCTACACATTCAAGGCAACTGCATGATTCGACTCAGTAGAAAACTCTCGGTCATCATTGAGACTCCAACACAATAAATCCAGTGTTTTGGTCAAGCAGGCAGGTAGATAACCAGTAGGCTCGCTTTCAGTCTCTATAGTAGTAGGTTCGGAGCAAGCCTGCTCCGGGCCGGCGAGCCGGCCTTGTCGGAGACAGGCTTGGGACAGACTGTCAAAATAAGAGGACCCATGAAACTTGCATTTGCTCTTCATTCAACGCTGTTACCTCGGTAATTTTTCAAATATGTGTCTTAGGAGGATGTTCGGCCATCATTTTGTCAGGTCAGAAATGAGCATAAGATGCTGGATGCTCGCTGGAATTGTGCTTGATCGCAGCCTTGGCTAAGTTGTTGGTCCCACAATTTCTCATCGGAAAACCATTAATCTGTGTTTTTAGAAACTCGATCCCTTACAAATGCACATCGAAGGAAATTCATGCAGTTAAATTGGGTAAGGAGCGGGATTCACACGCAGAAATACAACACTCACTGACGGTCACCAATGTCACATGTGTGACCAGACACATTAGTGATCGATAAGACGGTTACATTCCCTGTGTTCGCATTCCAGATGAAGTGCGGAGCTGGCAGATGGAGTCCCAGACATCTTCCCTTGCTTCTAGAACCCAACATCACCAGTTTTGGTCAAGAAATGACCCTGTTCAGGAACTTCCTTCCTAAGGTACAAAGCACAACTTACTGCTCATTTATTGACACTTGAAAAGATTTAGAGCAGACCAGAGTGTACAGGGTGGTGCAGGTACTTAAATACTTTGACTTCGGTCTGATGTGTTGGGCAATCGGAGCGTGTTTGTGTCCGCTAGGTCGATTATCCAGGTCCCTGTTTTTCGACAGTTTGGCTCAAGCCTGTCCAATTGTTGTGGCCCCAACATGATCATCATCACGATGATCAGTACAAATAATGATGGTCAGGCTTGATCCGAACCTACTATAGTAGTCATCTCAGCCGAGCCGATCTCCTTTAAATACTCAGAGCCACCTATGACTATCAATCATGTTCAGAGCAGAATGCCGGCATGGTTGTCAGCTTACACTATTAGTTTTTGCTCACGCTTTCCGTCATCTGTGCACATTTGAAGAATACATGCACCAGTGACATAGGTGGCAATTGTTCAATTGGAACTTGGGCAAGGATTTTCTTACCGACATATCGCACTAGGCGTGCATTCCGCTGCGTTCCTTCTCATCACGAGTTTAGTCACACCTCGATAAGCTTTGCTTGACCTGGACTTCTCATGAGAATTGGGAACAGTCATGGATGTTCTCGTCACACGGCCGCCCGAAACTCATGACATGCGATCTCCGAGAAGGGACGACACATTTTTTTCAATGACAGCAAGTCCGAGCGTGGCAAGCGAGCCTGTGTCTTTCCGGTCTCTGGGGACTACGCCCAGAAACCAGGATGTACTCGGGATCTCCCGAACACCGACAGCCCGCTCGTCGGATTCAGTGATCTGATTGTGTGAATCTCGGGAAGACGCATCTCATCAGGGACTAGTCTAGCCTGAGATCGCCAAGAGCCCAATCAGAGAAGCCCATTGGGGAGCCCCCGAGTGCACATAAATGATCTCCTCTAATCTTCTGCTTCTCCGTCCTAACGCCTCCCAATTCTCTCTGCTCTGCCATGGATGCCTCACAATGGTGCCTCGACGAATGCCCTACGTGCGCTACTGTCGTGGTAAGAGACCGAGTTGTCACCAGCGAGAACGCGCTCTGAGAAGCATTCAGAACGGCCCGTCCGTATACTGTTCTGTCGAGTGCCAGCCCTTGGCTGAGGAGGACGGCTACGAGCCCGAGTTTGTCGCCTGGTCCGAATCGAAAAACGCTCGCGTGAACGCATGGGCCCTGGATTGCTTCAAAGAAACCCTCCCGTCCTCCAACTCCCCCAGCGTCTTCATTTCACCCTCCCGACGGAAACTGTGTCTACGAAAACAGAAGCCTACATCCTGGGTTACATCCAACCTGTCCCTCGACCGAATCTCTACGTCCGCTTCCACCAACACGGCGGTGGACTCGCTCGCATCCACCTCTCAGCCCATAACGCCCTCCCCCATCACACGTTATTGCTTCAATCTCTCGTGGGCCGATCCCTCCCTCCTGTCTCATCGCCCGCTGGCCGCGAAAACCAACATGTTCCTCTCTTCTTCGGACCCGAAGACACACGCAGTCCAGTCGTTATCGCCGGTGCGCGCATTAACCCCATTCGACGACGCCCGGCAATGCGCCAGCTCCGCCGGTCCTGCGCTAGAAACCGTCGGGAAAGGGTCGAAGCGTCCTTCACGGCCGGCGATTGCTTCATGAATAGTCGATTTGGCCCCATCTACACATACTTCTTGATTTCTCGAAAGACTTCATTCGCATTCTCCTATTGACTTTCGTACTCTCACTTTTGTACATACACCCCTAGATACCTGTCTCCAGCAATGTACTCATGCACATCCACACAGTTCACGATGCTGCCCTCGCATCAGCTCTTTCCCTTTTCGGGAGCATACCTTTTTGGGACGAGAAGCGTTGTTTGATTGATGGGGTGGAAAGTCTCCGTGGAAGCATTTGTGGCGTGATGGTCTGAACGATTTGCCATACGAGGTTTAGATCTGTCATTCGCTCAAGCGACGCTTGAGAACCATTCAGGAATCACGCTGCGCCCTTGTCACGGCTGAGGTTCTTGGGTACCGCAAAAGTGGCCGCATGAATTACTATGAACGACATGAGGAACGCAAGCGGCTCGGGCGACGACGAAAAAAAAAGTTTGCAAATGTCTAGGGGCGACAATGGGGCTCGAGACTGAGTTTCGTGATCCTGTTCGCTTCGGCCCAAGACACTCGGAGGACGCGTGTTCGTCGGCACTAGTGTCCCATCAAATGGCGCAATACCTCGACGATACCGTGCGAATCAGCAGCGCAAGCATTCCTCCTCGATCAGTTGCACGTAGTCCGGAGCCGTTACTTTTCGAAGCTGGAGATAAAGTCAGGGTCTTAGCCGGGTCACGGCACGGCACTCGGAGTTGCAGAGAGGTCCCAAGCAGCGGCCTGGAAAATCGCGGTTCTTGCATCACTCCAGTCCGTAGTCTGGGGTCATCCCACAGTGAAACGCCTAGTATGTCCACTGATGTTGCCATTTTAGGAAGGAACTTGACGGCGGGCGCTCGCTCGCCCGTAAAGTCGGTGATGTCTGCCACAGAGCTACCGGCTGTCTCCGATGATGGGCAAAGCGTTCGAGACTTCCGGGTCACAGGAGTGCCAATCGAGATTCATTCAGCATGTCCCAGAGTCAAGCCGCATTGTCTCCTGAGCAGATGATTGGTTGAACCTTCGAAGACTGCGAAGTGATAACTAAGCGGGAAAATGGCGCGAACTTCGGCCTTCGAATTTGAGCATAAAAAAGACAGGGGTAATCGATATATATTATTACTCCAGAAGTTGACACAGGTAAGACTGCGGTTTCTGTCGGCGGCGGGTTAGCTGACTAATGGTTGGCTTATCAGAGAGCTCAGTTATTCCAATTGGCCAGCGCAAGTGCTGAAGTCATCTAAATGACCGATCTGAAAGTTTATGTTGAGTCATGAATAGCTTGTATGGACAACGGTGTTCGGCGATGTGAGAGAATGGGAAAATCCCGACGCTTACGACTGACTGACAAGTATTTTAGATATTCGATTTTAGCGGAGCCGTTGCAAGTCGCCGCAGGTTCTCAGACAAGATGATAATGCAGTTAAGCGATCCTGTCCACGGCAATCCCCGAAGGAGGTCGTCGTCTTCGCTCCAGTCTTGGAAGTGCCCCAGTCAAATCTCAAGCCACGCACGAGGTGCATTTTCAGGGTCCTCGCAAGTGACTGTGGATGACAAATTTGTCACCAAGCTTATCAGCGAGCGACAACTCTGGGCCAGGCAATGTTTCTTTCGTAGAAACTCTACAACTCAGCCAAGATCTTGACGCAAGATCTTGAACCTTTTCTTTTATCTCTTGGCTATTATCTCGTTTGCTCGTGCGACCCCGGACTCTCAACTCTCCCACAAACGGTGGATCAATGCGATTGTTGTCAGTGGCATAGGTTCGAAGGGCTTGAAGTGGAAAAAGCCGCCGCAAAACCCTGACAATGGACATACATCGCCGACTGTGACCCTGCAACCTATGCGGCTCGCGGCCAATTTGGGCTTCGACGACTCTCACTGAGATTCTTGATCTCGCTTGGACACGGCAAGTCCCGGTAGTTGTTTTGACGGTCCACCGAGTGTACGGAACTGATCCGGAAACATAATGCGGGGAGGCGTCAGATGAAGTGAATCCGGATCACCCTCGAGGTTCAGACGAAGTGTATGAGCTAGTACGTAGCCGTCGGGCAATACCTTGACATTTTACACTACTAGAAAGTGATTCGTTACATCCCCTACTGGAAGACCTCTTTCGGTGTTTGCTAGATGCTTATGGGTGGGGCTAAAGTAACAATGCGTGTGTAACGAGAGAATGTGCGAGTAGAGAGCGTTGCACTAAAAGTTGGAATCCAGGGTAGCGGAGCGCAAGTGGGAACGGTGATCAAATGAATAAATAGGATGTAAACGACGAGCCGAGCAGTCAGGGTGGGTTGTAAGTACCGGCCGAACCTAGAAGAAAGTCCCAAGGGGGAGCACACAGATGTGCCCCGCGAGAAGGAGAAAGGAGGGCGTACAATTTCATGAAAAACGCGTGTGGGATGTCACGCGAGGAGCACCGTCGAGCTCAGCAGGAGCAGCAGTAGAGCAGACTGCGTGAGCAGTAAAGTCAACGGAGACACGGATCTCATGGGAGAGCCGGCAGACTTCAAGAGCGAGGCAAAATTGGTGCCGCAGTCCTGGACAGCCAGCTTTGCTGCGGAGTCATAGACGGTGTTCAGGGCCGACAAGTGGCCATTCCCGCTTTGCGTGGTGTTCTCGAGCGAACCGTAATAGAGCGTCATCAGACTCTTCGTGCAGGGCGAACAGCTGGCGATGCTGTTGTTGGGGAGGGAGACGCCGAGCGGGACTGAATAGTAGTACACGTCGGATGGATTCGCGTTGTGGACGGCATCAACGTAACAGTAGGTGTTCGTTGTCGGGTCCGATAGACATCCCGCCGACCGCATGAGATCAAACGCGTTTAAACCTGCACTGCATGTCAGCACTGTCCACGATTCCCATGCAGAGGACGACTGATGACGCACCGATCTGGGTGCTCACAGCCATACTGTTCCCTGCCGTGAGATCCGCCGCACATGCGGTCAGGAGCTGGTTCGAGAACCAGGCCATATTCTCAGAGCATTGCGCGTTGTCTATCGTCGTGCTACATGTGCCCCAGACAATGTTATTCAGCAAATTGAGGTCGGTCTGTGCCTGAACAAGAGTCAGTTTGACGTCCATCACGAAACAATCCACTCACATTGATGAAGGCCTGCGAGCTCAGCAGCAGCAGCGAAAACGGACGACAGGACCGGAACGAAACAGAATTCGTCATGTTCGAAAAGAAGTTGAAACACGAAAGGGACGAAAAATTTTGGCTGAGATTCGAGTCGTACGCCTGAGGGAATGGAGACGGAAGGCCTGGTGGGGACGCGGGAATCGTAGGGACCGCCTGGTTTACGATGGCCGTCGTCGTGGCCGGTGAAGAAGAACCACTGGTAGCACTACCAACCGACGAAACAGAAGCCCCCGCAGGCAAGCCACTAAGCGAAGCGGCTGCAGACGTAGTCACATCGTCCCGAGCGTTCAGTCCCTGTCCGTGTCGCTTGTGCAGAGACCAGTCCGTGGCATGCCAAGGTAAATTGGGCCAGGATGATGTCGGTGAGCCGCTGAAGATATCGAAGGCCACCGGGTGCGTCAAGAATCGCGTCGAAGCAGTGATGAGGACCAACGCCAACGGGACCAAGACTACAGTCCACTTTGTTCGCCTCCCGATGCGCCGCTTGAGGCTGTCCTGCGGCAGGGTGCGAGGAGGTAAAGGCGGGCGATCACTTGAAGGCGGTGGGGGGGAATCAGGAACGCTCGAGGTCGATTGGCGAGAGTAGCCGCTTGAGGCTCGTGGCGCGTCGGAGGGGCGGTTCGGGGAGGGAGGAGGGGTAAACATGGCGGAGGAAAGAGTGTGGGCCCCGTGAGGGAGGGAGCGTTGGGCAAGGAGCGTCGGTTGGCGGTGAGTGCCAAAAGCAAGTCTCCGGAGTCCGAAAGAAGGATCTCTTTCCGGTCACTGTCCGACGCATCACATCAAGAAGAGATCGACAGGCCAACGCGCAAGTTGGCAACTTACCACAACAAAAAATACAGAAACTCTACGGTGGACTGGAACCGAGCTCGCAAGAATCCTGGAGGTGACAAGGGAAGAAATGTCGGGCAGCCCCTGCAGGGTCATCCCTATCGAGTGTGAGGTCAAAATAACATTGTACAGCCACCGCGGCGTGCCAGGCACCTGGCTGCCAATGCCATGATGTGACCCGCCGGCAACCAGCTTGTTCCGCGCCTCGTGCTGTGTCTGTCCAGTGTCCAATATCTATCTCGGGTCTGCGTCGCCCGCTCTTGCTCCCTCGCGCTCACAAGACTTCCTTGGCGATCGCCTGGTCCGTAAAACAAGCAAACTCAATGCGTGTGCAGATCTGCACCTCGCGTCAGAAGAGTGTGGCCATCTCCCACAGCGCTGATTGGGCGGGCGTTCTCTGCCATCTGTTGGCGCTCTCTCCAGTCCAAATCTTGCAAGTATGCGCCACAGCGAGCAGCAGAGTTCTGATTGGTCAAATATGACCTGCTTGTCAGCAAGCACTCGAGTGTGAGACGATTCGCCCGTCGAGGATTGAATACTGCTGTGTGGTGACATCGGTGACTGACCGTTGCCACAGTTCACATGTGAGTGAAACGTACCCCAGAGATGGGCGTCAGCCTGCGATCCCCGACGGTCGCCAGTGGATCTGGCCCTCTCTGGCCCTCTCCTGGCCGTCGCGCTAAGCGGTGGCTGGCGTTCCTTCGAGAAGTCAGTTTGACCAGGCTATCGGGCGTACCCGGTCCCGAAGCAACTCTCGTTACTTAAAGCGGAGCCGACGCCCATCTGACACAGATTCCTTCTCGCTCGCTCTGTCCGAGTACACTCTTTGTGGTGGCTACCGCTGATTAAGTTCCTTCCATTGTCATCGCCCATTAGCCCATGTCACTACTATGTCTTTGTCCGAGCAATAGACCATTCGTAAAAAGGGTACCTCCGGCAGTCCAAAATAGTAGAGAACACGAAAGTTCGAGATAGCTTTGGGTTTCTCTCGTTCATTATGTCTCACTAGCAGTACGCTCCGCAGCGTTGGCATTCTGCCATACTCGCAACTGAGTGCCTAAAGCACCCGATTGTGTCGTAAGATATTCGATTCTGAGACCGTGATGAGACGCAAACTACGGTGTGCGACACAGACTCACAAGGCTGGTTTTGCACCCAAGAATCGCTGAGCCTGTCCAGATTTGAGCCAGAGCTCTCGTGAAGGGTTGATGATCATCATCAAGTCAGCTTCAGTGTGTACAGCCGGATTCCACATTGCCAGAATCTTTTCCTCCACAGCGAAAGCCCCGAGGAGCGATTTGAGAGAAACCATTTCGCGAAGGACTGCAGCCCAGTCGTCGATGGAAAGCTCTTCAGAGTGTTCATCCAACATCTGTAGCGGCTTGACCAGATCGGAGTCCTTTTCCTGAATCAACGCCAAGATATGCGGCATCCAAGCTGCAGGCGTGTAATCCGTAGTGGGTTCGGGCTCTCGAAGAACTTGGATTTCCTGGCGGTGCCTCGATAAGGCTGACTTGATGCCATATGCTTTGGCGCGCAAGAAACCATACGAGACCAGATCGTAAAGAGCCTCGCGGTCGTTTGCCCAGACGGCAGACAACTTGAGATGGTCGATCAGGTCAAGGGCAATCGGAACATCGGCGTGAGAAAACTGCTTGCCCGAAGTTGTTTTGGGAAGTATCAGTGCCCGATAGATGTCAAGCATCCGATTTGAGGGCATGCTGCGCAGGGCTCGCTCGAATTGCTCTCCTGATGCGGAGCTGCGCAGGGACTCGAGGCAATCGTATGCCGACGAAATACGGCCAGAGACAGCAAAGACTCGACAGGCGAGAATGTCAAAGTCGGACTTGGAGAGCAGGTCTTGGCCACGCATCATAAGCCGGTCCAGCTCGGTGCGCAGCCCGGCCTTTGCAAGTACATCGACAAAAGCCTCAAAAACGGATAAGTAAATTGGTGGACTATCCATCTTTCCGTCCAAACAATCATCCAATAGTTGCGAAATCGAAGTTGGCTGTGGATCCATCTCGATCAGCGTGCGCATTAGAAGAGAGATGGCCGTTTCTGGCGCAAGCCATTCCTTTTCGCTTGTGAGCGTATCGCCTTCAAACTCGGGATGCAAGGCCAAGAACGACTGTGCGATCTCGATAGCTCGCGTCGGGGTTTTGGATGAGTTGAAGGCGAGCCGAAACAGATATACGACAGCCGGATATTGCCCTCTGTCAAACAGAAAATGCATTACAGCTGTAATCCAGGCCTTGTGGAGCTGGTCATCGGAGAGCTGCTCACAAACATCGAACATTCGATGAACATTCGAAGGATCCGCTGCATGAAGATATACGGCCAACTGAGTTGGGTCGTGCGATACGTGGCGTTGCTTCAGGTATCCCCGTAGTTGGAGCAAGCCGGAACCTGTACTTAGCGTACGGCCTTTCTCAGCCATGGCGGTTACGACGAGGTCCTGCGCGTGCCGGAAAATGTCATTTTCTTCCCTGAGTTGCGGTTGTCTTCTAGGTGCGAGATCCTCCGAGTCGGAATCCCCTACCGGATGTTGGGATGCGAACAGGGTCTTGAAGAGTTGAGTGGTGTCGGTAGTCCCTGACGGCTTTGGGCGGGAAAGTTCGATCCCTTGACAGAAGCCTTGGCGGTAGACGCTCGAAAGCCATTCCTCCGGATCGTCGGAGACAAACTTGCAGCGAAGTTCAATGAGGTCATTCATCATCTTGAGGTAGTCGAAGCTCTCTTTGGCATCGGGTGCTTTCCAGAATACGGTCCGCACGGCAGTCACTGTGACTGGGATAACAGATCTCTTTGCAGCCAAGATCCCGAGTTCCCTGACAGTATCCGTGTCCAGTGGCATATAGTCTGGGTCTGCGTCGAGCACGAGTTTAAACAACGTGTCCAGCAAGGCGTCATCCGACAATTCGTCTATGTTCCCTAGCGTCGAGGGAATCAATGACTGAGAGGGCGCAGCCTGCAACCGAAGTAGAGCGATGATCGAAGCGTCCATGCGTGATACAGGTGTCTGCAGAGCCGACGATTTGCTAATCTGTCTGGACTGCAGGGCACCCAGAAAATCAACGGGGAGTGAGCCTCTGAAGTCATATGGGTGAGTATCCTCCTCACAGGGATATTGCAACAGTCACCTTCGGTTATAAGCAGACAGTGCGTCACGCTCTGTCCCGTATTCTATCTCCAAGCCAAGTGCCGTGGAATTCAAACCCACTGCCGATGTAAGAAGATGATGTGCGGTGACGGCTCGCGGGGTGTGCTATAAAAGCAGTCAAAATCAGGAAGCAAAACATGTGGTTTCACACACCGAAAGGAACAGTGAACGTCCTCCTGCTTGAGCTTTCCCCAGTGCTTGTCTCTTATTCAGCCATTTCCAATGAAACAGTGCTCTCTTAGCGTCTCTACTCTCGCGAAAAAGGACAGCGAAGTATTTCGAGGCCCCCGGATTCTCGTCGTATTCGTGCCAGCCTTCAACACCGTCCGCCTTCGTGAGGAAAGTCTCCAATACTTTTCTTTCTTGGCCAAGCAGGTTTGACTATGCGTGATTGTGAATTTGGACAGGTAGCGGAAACAAATCACGGACATTGGGTTTCAGATAAACAAGTCGTCGTTGAGGCCGTTGCAACACGGGCTCTGATGAGGGTCTTTCGGACCTGTAGCGACGCTGTGGTTGCTCGAACGAGTGGAACGACGAAGGATGAAGGTGCTCGTCCTTCGAATACGCAGATAGTTTGACGGCGTTCTCCTGCTTGGTAGACGCATCCGGGACTTGAGGATGGTCCTCTAATCGCGCTGCGTGGCGTGCTTGAAGCGCAGATCAATACACAGGGAGGATCGAGTTGAATGCATCATCCCCTCACATGAGAAGTCAAATGTATCTAGTCCGTTCCGTTCATCCTTACTGACTTGTGGCAGTACAGGTATCTCGGCACTCGATCTGTGGGCAAGTTAAACCCGGAGTTCATGAGCGTGAGCTGCAAAAACAGACGTGAAATGGGGCACGGGTGCTGGCGACGGAATGGGTTGGAAATTGAGATCCCTAGTAGATGAAGTTCGGCCTGAGCTCGCTGACAATCGGAGAAAAGACGCATACAAAAGTTCCGTCAGCGCATCCCTACACGCGACAAAATATGCTGATAGTCAGTCTGCGCTGTCATGCAATCGAGCGGAAGGAATCGCACGGGTCAGAGTCCACGTCCAGGCCGTGTTGAACGAACGGGTCAATGTGAGGACGCAAATGCTGCGACGCACTAGCATCGAGTCAACATGCGATGTCGGTTACCTTATAAACAACGAGAAACAGCTCACGTAGAATGTAGGCCTGGGGGAGGCGGGTCGACAAGGATAGGATTTCTGCGTTCTTTGCCAGCGTCGTGATCTGGGATCGGTGTGGTAGAGAAAGGATGCAGGCACACGGGACGCGACGGGCGGTAGCTCAGACCGGGGTTGAGGCCCTTTCGCCATGCTCTAGACAAAAGCATGGGTGCAAATTGGATTTCACTCAACCTCTACAGACTACAGCACTCTCAGCTGTTGGTTCTCCTGCATGCCATCAACTCGCAGCATCGAGGGCACGGCGGAAAGATCACCTCGGCGTCGAAGATGACACGAAGACCTCCTGCGCTGAGTCCGACAGCCTCGAAACAACGATTGTGAAGTGAATGATTATGTCTGACGCAAATCAGGAATTCGTGCAACGTCCTGGGGAAAAGAGAAGACAGGAGAGTGACATCGGCTACGACGGCAACTCCGGACCGGAGAACGATGGTAACTTGTTGCTCTAGGACCTAGGCGAAAGCCAGGGGGCATCTATGGACAAGAGGACGAGAAATGATTGAAAACTACAAGTGTACAATAAGACGATAATAACTTGGAGCGTAGGTGATTGATCATAGGTAGCTTGGAGGTGACGACTTAGTTGCAGTAGTACGGATAAGGTGGTGTCGAGTATGCGAGTCTGTCTGTTCTGGATTGATGCTACAGCGCAGGGGGAAATGGGGAATACAGGGCTGCGTTAATGCAGTCAAGTGTGCGACGATACCAAGCAAAAATGAGAATGGAAGTGCGGAACACAAACAAGCCCTGGCGCCAAATTACCCGCCCACAACAACATACGATGTCACCGACGCAACCAGAGGAGAGGAAAGCAAAGAACCGAGAGAATGACGACGAAGAAGTGAAATCAGGTGAAAGGCAGGTCAGCGTGATTGGCGGCAAGTAGGGCTTGTACTGTTGATATGAATGCGCTGCACCCAAGAACCACGCCGAAAGCGGGTGCATTGCACCTCCTAACCCGTCTTCGCGCCCTTCTTCTGCTTACGCGGAGGGGTTACAGGCCGTCCAACGTTAATGCCGCCGTAGGGATATTTGGCCTTCTTCTCTGCAGGTTTGAGAATCTGATCGTGCAGCCGCGTTAAACTCGTGGCACCGAAGACACAACAGGCCACACACCTGGAACGAGCATAGCAGTGTCTCATCCACACTCATCATAGCCCCCGCATTGTCGAACTCTCCACAGTAATTGGGCGCCGAAAACAAGGTAACCAAATGCCTCTTGGCAAAGAACTCGTAGCCGTCTTCGACGACCTTTCGAAGCCGGTCAGTCCGGCAAAGTAAAAGAGGGAAGTCTACTCGTTGACGAACCTGATGAGCTCTACAGATTAGATCCATGTCATGCTTTTGTAAGAAACGTGACACGACGTCAGGCCCAAATGTGAAGGATACACCTCGGTCGTTCTCTGACCAACCAGTGATATCCTTGTCAGGGTCAGACCACAACAGATCGCAGAGGAGGCCTGTGCTCTTCATCAGAGAAACGGCCGGAAGAACCATGCGGTTGACGCACCAGTATCAGGCACATCCGTCGGCCTCATGACCCTCCTTATCTGCTCCATGGACTGCAAGTCGGGACTCAATCCACCGTGCATTGTGAAAATCTTCTCGTCGATGATCGCAGCGATGGGCAAGCAGTTGAAGCAGTCCGTGAACGTCTTCCATAGCTTGATATTATACCGACGTTTGCCTGCCGAAGTATGGGTAAAGATTGCCGCAGAGTACCCAGAGTACGCACATTCGTCGTAAAACCCGTATATTCTGTTGATACTCGCGCACTCGTGGTTTCCTCGTAAAATGAAGAAGTTTTCCGGGTACTTGATCTTGTAGGCGAGGAGCAGACAGATGGTTTCGAGTGACTGCTTTCCTCGGTCCACGTAATCACCCAGGAAGAGGTAGTTGGCTTCCGGGGGGAATCCGCCGTACTCGAAAAGCCGCAAAAGATCATAGTATTGACCATGTATGTCGCCTACGAGGGTTATGATTTTCTTCCGACGGCGAGAGAGGGAAGGACATACCACAAATCTTAATTGGAGCCTCAAGCTCCAAGAGAATGGGCTGGTGAATGAAAATTTCTCGCGCTTTCGAGCAGAGATATTTGATTTCGTATTCTTGAAGCTGCACAGGCTTGCCGGGACGGTTGCCGCGAACTGGAAAAACGTCGGTCAGCACAGTGTGGTGGTCGGAGGTCGAAAACCGCAGACTCGACCCGGCTCGGGAGACCATTGGAGCACGGGCCGGCTGTCTAGAGCCCTGTGGCAAGCCATGGCACCGGCAACCAGAGCCAGCTCGGAGCGAAGATGATGTGCGCAGATGGGGGAAGCGAACTCGAGATGGGGAGTGTAGCGAAAGATGGTGCCAGCTCACCCTCCAACAGTCGGTCAATGACCGAGTCCAAATCGATGTCTTGAATGACCTCTGCCATGCCAATAACTACTCTGCTTCAAAGCTCGCAGGTGAAAAAACGAGTGCCGGTCGTCTCGAAGGGGGTCGTGGGGCGATTTCGAGGGGTCCCGAAAACAGAGGGGAGCGTGCTGTTTTAGGTTTGTTGATGGACGTGGGTCGGTAGGAACGTGGCCGAGCGGTTGGGCACAAGATGGGCGTACGGATTTTTTGGAAGAAAATGAGAGTGGAGAGGGGGAAATGCGACCTCTCACCACCCTGGACGATGGCTAAAGGTAAATCGATGGGTTTGGGCGGTGCAGTCTATCTGTGATGACAAAAAATCCGCTTTTGGTAGCACGAGGTGTCATGTCTGCTTAGTCCCAGCTCACAACGTTCTTCATTCCGCACGCAGCAAGTTGCAATATACGCATGTACAGTAAACCGTGGATACCAATAGAAGGCCCTCTCCCATGTATTTGACGCCCGGTGCCCTGCGTCTCAATTCATCCTAAATGGAAGCTGAATATTCAGATGGAGGATTCCGATATTCGCCGACATGGTAACATGCATGCTCCGAACAAGACCGGAGACATTGAACATATGGGCACCGGCAGATATATTTCTGCCGAGGGGTCGAGAGCAATAAGAGCACGATGAAGCGAGATGTTGCTGTGTTGTAACAGTGGCCGAACTCAGGGCCGATGTGCACACAAGGCAGAGGATAGCGCGAGCATTGAAGGATACAGCAGAGCAAATCAAGGACACGGTGGGTTGGCTCGCGAAAGGCAATTTGATATCGGTCCATAGAGAGCCTGTGGTTGAGAAAGAAGGTCCTGTTTACCAGGCTAGGTAGCTGTTCCACACAAGATCATTTGGAGGTGCCATCTCTTCGTTAGCTGCACCGGCTAATCACGCGAGCTCGCGCTGTGATAAGGCTTTCACTGCAAGGGCAACGAACATATGGACGCGAGATTGGATACGACGGTCAGTTCGGAGCTACCATGCCGAACAGCCAGCAGTGGACCTCCAGAATCAGGTTACAAACATGGAACTCGGAGAAATGTACCGTGACGGTTACATAATTACATCGGTGTTCCGGCTCTTCTAACCAACGCGGTCACGTCTCCGACCCTTGGTCTTCACGGACGACCACTAGGTCAGAGCCGTGGGTTTGCTCTCAACTATTTGCTGTCCCCTGCGACGAGTTTTGATTCTTTCACGCATCAGTTTGGTTCCTAGCTGTCGCCCACATCTATCATCCCTGTCCCTCAAGAAAATTTAGATCTGAGGCTGAAGTTTCACCTCCAACGTGAAACTTAACATTGAATCACAGCGAGAAACTTCCGCTTCGGACCAAATAGGGACACGTGCGGATTGGGATAGTAGAGACAATGGCACCATGAGCTTCTGCATGACTGAAGGGGCTGCACCTTCCAGCCTTATGTCTTCCTACAAAATCCTCAGCTTCCAGTCTTGCTGTTTTGAATTCTACATCGGCTCTTGCTTGGATTATGGCTCCTAGCAGATTAAACCCTGTCAAACTTTGTGTTTCAGGCTGCAGACCACCTCAAACCTGAGCAATCTGAGATCATGCTAAGCATCATCAATATGCTCATCTGAATCTCAACTGTTGTACAATTGAAACTGGGAGCTGTGAACTGTGTCCCAAACTTGCTTGACTGTGTTCTCTCTGTGATCAACTTTCTGTCTGCCATGTATATGACTTCCCTTGTGGGTTTCTAACACCCATTACTGCTCACGGCAGTGCAAGTGACATCATCAGTGGTGTTGAGCAGCACTGATCAAGGTAAGACACATCTGAGAGTCTTTCAGACTTTCTTTCTGTGGTCACCATCCAATACACCAAGAGGGACCATGGCTGAGATAGATCCCAGCACTTGCCTGGACATCTGCTGATTTCTGTCAGTTTTTAGGATGGTCCTTGACAAGCAGGCCCAAGAAACCCCTGATGGCATCCAGGTGATTTAGTCAGGTCGTGTTATGGCTTGCATGGAGTTCTTTGCTGCTTGCGCAATGCTTACTTTTCTCCAAATGTCAGTTCTTAGGGAGCTGCAAGCTTCAGCTCAGGTTAGTTTCAGCTGAATCGCTCTCATGCAGGAGTTCCAGATCTCCAGTGTACTTGTCTCTGATAAAACACTTATGCAACCGTCAAATGAGTCAAGGCTTCACCCAATTGCTCTCTCTTAACAAGTGTGCAAAAGACCAGACATCAAATGGATGGCGGGACTTGGGCAATGTCTTGCAAGGCACACTGTATGCCCTATTTCACACTTCCTTTCCAAGGCATGATCTGAATTCAGAGCGTGTTCCAAGGGCCTGTTGGAAAACGCTCTGTGTTTCCCTACCTGTGCCACTCGAAGGGCTGGTCATTGATCTCAGAGCTTGTGCATTGGTCACCTGATTTGAGATTTGCAAAGTTGAAGACCAACTCAACGTTGAGGCATACATAACCGAATTGGACAGTCTGGGAGCCCAGCCAACTCAGCAAGAGAATTGGGACACAAACTGCAGTCCTTGGTGGCAGCAGTTTTTGCTGGATCTGCCTCTGCTCTCATCAATCATTGGTATACTCCCCAAATTGGATTGGCAAATCCCTCTCCTTTTGGTTGTCACTGAACTGATGCGGAACTTCCCAAGGCTCGATCTCTCCAGGGATCCTCTGTCCTGCTCCAAGTCGCATCTGGCCCTGAGTTGGGTTTGTGCTCTAGCCAGTATTGGCAGTCTACCTGCCTCACTGTTCAAGTCATAGCCTACTAATGGACACTGCCACTTGCATCTCCTGTTGGTATCCCGAAATTATGGCCTCGCTGCAGTCGAGATTTGCTCCCTTTTGAGTTTAGCTAGGTTCTGTGTGTTAATGAGCTTACAGTCTGCGATCTAATCACCAAGTTTCACTTGCTTGTCATAGTTCGGCCACTTTTTCATCTTATCTTCGACGATCTTATCTTATCTTGGCACGGTTTATCTTATCACGGATCACGGCATCAGCCGGCCCGGGCTAGGGGTTCGAGGGATTATCCTTATCGATTCAAGGCTGCGCGACATATGCTCCGGAAGGTTCTATTACAACCCATGACCAGTGTTCCATGCGGTACATAGCCTTATGACTCATTAGTTGTAGATATGACTCAGACTGGACTTGGGTATAAATACTGTAGCTACTTGGTTGTATTCTCCAGTCTTCGAATTCACTTCTCTTTTCAACTTCATTTTTTGGGTTGATTGTCACATAATTCGAAGACTCCCCTCATACCCTCCTACCTCATACCTCTTACCCTGCATCCCGCACCGCTACGCCCGCTATATCCTCTTAACCCTTATCAACCAACTTACCCTTTTACCGAATCATCTAGTCGTCCTCCACTATCGCAGTGAAGGGTTCATATCGAGCAAACAGCACCAGGCCACGGGTAACGTTGAGCCCGACCCAAGCCTTACGGTAGCTACAAGGAGTGCTGCGGAGACCTTCGGGAAAACGCACCTCGGGATCATCGGGCACGTGAAGAGCTAGGCCCGGGATCTTTTTGCTAGCAAAAGAACCTTTCCTCGAGTGCTTGTACAGCACACGAATCCACCATTTCGTACCGATTCCCATCATCATCTGGGAGTCCATCCCCTCCCCCCATCATACCATCGTCGCCCGATCTGGCGCATCAAAACCAACCCGGGCCCTCCAACCCCTACCTCGCCCTTCCGCCGCCTGAAGACGAGTTCCCCGACCTTGACGAGTTACCCTCCGAACAACCACCCTCGCCCCCACCTACCGTACCTGCTCCTACCATGTCAGGACATCACCGCATCACCCTCGCTGCCAATCCCCCCTACTTCGATGGCGACAAGTCCAAGTACCTGGGCTTTGTGGACGCGTGCACCACTTACATTGGTGCCTATCGGTCAGAGTTCTCACTGGACGAGACGAAAATCCTCTTCGTCCTGTCCTACCTCCGCAATGAGAGCGGCACAAGCTGCACCGCCTCAAGATGGGCGATGAACTGGAAGCAGCACAATTTCGAGGGCTTCCAAGGACTAAAGGCGGGAGTCACCGCGACAAGCTTCTTGGAGGAGCTTCAGAGGGCCTTTGGGGATTCTAACGCAGAGCAAGTCGCTGCCGCCCAACTCATGGCCCTTCGCCAGGGCAGACGGTCCTTTGCGGACTACATCTCCGACTTCGAAATGCTGGCTGCAGACGCGGGGTACAACGTGGTCACTTCCACCGACAGCAAAGGCGAGTACAAGAAGGGGGAACAGGACAACATCCTCATCGAGTTCCTGGAGCGCGGACTCAGCAGCGAAATTGCAAGCCGCCTCTACAACACTGGCGTCCCCCTGCCCAAGGCATATGGTGCCTTCAAGAATTGGTGTGTCAACATCGAGGCGAACGCTCTACGCGATCAGCTGCGCAAAGCATCGCATGCGCAATCCGCACCACGACCGCCTCCCCAATTCCGCCCGCAGGCAGTCCCAATGACGCCTGCACCCGCCCCGGCCCGACCCGCTGCCAACGAACCAGTTCCGATGGAAATCGATCGCACCCACGCCCGCGGCCGCAATATCATCTGCTACAACTGTCAGCAGCCTGGGCACATTGCGCGGAACTGTCCGGAGCCAAGGAAGAAGCGCACATTCTTCAATCGGGCCACAATGTTGGAAGAGATCGAGAACGGGGACAAGGACAACGAGTTCCTCAAGGAGATCGCTGAGAAGCTGCGCGAGAAGGGTTTTTGAAGCGCTCCACTCCTCTAGCCAAGGAGGTGGAGCGTCCGGACTATGGACGTTTTTCTATACTTGTTTCGATTAGAGATATGAACGATTCTCCTCATGCATACACGATCTCAGACTCCCTACGTACTAATATTCATGATTTTCTTGTTGCTGATATGGAAAAGGAACGTCAAAAGAAAATAGCTTTAAATAGAGAGTATTTACAGAGTAAAAAGGATCAGAAAGCTGCGGATAAATTAATTTTGGACTCCTACGTATTTATGGCTCGTGGAGAAGGAACCACGTCAACAAAGACCGAAAAGGGGAGCACCGCTCCGGAGGCTCAATCCTTGAAAAAGGAGGAAGCGCCCAAGGAATCTGCCGAAATCAGGATTCCAGAAGCACCCAAACGCACGAGGGTGCCGGATGCCGTTCAAAGGAAATGGGCAGCAGAGAGACAGAAGGGCCCGCAACCCAGCAGACTGGCGCAGGAACTGCGCAACTACCAGGCCGAAAGGAAGAGACATTCGATGGATGTGTATGTACAGATCACGGGCCTGGACTCAGGAAAGACGCGCGGAGTCAAGGCGCTACTCGATAGTGGCTGTAGCACCTGCTGCATTGATACCGACTACGCGCGGGCAGAAAAGCTGGATATCCAAGAACTTCCCCAACCCATTGTGGCTCGTAACGCCGACAACACCAAGAACATTAGCGGTCGGATCACGCATTACGTCGACCTAAGGATGAGAATCGGTCCTCACGTAGAGACACGCACGTTCCTTCTGACGTGTTTAGGGAAAGCTCGGATCTTCATCGGTCTTGATTGGCTGACGGAACACAACCCCGAGGTGGATTGGCAGGAGCAGACGATGAGGTTCAGTCGATGCCCAGAGCGGTGTCACATGAGGGGTCACGAGGAGCATCAAGCAATGATCGACATGGATGCGATTGACCTGGACGCAGGTGCACCGGATCTGGAAGAGGGAGAGTCAATCCTGTTGATCGACTTTGGGAAGGAGGTGGATCTACGGTTGAAGGAAACGCCGGCGCAGAAATTCGCAGAAGAAGCGGAAAGAGAGAAGGAGAGAATGACCAAGGGGAAGATTCCGGATCAATATCGGGAATTTGTCAAAGTATTTGCCAAGGAATCGTTCGACTCGCTGCCAGACCGACGGGCATGGGACCATGCAATCGAGCTCAAACCTGGTTCCAAAGCAGTGGACTGCAAGGTGTACCCATTATCACGAAACGAACAGGTCAAACTCGACGAGTTCTTACAAGAGAACCTGGCGAGCGGACGGATCAGGCCTTCCAAATCACCCATGGCATCAGCGTTCTTCTTTGTCAAAAAGAAGGATGGCTCGCTACGCCCCGTCCAAGATTATTGGAAGCTGAACGAAATGACAATCCGAAATCGGTACCCGCTGCCGCTGATCTCTGAACTGGTCCATAATCTATGCGGTGCAAAGTTCTTCACCAAGCTCGACATCCGGTGGGGATACAATAACGTACGGATCAAAGAGGGCGATGAGTGGAAGGCTGCGTTCCGCACGAACCGCGGACTGTACGAGCCCTTGGTCATGTTCTTCGGTCTCACAAACTCCCCGGCAACCTTCCAAAACATGATGAATGACATACTCCGAGAACTGATCAACGAGGGCCACGTGGTAGTCTATCTTGATGATATACTGATCTTCACAGAGAACTTGGACGAACATCGGCGGATCACGAAACGAGTACTTGAACTGCTCCAAAAACACAAGCTGTACCTGAAACCCGAAAAGTGCGAGTTCGAACGCACGGAAATCGAATATTTGGGTGTGATTATTGGACACAATTCGATGCGGATGGACCCAGTCAAGATCAAGGGCGTGATGGAATGGCCAGAACCAAAGAGCGTCAAACAAGTACAAGCCTTCCTAGGGTTCACCAACTTCTATCGACGCTTTGTTCGGGGATATGCGGAGATTGCCAAACCATTGACACGGTTGACAGGGAAGGCAGGATGGGCATGGGGTGCAGATGAGCGTGCAGCATTTGATGGGTTGAAGAAGAGAATCGCAGAGGATGCGGTCCTAGCACTGCCAAACGACACTGGCCAATATCGTCTGGAAGCCGATGCTTCGGAAGGGGCAACAGGAGCAGTTTTGAGCCAAAACCAAGACGGCATTTGGTGCCCAATCGCATTTATTTCACACGCATTGACCGAAACCGAGCGAAATTACGAGATCTACGACAAGGAAATGCTTGCGATCATGTTATCACTCGATGAATGGAGGCAGCTGCTCCTGGGAGCCACGGAAACATTCGAGATCTTCACTGATCATCAGAATCTCGAGTACTTCCGAAAGCCGCAGAAGCTCAATCGACGACAAGCACGATGGATCACGGAGCTGGCGGAGTTTGATTTCACCTTACGACACCGACCCGGCGCACTCAACCGCAAGGCGGATCTCCTGTCTCGACGAGCAGATCACGATCAGGGCAAGAACGACAACAAGGACGTCACGCCACTGAAGCCCGAGTTCTTCCAATCACAAGAAGTCACATTCGAGGGACAGGATCAGCAGCTAATCGATGAAATCAAGGCCACTCGATCAATTGATGGAAGCGTCAAGGCGGCCTTGGAGAAGTCACTCGTTGGATGGAAAAAGGAAGACGGGCTCATCACGTACCATGGGAAGCTCTACGTACCAAGGGACGAGGAACTGCGAGACAAGATCATCGGGCTACACCATGACACCCCGTTGGTCGGACACGCTGGGATCAACCGAACGCAGGAGATGGTGGAAAGAAACTACTGGTGGCCCAGGATGGGAAACCAAATTCGGAAATACATCCAGATGTGCGAGGCGTGCCAACGGACCAAGACCAGGAGAGCAAGGACAGGGACTTTACACCTGCATGCAGTTCCAAATGCGCCGTGGGAAATCATCTCGATGGATCAAATCGGACCCCTGCCGGTTAGTAATGGGTATGACGCAATCCATGTGTGGTGTGACACCTTCACCAAAATGATCCATGTCGAACCCATTAGTACTGACATCAGCAGCGAAGGAGTAGCACGGTTGACAAGGGACCGGGTTTTCCGTTATCACGGGATCCCTCGCAAAATCATCACCGATAGGGACTCACGATACATCAAGGGCTTCATGAAGGAGACGAACCGGATGTTGGGCATGGAGATGAACCCGGGGACAGCATATCACCCGATCACGGATGGGCAAACCGAGCACATGAATCAGGAGATCGAGCACTATCTCCGCATATACGTCAACTACCATCAGACGGACTGGTCGGAGTGGCTGGGAATGGCGGAATTCGCATATAACGACAAAATGAACACGTCTACCAAAATATCACCATTCTACGCCAATCACGGATATCACCCATGGAAGGGAGTAGAGCAGCGGATGGAATCGAGAAACGAGTCGGCGGAGGAATTTGTAAAAAGAATCAAAGAAATACAAGACGAAGCAAAAGCAGCATTGGAAAAAGCAAAAGAAAAAATGAAAAAATACTACGATAAACAAAGAAAAGAAGTTCCGGAGTTGAAGGTTGGGATGAAGGTGTACATAGAAGGGGAAAATATCGAGACGGACAGACCATCAAAGAAGATGAGCGACAAAAGATTGGGACCATACGAGATACTGGAGAAGGTTGGAGCGGCCGCATGGAAGCTGAATCTGCCGGATACGGACCGAAGACACCCCGTGTTCAACGAATCACTGTTGACACCCTATCACGAACCACCCCCCCATCGCCGAGAGAAGAGACCCGTAGCCAAGATGATCGGAGGAGCAGAGGAGTGGGAAGTCGAAGAAATCGTGAAAGAGCGAAAAGTCGGCCGAGGAAAACAGTACTTGGTCAAATGGAAGGGATGGCCGCACAGCGAGAACACCTGGGAACCATCACGCCACCTTACCCACGCGAAGGACGTCCTGAGAGACTGGCAGAGGAAACAATCCAACCCAGACACACGCATTCGCCTCCTACCAACTCTCGAAGCTGGACACTGGGACTATCTTATTCATCGCTATAAACCCAGGGATGAGCGCCTCCCCTATCCCCAACGACAACTCTTTGACCCTTACGAGAACGTCTTCACACCCATTGGCCTAGTCGATGAGGACATCGACCCTAGAGAGGGGGTAATGTCATAGTTCGGCCACTTTTTCATCTTATCTTCGACGATCTTATCTTATCTCGGCACGGTTTATCTTATCACGGATCACGGCATCAGCCGGCCCGGGCTAGGGGTTCGAGGGATTATCCTTATCGATTCAAGGCTGCGCGACATATGCTCCGGAAGGTTCTATTACAACCCATGACCAGTGTTCCATGCGGTACATAGCCTTATGACTCATTAGTTGTAGATATGACTCAGACTGGACTTGGGTATAAATACTGTAGCTACTTGGTTGTATTCTCCAGTCTTCGAATTCACTTCTCTTTTCAACTTCATTTTTTGGGTTGATTGTCACATTGCTCCAGACTAATTGCTCCCCAATCATCTCCCAATTATGACGTGTTCCCCACTCCACCAGTAGTTGATATGTCCACCACAGATCTTCTGGCAATATCTAGTCAACAGCTAAATAAGACAGAACAGATGATTTTTCAAAAGCACCACTAGATACTCATTCAAAAATTTGAAGGCTCAAACAATCTCAAGCTTTTGTGAAACAATACTTTCTATACTCCACCTGCTCGTCCCGTCAATGAACTGGATCCGAAGATTCCGTGCTTGACACTCTCTGTCCACTTTTCTCCCAGGCAATGCACAATGTTAGATAAGTATGGTCTAGAATATGACATATACCAGATTCAGGTCTGCAAATTAGGGCCTGGGAGGTTCTCCCGTGGTGGTCTCCCAGCCCTCGGCTATATCCCAGTCGACATGGCAGTTATAGACCCAGTCTGTCTCCGAGATGATCTTCTTCTGGGCAGCGACAAAGGCATCTACCGGACACATCCCATCCTTCTGCTCAGGACATCCTTCGATCCCAGTCAGCGGAACGACCCCGTCGTTGACAATGACTCGGATCTGGTCTCCGGGAGTGGAAGTGCAGGATAAGACTAGAATGAACTCAGTTCTGCGTTCAACCTTTTCGCCAAAACCTACGTTGGAACTGGACATTAGTCGCGAAGGGAGCAAGTTGGGACACTTTGAAAGTGCGGTTCGTGGGAATGTGGTCATCCGGGAGAGGTCCTTGTGCAGCCAAGGTCGTTAAGTTGAGTGCCGTCAGAATCTGGAGTACAACCACTTCATGGGTCGCATCGACGTATAGACTGTGGTCCAACGGGAAAGTGATGGGGTCGTCATTCAGAGTTCCGTTAGTTGAAGTGTTGTGAATCGGGATCGGGGTATGGGTCAGTCGCGCGACCATCTCCTGCACATAGCCAACGCCCAACGCACGAGCCAGCGGGTAACCGAAACCTGAGTTGTACCAGAAGAAGATGTCCAGGCTGAGAAAGTGGCATGTGACGATGAGAGGGAGAGAGAACTGAGATGAGGGTTTCCAACGCACGAATAATCGAAGCCGTCCCATTCCTCCTCTGTGAAAAGCTCGCAGAACTTCGAATAGCCGAGAGCCACAGTCTCATAGGCGCACATTTGCTGCATGATATATGTGTCTTCAATGGAAAGATCATATCCAGGCAGCTGGGCTTGCAAACGCGCCCGAGCGGATTTAAGATAGACGTCGGCCCAGTTAGATACATGGTCATGCCCCCGATCTGACTTGACCTTGTCGTTCGCATTAGGGCAACTACAATTCATGTTAGTGAAGTAATCGACTTTCACTCGTATGCATACGTTTTGTATGGCGCGAGCGTGTTGTTGAACTAAGAAAGACCGTAAGCACAGTCAGAAAGAACGAGGTAATGGACGGACGTACGCCACCGGCTTCGATGGTGATACTCTGTTGGTATTGGCCTTCGAATGGATAACCAAAGAACCCAATGGCAAAATTCATGGCAGAAGCCAGCATCCGATCTCTGAGAATGGCTGTCAGGCTTGTAAATTTAGAACAGGGCAGGAACCAACTGTGACTCCGTGCGGAAAACGGGGATGGTATTCGTTTCAGTGAAGTTTTTGAGCAGGAACCCATACTTGAGTCGCAGTGAAATGCCAAGATCATCTGGAGAACGGCTCAGAAAATGTTTCGTTGGCAGCAGAGGCCACTCACAAAGCTGCTGCCGTCCAAAGGGTGTAAGCACTGAGAGGTCGTGTAAGTGTTGCTCCGCGATGTGGAGAAGTCATGTTTACCTTCTTCCCCAAGTTTGTAAGTCCTGGAAGACGATTAGTTTGTCTCGAATTTCAGTCAAGAAGACCCTACCAATCATTCAAGAAGTTGAGCTGGCCGGAAGCCTTCCAGTTGGAAGCAGTAGCATGAAGCCGACCCGCAAGGCTCGAAGGGCCGCCATAAGAAGCTGAGTGAGAGTCAGTAGCGAAATGAATTTAAAATACAGAAACGCACCGTAACCAGTGGGGTATCGTGCCCCGTGCCTGTGCAAGAAGTGCAGTCCGGTCACTCGGCATGTTTCAGGCACCTCAGGGCCCGAATCGACCCCAAAAGTACCCCGCTCGTTGCTGTACCACGGTGAGAGGTTTCCCCATTTCTTGAGAAGGGGGTAGCTCTTGCCCTTGGCGCTGGTCAGGTTCTCTGGCGTCACTAGCACGGGTGCACCGCTGTGCACCGGGTACGAAGGGGCCGTGGCAATGATCGCAGCTTCGGCTCCAGTGGGAGTCGGTCCGGGATATCCAACGTCAGTAGGAAACATGGAGGGATATGCATTCGTTGGCTTGGCCGGGGGGAAGTCGTGGATCTCCGTCGAGCCTGCCCACGGCGAGGCTAGTGCAACTGCCGTAGAGCTCGCAGCATGAGAGCTGCCACGGGCGTAGTGTGTGAAGCAGGTCGCGCCGCAGATAGCGTATTGAGTGAGAAAGCAAGCGAGTGTACCGGTAACGAATGCGATGAGCAAGTGATTGAGCCCAAAAAGGGGCCGCGTGTAGCACGAGTGGGGTCCTACAGCCTGGACGTTGCTGTTCGAGCTGTTCGATAATGGGGACGAAGGAAGAAGAGACTCGTGTTCCGGGTCGTTCTCGTAAGACGACTTGTACTCGCGCGAACCGCGCTCGATGTCCGCCATGAAGAACGGATAAGGGTGAGGTGTTTAAAATTGATGCGCTCGTAACGCGGTAACGTGGTGGGTTGACGCATTGATGTCGACTTGATAATGACGTCCACCTTCTTGTACTTACGCTCCATGCACTTTGCACTGCCAGTTGGCCGTCGTGGATATGGCGCGATATTACCAAGGATCTACAGAAGCTCGATGAGATTACTCCATTGACTCACTCGCTACGCCAACTGCTGCGATATACCGGCACAATCCTTCCAGATCTAGGGCGCAAGGTCCGGCGCGGACTTCTAGATGTATGCGACTATGGCATGGAGCCTTCCTGTCGGTGTCCTCAAGTTCTCTTATTGCTAAAAGACAGTTGGATACGAACATTGCGGTCGAAGTGCTGGACTGGCAACTTCTACAGTATATATATGACGAGGGCCTTTCGTCTCAAGTAATTCTGCATCGATGCTGTTTCTCGCGCACTTGGTTCCCTTTTTCTTGATGTCTCTGGTGAATTCCAGTCTCATACAACCAAAAGTTTTGATTGTGACGATGGTGAGTGCCGTGCCTCGCAATGTTTGCGAGTGCTCTCTGATGCACTGTTTCAACCTTGTCGTTTCTGATCTTTCTCAGTTCCAAAGTGAAGCCGAAGTGTGGTACAACATCCCCGAGTTCGATATACTGGCCCAGAACATCACCGTGTCCGGCTTCTCACCCATCTATCCGACTGTTCACTGCACCGCCGACAGCTCCGTCTGCATGCTGACGACCGGGCAAGGAGAGATCAACGCAGCCTCGACGATGACTGCTCTGATTCATTGCCAACTCTTTGACCTTGCAACGACGTATTTCCTCCTCGCCGGGATCGCCGGAATCAATCCCAAAGTCGCGACAATAGGCTCGGTGACATTGGCTCGGTTCGCCGTGCAAGTGGGCCTGCAGTACGAAGTGGACTCGAGGGAGATCCCGGCCAGCTTCCCCGTCGGGTACTTCCCACAGGGTGCAAGTGCCCCTGGACAACTGCCTCAATCATGGTATGGAACAGAAGTCTTTGCGGTGAACGAGGATTTGAGGCAATTTGCCTTCCGTTACGCGTCCAACGCCGTTCTGAATGACTCCGATGGGGCTAAGGCGGCCCGGGCTCGATATGGAACTCAAGGGACGTTCGCTAAGGGTGCTGAAGCGCCCAGCATTACCCTTTGCGACACGGCGACTTCTGACACGTGGTGGAGCGGCAGTCTCATCAGCGAGGGCGTCGAAAACACATTGCAGACATTCACCAACGGATCTGGAGTCTACTGCACGACCCAGCAGGAAGACAACGCGACTCTGGGTGCGTTGTTGCGCGGGGCCGGTTCCCATCTGGTCGACTTCAGTCGGATCATCATCATGCGTTCCGCATCAGACTTTGACCGTCCGTACGACGGCCAAAGCAGTCTCGACAACTTACTTGGACCCATGCCAGGTTTCGGCCTTGCGACGAGTAATCTTTACATCGCAGGCGTGAAGATCACCGAGGGCATCATTCAAGACTGGGAATCGCGATTCGCAGCGGGGATAACTTCGAGCTACTATGTCGGCGACGTATTTGGTTCAATTGGGGGGCAGCCTGACTTTGGGCCGGCCAGTAGATGAAGCGCAAAGAAGACCTACTTCCAATCAATGTACTACGAGTGGTTCTTGGATTAGACAGCACGCCACGCAATTGAGAAGCGCCCGAAATAGAGTAGTTCTCGGCCAGAGATCATCCGCAGTCCATCACTGGCGCGTGGAGATAAGACAGAAAGAGACCGTGGCTCTTGGGGGAGGTTGTTGTGTCAAGCGGTCACTTGACATTCTCAATGGAAGAGGGGCAGCTTTGTCACTTGTCTCAGAAAATCAGGATGAGTCGAAGCCTGGATTTGATGTATCGGCGACCAGACGGGCATGCAAAATTTTTCCTTGAAGCTGTGGCGAGACAGGACCTCTGATTATGCGGTGAAAACTTAGCCACTTTGTTGGACAATTTTAGGCGAAATTTTCTGAAACACTTAGCCCAAAATAGGAGGACGTTGGACAAAAATTGGGGTCTTGCGGCGTCGAACTTAGTCTGCAATGTTGGACAAAAAAGGTGTGATGGTCGGTGGATATTGGTCAAAATAGCTACCAGAGCCTGTTGTGAGGTCATGAGTTCAATATCTTATCGGAATTCATCTTATTTTGTCCCAATTTGCGTGATTTAGAGGGAGATTAATAATCAGGGTGCTATCAATTTCCACCGTAGCACTCCTATTGGACTGCTCCTTCTTAATGCAGAAGTGCAGCGCTTCAAGAGTATGACCTAAGGTCATGTAAACTTCGCAAATGCAATGAAGAGCCTCAAGAGCCAGCAGAAGAAGAGTGTGGAGTCGGACATGGAGCATTCTGATCCCGGGCGCCTTTAGCTGACCCGAAACAGCGTCTGCAATGGCCTAGATGGGCGAAAACTCCATTTTGGAAGTTTCTACATATGTGGAAATAAAAAATAGAATGTTTGGAACTTATGCCCATGTTGGACAAAAATCCCGGGTTCAGCCTCGATTTGCGTTGGACAAAAATCGACCAAAGGACCCGACATCCGGGCTAAGTTTTGACCGTATAATCAGAGGTCCTGGCGAGACTGGTCCAACAAGTCAGCGCGTAGTTATCACTGGTGGGCCAAAAACATCGGGCTATCTATAATTAACCGACAATGATTTCCGGGCTGTGATGTCTGTTATGAGACAGTCAGCAGACACTGCCCCGCAACTTGTTCTCGACCACGACCATGGCCTGGCGTACGTTGACCGAACAGCCCAGTCGAGCGCCGCTTGAGCTCACGATGCACAGAACACGGCCAATTCACCCGTTTCACAGCGGCAAACAATCCTGTTCCCCTCGCGCCTTTGGGCGGAGCACCTGCCACAGTGACAGAGAAGCAGACGCCTCCCGACTCCCTCTTTGGACCCAACATCGGGCCTATCGAACCCGGGCCAGCATGGACGACTCAGGGCCAACCGAAGCGCATCGTCGAGCCCGATGAGCTGACGACTGACACCGTGCGAGCCTGGATCGAAAAGAGTAAGATCCCCAACACGGCAACGACAACGCTCCAAGCGCTCGTCAATCTCCGCCGGCCCACCTTGCGTCTTTCGCCCCTGACGCCTACACCCGGCGTCTCAATGAAAGATGCTCCGCATCTAGTCGAATTCGTATTCGACTGTGCGGCTGCCCAATGCGGCGTGCACGTGCAGGTCCATCTCCCTCCCAACCATCCTGATGCACCCGCTCACGGTGGATCACTGTCCGTCTTCGATGCGGTTGTCGCCGGCGGGTTTGGTCGGGCGCTGGGCCCGGCGGATTCGGCTGTGATCGAGTTGGCACGGTTCGAGCGCGTCCCGCTGGCTGCTGAGGCCTCTGCTGCTCCCGCTGCAGCCTCGACAGTCCCGGCCTCTACCGGTACGCCCGCCCCAGCCCCAGAGCGGAAGCGGTTCACTCCGTTCCAATTCCGCCGAAATCGGTCGAACACCGCGTCGTCCTCGTCCCCCGTGGCTGGCGCGGCACTTACCATCGTTGACACGGATAAGAAGGCCGAAGGGGAGGCTGACGATGCCGATGAGAAGGGTGTGCATGTGACGATCCGACTGGTGGCGCTTGACGCCGAGGGCAGAGAGCTTGACGCTCCGAACGAACACACGGTGTATCTCAGTGTCAGCCGTCTCGGTGCCCCCGCGCTGGAGTCTGTCGAGAACAAAGATGCCGACGGCGAGAAGGACGCTGATCCGCGACCCTGGGTTGTGCGTGTAGTGAAACGCGAGGCCACGATCGGCCCTCACACCTTCCACCTACACGAGATCTATGGTCTGAGCAGTGCAGCAGGTAGTTTCCCCTTTTCTCCTGTACCTTGATGGACTGCTCACGCCAACCTCAGCTCCAGCTCCAGTTGCTCCGAGTTATCCTCCTCAACGTGAGTCTAAGCGTCACTATTTCGTGCATTTCTTTTAATATTCTTGCTCTAGCTACCGCCGAGGAACCTCCTGAGCGCGAGTGCCTGCTGTGCCTGAGTGCGCCGCGTGAAGTCGTTCTTCTCCCCTGCCGCCACTTGGTTGCTTGCCGTCCCTGTGCAGTCAACATGATCGAATTTGGCGCTGGCGGTGCCATTGCACCGGCTGAAGAGCCGTCTGAGCCAGCTGCTGCCACCGGAGCTGCACCGGCCCCGCCGACGGACGCCGAAGCTGCGGTTGAAGGTGTCGTGACTCCGCCTGCAGTGACGACCACCGTGCCACCGCGGAGGAAGCGTAAAGCCAAGGGCTGGTTCTGTCCCGTTTGTCGCCAACGTGAGCTTCAGTTTCCTAATCCGACATGCTCCATCCTGATTGATGTAGCTTATACCTCGCTGCTGCGTATCACGACCGCGCCTCCCCCGGCTGATGGCGGTGTTCCGATCTCGCCAACTACGCCGGCTCCAGTGCCGGTCACCAGCGCTGAGGATGGTGGAACTGGGGGCGGGATTCTGAGTGGACTGCGGCCTGCATTCCTGCGCGGACTCTCTCTGCGCGGACCCGGTGCTGTGCCTAGAGACGTTGAAGCTCAGGCTTGAGTGCTAGTTCGACGTGTAAGATATGCTGCGTATGTTTGTACATTCTGTATTCTGTTGTTCCACTTTTATATGCCACCCGTTAACTGCCTGCCCATTAGCTCGAAGTCAACCATGAACACTCGTGCTGAGCGATGCGTCGGGCCGGTTTCTTTCTCCACTATTTCGTTGTTTGTCGCGACACATGGCGACTCTGGCAACCCAGCTTTGACTTGGCTTGGCTCACAGGCTCCCACACTTTGCCAAGCCTGACAGATTTATTCCGCGCACGAAACTCGGCGGACTTTGGTGGAGATGAATCCTTGCGTTGCCGCCGCCTGGCTCAGTCCAGGCATGAGGCCGTCATTCGGAAGTCGGTTCATTCTCCACATGCGATGTCGGTCGGTCTAGCACCGCTCATGCCCCTGATGGGGGTCACGGTTGTAAGAGCTGTTGCGAGGGCGGCGCACGTCGCAAAAGCCTCCGATCGCCAAGCGTCCCGCCGCCCTTCTAGCGCGATCTTGCGACTTTCTGGACCGACTCAGAGCTGCGGTCGACATAGAGGGATCTTTTTCTGAGCAGTTGTTTGAGGATGGACTAGCAGATCCTGTCCTACTCGAACGAACAGCGAAAACGTGGCCAGCACAACTTTCTCCCGATGTCGCCAAGCCTGTGATGGCGATCGATGAGTAGGGCTGGGCGCTGGGCGGATATAAAAGCGCGCGTTGTTCGAGAGCTTCCCTCAGCTTGATCTCTTTGGCCCACCCCACTACCCTCTTTTCACCCATCCTCCGTCTCGAAGGCGAATTCACTTTCATTTTTCTCATCGGCTTGCCGCATTTTACTGTCCAGCAACTGTTTTTGTTCACCCATCCACCACAAGTTATCATCCCGATGGCTCGTTTCGCTCTCCTCGCACTGCTCGTGCCTGCACTTGTCAACTCGGCGCCCCTCAAGTCGAAGCGCTTCTCTTTTGCTCTCCAGAGGTGCCTTATTACGTTGCATATTTGCATCGTCCTAGTTCTCATGTTTTGTCCAGCTACGACAGCTTCCAGATCTCCGACGGTGTCGGCGGTAACGCTCAGGCTCAGGCCAACGCCATCTTTGTTGATGTGCTCCCCGCCGACCTGACCACCGTTGATGCTACGTCTTTGGCCAACATCAAATCCATGCGTGTCGCTGCTGAGAACGCTGAGACCGGTCAGTTCAACCCGGCGATCGCTGCCGCATCCGGCGCCACTGGTGAGTGGAGTATCTATCTGATTGTGCCAGATTGTGACTGTTGTGCTCGCAGCCGCTGCTCTCCAGGTTGGAAAGATCAAGAACAAGGTTCTCAAGCTCACCGCTGAGGTCACCGCGATCAAGATCGACCTTGCCCAGGCCCAGGCCGCCGGCAAGAGCACTTCCAGCCTCCAAGGCCAGCTCACCAAGGAGCAGTATGTCGCGATTCGAAGCTCATCTTTGATTTACGTGCTGACCACCGATGCAGGACCAAGCTGACCAAGAACATCAGCCTCGACAAGGGCAGCGCCGGAAAGGCCTCCCAGGGTGTTGCCGGTAACAGCAAGGCTGCTGCCGCTGGTGGTGCCGCCGCTGCCGCTGCTTCCCCTGCCGCCGCTACCAAGGCCGCCAAGACCAAGGCTGCGAAGGCCACCAAGGCCGTCGGTACTGCTGCCCCCGCCGCCACCGCTGCGTCTCTCGCTGCTTCCGCCGGCACTGTCAACTTCAACCTCCAGAGGTACATATCCGCTTCTTCGCTGCGCTGGCTGGGTAGCTCATTTTCGTTGTAGCTACGCTCAGTTCCAGATCTCCGACGGCACGGCCGGAAACGCCAAGGCTCAGGCTGACGCGATCTTCGTGACCCCCCTACCCGCTGACCTGTCCACTGTCAGCTCTGCCGCTGCTGCCAACATCGAGACCATGCGTCAGGCCGCTGAGAAGGCTGAGACCGCCCAGTTCAACCCCGCCATCAAGGCTGCTTCCGGTGCCGCTGGTGTGTAAACCTCCTTTCGCTGATCAGTGCAGTGGGCTGACATTTCGTCAGCCACTGCTCTCCAGAACGGAAAGATCAAGAACAAGGTCCTCAAGCTCACTGCTGAGGTCCAGGGTCTCAAGATCAAGCTCGCCAAGGCCCAAGCCTCGGGAAGCAGCACCTCCGCGATCCAGACCAAGATCGCCGCCGAGCAGTACGTCTTTCTGTTTCTTCCCACCTCGAGGTTGCGGAGCTGACGGTCACGGCAGGAAGAAGCTGGACAACAACATTGCCCTGGACACCAAGGCCGCTGGCCAAGCCTCCAAGGGTGTCGCTTAAATTCATGCGTGACGCGCATGTTGCACATCGCCCTGCTTTCGCTTTTTTCCACCCATCCCGTACCATCCATCACAACTGTAGCCCGAGACAATCAATACCAAGCTCATTAAACATCATTGCCATGAGATCGAGAGCCGGTGCCTGATCACCACGCTGGAAATTGTAAATTGATCGTCCGTCCGAATGAAGAGAGTAGTTTACGATGTGCAGAACACGCGATCGCCGCGCGGGGAACAAGTTCTGTCATGCGATATGTGTACGGGCAGCCATGGCCTTCTTGTTGCATGACATGATATTATGTGAACATAGTCAATGCCTCGACGCTATCAAGTAAGATACAGATGTTATTACAGCGCGCATACTACCACTACTGATAGTGCTATCAGTATCATGAACCGCCCTCCATTCGTCTCCGTTTCCTCTCTTGATGTTCCTTATCCTCTTGGATCACCCGCTCAGCAGCAGTCATCGCAGAAGCGGGCCTCTTCTTGTCGTTCGACGAGGCCTCGCTCTCAGGAGGGATCGCCGCGCTGGATGCCTTGAAGACGTTCGGCTTCTTCAATGGATTCGCTTTGAGAGGGTTCGCGGCTTTGAGGGGATTGGATTTGAACGAGAATCCAACAGGTCCAGAGGAAGCAGGCGCCGTCATGGGCTTTGCTGCGAAGGAAAGAACGACTTTCTCAGTCCCTTCTTCGCGCTTCAGGCCTTCGTCAGCTGGTGGTGTAGTCGATTCTGTCACGACTGTCGAAGAGGATGCCTCGTTCGTGGCGTTGGCCCGCTCGATTTGTTCAGCAATAAGCATACGCTCCCGTTGCTCATCCGAAGTTGTAGCCCGGTCTTTCTTCAGCGAAGCTTCCTGATGGGAGATGAGCACAAGTTCGTCGGAAAGGAAGATGACTGCGTACCGCTTTCGCAAGTGCCTTGGGGCTGCTGTCAATCCAGGCAATAAACCACCCCTTCTCCGTCTCGTCCACCCGAGCTATACCGGCACGACCCAGATGTTTGACGAACTCGGACAATGTGACCCAGCGCGTTGCGTTCATGTGCGTGTGGCTCTTATCCGAGATGTACTCCTGGTAGACTTGATTCGCCCGTACACGTTTTGTCCCGAATCTTTGGCATGATCAGGCGCTTGAGGTATGATGCAAAGGAATGGGCACGCACCGTCGGGACAGTAGTTTGACAAACTCTGACTGGAACTCCATCGAGTAGTTGTTGATATGGCGGCCCGCGTTCTCTCCAACGACGAGCATTTGCCGCAGATGGGATTCGGATTGAGCGTGACACTTGAAGCCGTTCTCGTCTCGACACTGCTTCTCGCACACTTGACAGTACCAGCGCAGACGCTGGAGGCCCTTTGACTTCATCTTGTTGGCGACATATTTGGGGGTTCCGACTAGTATTCGTGCGTCCTTGGTCAGTCAAAGGCCGTGAAATGGAACGCAGACGGACCTTCGGCGCGCGGCATGATTATGGAGAAAGCAAGGAGTGAGCTGTGGCTGTGAATGTCAATCTGAGTGGCAGTGAAGTCTGACTCAGCGGAGATTGCCTCCTTCAACCGATTCTAACTTTCTCGATCTCCATGAGCGCATCTCTGGAGTCTCTGCGACGCTGGTGCTCCCACCACAAGATATGGATTGATCATCGCATTGAGATTGTATCTTCAGACCTGTCCGGAATCCATCTAGTATCTCAGAGCCCCATCGCTCAGGACACCATTCGTCGGTAGCCCTCGTTTGCACCGAGTCCAAGCAGAACCGCTCACCGATCCGTATCAAAGTCGTCAAGATCCCTCGCGAAGCTGCTATCTCATTGAAAACCAGTCGCATCTCGCGACATATCCCCGCGTCAGCTTCGACGCACCATGGGCGCTCGGCTCAGCTTTGGCTTGCGTTGGCTCTGTCTGTCGAACTGTCTGTGCCTTTTCATTGATCATAATGGAGCTCTTGATAGAATGGGTGAAACGAATACAGTGCCCTCGGTCCTTCGTCGGAATGGGCTGGATATCTGCAATCTCTACCGCGTGCGCTTTCTGGAATGCCTCTCTTTTGGCTTGGAAGTGGCGCAGATGGTGCCAGTGCTCTTGATTTTTTGAAAGGGACTGAGGCCTGGAGATTGGTCAATGAGACTGATGAGAGTGGTGCAACACTGGTGGTCAATATTCTTGCTTCTTGCATCATCCCTGTACTCATACGATGTCTAGGAAGACATCGACGCTTTTTTTGAAGCTGTCGCGCGTGGGGTGTACTCGAAAGTCCTCGGCTCTTCATCCGTGGAAACGTTGACTCGAAAAGACTTCGCCCTTGCATATGGGCTGGTCTCGTCCCGTGCCTTCCTCATCGATGCGTACCATGGGCTTGCCATGGTTCCAATAGCTGATGCGTGAGCACGTTCGTCCTCTGCTCCCATCATAAGCCAACAACCTACTTAGTTTCAACCACGTGCAGGAAAACCATGTCCACTTGCAGGTGCGCCCGTCTCTGGTCAGCCTCCACTTGGAGCTCACCATTCATCTCGAGAGTGACTACGAGGTATGCCCCGAATGTGGTTCTTTGCGGCAGTGCATCCATGATGGAGGAGAGGACCTTCCATCTGAAACATGGGAGGACGACTGTTTAGAGATGATCTCGAATCGCCCCATCGAATCTGGGGTCGAAGTGTTCAACACTTATGGCGAAATGCTGAGCAACGCCCAGTTGCTTCTCCAATACGGTTTCATTCTCGATGGGAACGAGAATGACCGTGTGACATGGACGTGCGATGAGATGGCCGAATTCGTACACTCCTCCCTGCACTGGGATCCAGCGCCTGTCCGGCAAACCACAGACTGGTTGCAATCGCTTCCCTGGGAAATCCTCGAAGAGTCCTCCGAGCTTGTATACATAGACAGGAAGCACGCGTTCTGTGTTAACGCCGATGGAACAGTCTCGCATGGACTGTGGCTCTATCTTGCCACTGCTCTTGTCTGCAGCAGGACTGACATCCGCGGCCCCACCTCTGCGCAAGAAGCCATCTTATCAGGCGTCGAACATCTGCTTCGATGTCAATCAGGGATGGAGCAACACGAGTCGCCCGAGCATATTTCAGGATACACAACGAACGGATCAACGATCCACCAGCTATCCGGACTTATCTTCTCGCTCTGTAGAGCGCGTTCTGCCGGCATCAGCAGGGGAGAACTAACGATCAGGGAGCTTGGAGAACTGTTAGACGTAGGTGTCGGAGTAGTGAATCATTGTTCTCCGTCGCTGAAACATGCCATATAGAGTTTGCCCGAAGAGTCCGCGCCAAGTCGCAGGATGGCAGTGTCCCTGGCGCTGACAGAGAAATCTATTTTGGAAACTTGTATGTTTGCCTGGCAATCGCTGGCCGAGACATTCGTGCACGCACCGGACTCTGACAAATGATAATGCAATCTGGTCCCGGGTCTGGACTGGCTCTACTCTGGTCCAAATCTGGGCGCAGTATCTCAGCTCCAGACAATTTGTAGAGGCTTGTTTTCTATGTATTGAGATGGATGTCCACCCGTGTTGCATGGCTACAGCTGGAGCTTGCAAGAAACCTGCTCAAGCTGACAGATGGACGAACACCTCTGTGCATCTATTGTGGGCAAGAAGATTTGCAGTGCATTGATGATCCGCCAGCCGCCTGCCGGGGATCACTCCGCACATTCGGCCAGCAACCCGATCGGATGGTCCATTCCACCCAGTGAATCTCCTGGGGTGCAATTAGTGCGTAGGAGCTACAACTCATGCAGTCAATGATGCGCCATTTTCACCAAGATTCTATTTCTTTGTGCATACTCTTACAGCGAAAGTATACACTTTGATGGTTTGATAGCCGTTGGGCCTTTGAGGGAGGGGGGTTGTGGGAACGACTCCAAGAATCGGAGATCTGTCCATGCTCGATCTTGGGAGAGACTTGGGCCATCGGAAGACTCCGAACTTCAATCTGATGGCTACTTATCTCTCCATGATAGCCATCACTTGCAAATCCTCCGGAGTCGGCGTGCCTTGAAGAGGAAAAAACTTCAGGGAAAATGCGCTAGCTAGTTGGTCAAGGACGTGGGTCTCAGCTGGACTCGGTGTCTCTCCTTTTTACCAGTTGCAGCCATCGGTAACACATCCCCGAGCTGCGTCCCAGGCTCAGTTCAACGACGTCCAACTTCTGTGCTCAATGCAGCACATGTGATCACGCCACATCGCGCAGACTGATATGCGGTGTTTCCACGCTTTCGCCGTGACATACATAAGTTCAGTCCCCCACATCACTCTTTTCAATGCCCTCTCGGACTCCCTCCGTCACCCGTGCGCCTGAATGACACCCGAAGAGACGGCTACGCTCCGGAGTATTGGGTTGGACCTGATCAAGTCCTTCGTCGCAATAGTGAATGAGTCCATACTTCTCAGTGCGTCAAACGGTTTTCGCATTCACGTAATTGTTTGACGCGTAAAAAGCGATCTACGGCGTGCTGGTCTTGAAGGCATGCTCTGTGCTGCTGTGTGTTGCTTCGCTGTCGCGTTTACATGCTCTCATTGCTTGTTGCCCGCAGCCGAAAAGAATGGCGCAGGACTCCTACCCTGCTGACCATCATTGCCTTGCTCACGATGTTCGCCGTATGCGTGGTTCTCTGGGCGCTGGATATGGCCAACTTCATCATGGAGGTGAAGTTGAGCATGGTTATTGACCTGGACCTCGCTCTCGACGCGAGATTCCATAACGCACTAGCCTTCATCCTCAAACTAGCCGCAGCCCAGGATGCACTGTATTCTTATCTGGTGCGATGCCCTACGCTCGATTATTACCTGATTCTCAATAGCCTTGCACGTCCCTAGTCTTTGATCGGTGACGCCATTATCATTTGGCGGCTATGGAATCTTCGCACATATTTCCCACGTTGGGTGATCGTCCTTCCCCTCGCGTCTCTTCTCGGCTCGACAGTGGTGACGGTACTGCTGACGTACTGTGTCGGAGCTGTGGGGTCCGAAATCGTGCTTGGGACATTCCAAAACCCAGAGCTTTGTCGGAATGTGCAGATCTCGACTTACGCTATGGCTTGTGCGACGACGACGCTTGCCACAGGGCTGATTGGAGCAACCGCTTGGTCGTACGCCTCCGGTCTCAAATCGATGACGTCCGACCCAGGAAAATCCTCCTGGCAGACAGGTTCGGGTCGGAATCGGCGAGTCCGGTCCCAAGGCGAGAGCATACTGGTCCTCATGATCGAATCGGGGCTCTTCTACTTCTTGTTTTTCGTACGGGGTCCATCTCTCACCTTGGGTGCATATCTGATCCTTTGCAGGCGATTCAACTCGTGGGTGACGTCCCCCGGGTCCATCGCTTCGTCACGGCGAACAATGTTTTGTCGTTTCTGTTCACGATGTTTTCGTATGCGACGAGCGTAATAGTGGTGAGTGACTAGATCCAATCCGGTAAGAACGGTGCTCATCCTCTTTTACAGGGAATCTACCCAACTATCGTCGTCGTATTGGCTCAAACAAAAGCGGGAGTGCTGGATAGCGCGCCATCGGCCTCTGCCCCGATCTCCAGCCTGAGAATCGGAGGCTTACCATCCGTCGCTCCCACATCTGAAAGCGCCGGTGTTGCTTCCACCCAGCCGACATACCACATCGCGTCCAAGGATTTCGATGGGGACCAGTTTCCGTTGGAACAAAGAGCGCAAGCTGCTTCCAATGACCTACATTCAGAGGGCAAAGTTGATCTGTGATATTGTTCCCAGCGTTCGCATTCGCATTGTTGTCTGTAACATATTGTACGTATAGAAATACTGAAGATAAGGATACACGTTTCAGATACAAAATTAGTGGTGTGTGAAGTAGAATATGAGCGGTCATGTCACAGGACCAAGACAGGGCGAAGACGAAGACCTAATCCTCCTCCATGCAGATGAAGTCGGAAAACATTTCGTCTGCGACCTGCGCACAACGAAACATCATCGAGGCGTCTTCCTCGGGATCCAACGCCATGCGCTCGAGCTGCTCTTCGTACGGGGGCATATCACAGTCTGGCTTCAGCGCATATGCACACGATTGACGCCAGCTGTCAACGAGATGGATGGTCCTCCGGAGAGGCAAAACGCGTTCCCACTCCACTTCCGACACAGAATCGGAATCATGCATGGCGGATTCACTCGCCACTGCGTGCTGTGCGGCGCGGACGAGCGTGCCATCCGGCGAAAACAGAGATTGGTCCAGCAGGAAGGCGCTTCGTCCCAGGTTGGGTAAGAGCGGGGGCAGGGGTGCGACACTGAATGTGTACTTCGAAGATTGAGATCGGCGGCGAGATGACGGCGAGCGGGAGCCTGACACTTTGACATTCAAGTTGAGGAAACGGCCAGGAGAGACTCGGGCCATGAGTGCAGCTCGGGCGTCTGCTGGCTCTTTCGTGCGATGCCTGCTGCGCGGAGTGGTAATGCCCATGGACGAGAAGTCACGGTGAGTGCAGAATCCGGTCTGCGGTTCCTGAGGGGTGGAAAGAGCGTATAACAGTGGTCCCCGTCGAGGGTTTGGCGTAGAGGGATATGATGGTCAGTTTTATCAGAGGATCCAGCAGCTTTGTTCGATTGCTAGAGGGAAGGTCTTTGTGTGAACACCAGCCGAGTTCCCTTCCACAGTCTTGCCGAGTTTCCACTGCAAAGGCGCGAGTGTGATTGCGTAGAGTTTGAGAACAAAGCCCATTTGCCACGAGTTCAGATGAGCTGGAAGTGCCATTCAGGAGAGATCAAGACAGACAAGAGGACAAGAGACAAGGGACTGGTGATCGGCCTCACTGTCGGATCGGACTTGTACGGCTCCGCGGCAATACCGCCATTGACGGTAATGAGCCTTCGCTCTTGTCCTGAAGCATGATGGATACTCTATGCACGGAGTTTGCGAACGTCTTAGGGATCTCAGAGCCAAATATGACCCTGTATCGAACGGCCGCCTACTTACGGAGCACGCCGCCCTATCGCGATTCAGGCTGTCGATTAGCGCATCTTCCGCTATCTAGACGAACTCTTCCGTCTCTAATCCTTATCACTCCTCAGTTCCCACCACGATGCGCGGCCTACCTCTGGACGATGTCCCCACCAAATCAAAGCGCAAATTCTTCCGTGTAGGACGCATCCTTCCTCTCGTCGCACTAGCTGCTGTAGCAGGCGGTCTACTCTATCACAACTTCAGTTTGGTCCACGAGGACCGCGCATCGGCTCGCGACTTACTACGGCTCCCTGTGCACTGTCCCGCCCAGTCGCCAGCCATCGCGCCGACTCATCCATTCGCTCCCGTTGAGGGTGATGACTACCGTGCGACCGCCGCGGCGCGCCTCACTGGCGCGATACGCGTCCGCACCGAGACCTTCGATGTGTCCCCCTCGAACGGATCAGGTATGGGGTTCATCTGTAGAACATTGCTGCAGAGGGAAGCTTATCCTTTCAATGAGACCCGGCGTATGACAAGTTCAGCGACTTCGAGACATATTTGGTCGAAACTTTCCCTTCGGTGTAAGTACCCCTACCTTGTATCACCGTGTCTGCATTCCTGATTGCGATGTCAGATTCGGCGCTCTCGAGTTGGAGCATGTTGCCACCCACGGCTTGGTGCTCACTTGGCGAGGCTCAGACGCGTCTCTGGCTCCCATCAGTATGACTTGCCCCTGGTTTCTGGACTTGGAATTTGACAAATGCTAGTTCTCATGGCCCACCAGGACACAGTTCCGGTCCCGGAAAGCACTGTTAGCCGCTGGACTCACCCGCCGTTTGAAGGCTACTTCGACGAGGCAGGATGGATCTGGGGTCGTGGTCAGTCCTGAACAACTGCTCGTTAGGTTTGTTCTCAAGCTCAGTTCTCGTGTATCAGGCGGGGGAGACTGCAAGAATCTGCTGTAAATTGTTTCCGGTATGCCACTTCACTCTGCTCACTGCGCCTATCTAGAATCGGAGAACTGAGCGCAATCGACGAACTGCTTCGAATCGGCTTCGCACCGGAGAGAACCGTGATTTTATCCTTCGGCTTCGATGAAGAGGGTGGGGGCGTGGTGCGTCTCATGGAATGCCCGTGCAGTCAGTGGTTGATGGATGCTTGCAGCGGAGTGCCCAATACCTCTCGAACCACATCGAAAGCATCTATGGCAAAGACAGCATGCTATTCATGCATGTGATTTGTCTCTTTCGCGAGCCTTGTCTGATCTCCAGCTCAACAGTATCGACGAGGGAGAGGGCATTCAAGAAAACTATCTTGGCACGACATTCATCACTCCGGCCACCGGTGAAAAGGGCAGCACCAATGTTGAAGTGACTGTTTCTGTTCCAGGCGGTCATTCTTCCATCCCGTGCGTTGCCATGTCAGATCCGGAGTCAGCAACTTATCTCGAGTGTCTAGACCCGCGCATACAGGCATAGGGATGCTCGCCGAATTTGTCCGAGTGATTGAAGACAATGCCTTCCAACCCAAGTTGTCTGCCAAAAACCCTTTTTCCGCTTACGCCCAATGTCTGGCTGAATATGCCGAAATCGACCCTTCGCTGAAGGATGCATTGTCGCGTGAACGCACCTGGGACAAGGCGGCAGCCATGATCGCAGCAGCTGATGCCGGCGACGGAGCGTATGTGGTCCTTCTTCGTTGAATTCTCTGGATACCCAATTGAATTTTAGACGACTGACGACCACCCAAGCTGTTGATATCATATCCGGGTCAGTGCCTTGTATCTTCCACCTGAATTGGGCTGATCATTTCTGGGATAGCGGAGTCAAGGTTAATGCGCTGCCAGAGCTGGCCACGGCGATTGTCAACCACCGTATCTCAGTGGACTTCTCCGTCAAGGAGCTCCAACAACGTTATCTCGATATCCTCACGCCCACAGCTGAGCAATTTGGGCTGACTGTTATCGGTGCGCGGCATGTCGAACTATACTCCGAATGCACTCGATTCATGTATCGATGAAGATTTTGACTCTGCGGTCCCTGAGGGGGCCACTCACTACCTCAAGTTGACTACACCTAGAGGCTCGGACGCGTCACCTGTAACGGCTGTGCATGGAAGCGCTTGGGAGTGAGCGGAGCCGCTTTGGGACATCGCACGTACTCATTCTCATGATCCACAGCATATTCTCCGGGACGGCCAAGTAAGACTGAGGGGCTCGTGAATGGTTTCAGTTTCATGCTCAATATCTGCCAGACATCTCTGGGGTGATGATGCTGTTGTGGCACCGACCTTGATGAATGGGGGCACAGACACCCGGGCATTCCAAAACCTAAGCAAAGCTATCTTCCGTTTCGAGCCACTGCGGCACACTGACAAGTATGACATCCATACCGTCGACGAGCGAATCCACATCGTATGTCGTTTGCAGTCTACAGTGCGCCGTCGGAATATTGACATCCTCCAGGATGGGCATCTCCATACGATCCAGTGGATATATGCGCTCATTCAGAACGCGGATGCGTATAGGGCGTAATGTCACAGACGTAGTACATGTGATTGATCTAGCAATCGAGGATATCTCTCATACGTAGTTGCAACTTGCAGGTGAATCTCACGGAAACAGACCCATTGCACCAAGCCCTCCCTGTCGATTCTTGATACTTGCGACAAAACAAAGTAACATTCTACAGTTAATTCTTATAGCAACGTATCCTGCACCTGCTTGCTGTGGTGGGGCCGTAATCTACATCCTTCGAAAGATCTAGCGAACACGGTCAATGCCAAATCAGGTTCCCCGGTAGTCAGGCCTCCAGCAACGACGCCGCCATGAACTACGGGTTCCATGTGACGATACATTCTGGGAGCGGTGCCCCGAGGCCGCACTGTGGAACGTACAGCAATGAGCCCAGTCATGTGGTTCTTCCGCCGAAAATTACGGCTGTTCCAAACAGGGACGACATCCATATCCGCACCTCAACAACTGCCTATTGGTTCGTCACTGCGCGACATCGAGACCGCCCGGTTCAAAATATGAAGTGGGATGAGAGTATCGGCGCATGGTTCGTTCATGATGGCGGAGAATGTCGTTCTATGTACAGCTGGCCGCTCCAGGGGCGCACACCCGCGCGGCTTCGCCTCAGTCGACGCGGTCATTCGGGAAACGTGGTCTCGGATATGATCTCGATCTCTGGGCGAGCCCGACGGGGAAGTGGGCGGATGGGTCTTGAATGATGCGAGGCCGCTGATACCGAGTCTTCCGAGTCGTCGTCGCTGGAGGTCGAGGTCGAATCATCAGAGGATTCAGATACCGAGCTCATGGTGCCCGTGTCGGAATCGGAGTCGGGATTGGAACTTGAGTCCTCGGATGACGACTCGTTGCCATTCCTTTCTTCGAACAGGCCGAGGCCGAGTTTCTGAGAGAAGTGAGCACGGTGGTCGAGCGGATGTGACAAGCAAACGAGACGGACCATCTGTATGACCTCCCTGTCCTCGTCCACGTTTTCGATATCAACGCTCCGCGGATCGGCTGCGACCATCTGGGCCAGCTCGGTATTCGAAGCCTCCATTCGTGGGAGAAAAGCTTGGACGCGCTGGAGGACTAGATACGCGATCAGAGGCGTTTTCTGGGAGAGAAACGACGCGCTACGTTGTTGCAAAGAGCTCTCGTCAAATTCCGCGGCAGCTGGAGCGCTTTGATTCCAGATGGCTTCGAGGTTTGGTCTCTGACTGGAGCCTGGTTCGACGGTAGGCAGCGCGTTCGTGTTCAGTTTCTCTAGAGTGTTCTCTGAAAGAGAGCGAAAGGAAAATCAGCTCGAGAAAATGGGAGATATATGAAATCCTCACGGATTCTGGCCAGACGCTCTTCCTCGTCCTCAACGTCGAGTTTTTCAGGCGATTTTCCTTTCTGCGATGTCATGAGAGATAAAATGAGGGCGGCATAGCCACTGATGATACTCTGATCTTGACGCGTCAACTTTGACCAAGGTTCAGATCTCTCGACTGACAGTAAAACCTTTGCGCCCACAGCGAATTCAGTGGCTTTTTTTTCGGAGGAACTAATGTTGGGGAGCTTGCATGCTCTCAGCGGACTGCGATAGTCATCCAGAGTGACTGACGCAAATGACGACGACCCCACCCAGTGCCTAATCTCTCCAACATGACTGCCAGCAATACGGCGCCATGAAAATAGGGGTCATTTGGTGGAGTCAATTCTCATCTGCTGATCGTCTATTTCCATGTGTGATCTCTAACTTTGCTCCAGTTGAAACTTCTCTGAGTCTGCACTCTCCGCCCCTCGAGTTTGATATCCTCGGGCGGCACCCGAGCTTACCCCTCTGTAGGGATAGAGTCCGCGCGCAGTTATCTCGGAGTGATGATCTACGCCGCGACTGCACGCAACAAAGATTAAGCTGCAGCACTCCCAAATCAGCACGAGATCGAGAAGGTTTGCGTGACACTGATTTAGCGGGCTATCTATATCGAAGTCCGGGGGTTATTCCTGTCCTTTACGTTGACCTATGCGACGGCCCAAAAGAGCTTCGGAGCGAACCTGAGATCGATATCATCTTCAATCCTGAGTGTCGGCGGCCTCTCGCTCTGTCATTTCTGTGCGCATGACCAACAGTTGCCGAATGGATTGTCCTTCGAATGGAGGCTCGTGGCTCGTGCTGCCAGGAAACATGTGTTGCGCTCGAGAAACTGTCCTCGAACATATTGGACGAGACGCGTCAGATATGAGTGAAAAGGTGTCAAATTTCTGGAAGTGGTTTGTTTGATGAATTGCGTTAGATTTCACCTCCTCCCACTGCATTTGGAAGCGGAGAATCAGGTGTCTTTCTGAGCACTCAAACGACTTTCGCTGCACCGTACGATTCGAGTATGTATACTACAGGTGAATGTGAGCCAGCCCCATGTGATATTGCTGACAGCGGAGCGCTGGATTTGATCTTCACTTTTCACCCAGATTTCACCGTCGGCAGCATGCGATGATTTGCTGGTGTCAAGCCAACCTCCGTCGTCTCTGTCAAGTACGGACGCTCTTCTTCTGAACTGGACCGATGCCCCGAGGTTGGATTTGTGATGCCCCCCAAAAAATCTCCTCCGCGATCTTTTGCGTCCTGGCTATTCCATCCTCGTGTCAAAATTGTCCCAGCCTCAGTTAAAATGGATGGTATCAGACGCAAGAAAGGGGAAATCTACGCGAGGAACTTGTTGGTGCCGACACCGTGTCATTGGACCACTGTGACCCTGAAAGATAGCACTATTCCCCTTGAGAAATTTCACACATGTTTGAACCTTGCCCATGACTGGTGGACAACCTATCGGTAACGCTCGAGGTGTTTGTCAATTTGTCCCGGTCACGGTCGCAAGCCACACACTGGAATTACGAGGGAGATTTCAATGTCCATCGACAGTACTTATGCCAAGGCCAGTTATGATGCGTGTGGTTGATTCCTGTTCGCGATTCAGAGCGGACGGGGACGCAGCCAAATCTGCTTATGTTCCAAGAGTTATATAAAACTCGTGTAACCCGTATGACGACTCGATCACGAGACCGTGTCTGGTGACTCGTGAGATCTTTAAATTTAGTGGCTGCAAGCATCGGGCCGATAGTGCCGGCGAAATTTGGCCTCTTCGCGTATTCATGTTAGCGACCGTTGAGCGCGTTTGCAGATCGCAACTTCTTCCTTGGGTTCCAAGGACTCATGTGGTCAAACGTGCCGACTTTTGTGCGGGCCAAGCCTATAAATTCAGCCACCCCCTTTCGCTGAAAGAACCCTCTGTTCTCCTCTCGCCATGGTCTCGTTCAACATCTTGGCGGGCGGTTATGACCTCTTCATTGCGTCGTATCTCTTCAACACTACTAACTCGTCTCTGACGCTCACCGCCAAATACCCGTCTGGCGCGAATCCGTCATGGATCACTCCGCATCCAACGAACAGCAGCATCCTATAGTGCGTACATGCGACATCCCCCCTTTGACTCAGACTGAACTCTTCGTCGTAGCGCGACGAACGAGTTATCGCCTGGCGCACTGCAGGCCTTTGATCGCCAAGGTGGCACGCTTTCTGCTGCCGTGTCGACCGTCACATCCGAAGGAGACAACCCCGCATTCTGCGTGGCCCTCTCCACGGGTGCCGTGGCAATCATGAACTACTCCGGTGGAAACGGCCGCATCATCCTCACTGGATCACAGCACGACCGATTGGCCAACAGCACCCCCGCGATTACTTTTACTCCTCCTCCTGGGAATGTGTCTCACCCGCACATGGCGCTGGAGTACAAGAAAGAGATCTTTGTCCCCGATCTGGTGCGTCGATGTTCCATGTTCCGATGGGTGTGTACAAGGTCCGAGCGAACTCACCTGGTCCATAGGGATCGGACATGATCTGGCGGCTCAGCCCTGGAAAAACGGCTGGGGATTATTCCGTTACTGGATCCATCCCACAGCCGGCCGGTAGCGGACCCCGACACATCAGGATCAGCAGTGCGTCATCCGTATCCAGACTGGCTTAGCTGCCAGCGCTTACCCTGCCCGCCTAGACGACCGGCTCTATGTTCTGCACGAACTGTCCTCAACGCTCACGGTCCAAGCGATCCCGTCCGCGCCAAACGGCACGTCTCACATCATCTCGTCCGCTTCGATTCTCGCACCGAATCCACCTGCCGGTGCTCTCTGGGCTGGCGCCGAGATCCTGATCCCTCCACCTTCCGCTCAATTCCCAAAACAATACATCTACGCATCGAACCGCAACACCGGCGTCCAGGCACCCGCCGGCGATTCGATTGCCATTTTCGAGAACGTCGGGCAAGGCACGTCCCGCGAGCATCTGCGCCTGGTGAAACATGTGTTTACAGGCCTGGATCAAATCCGGGCGATGCAGTTCGGTGGCGATCACAACGAGTATCTCGTCGCTGGCGGAGTAGCTGGGTCGGCTGGGATCGTCATATACGAGCGAGTAAATGGGGGGAGCGACCTGAGAGAGGTTGTGCGGAACACTGATATTCCTACTCGCACAAGTTTTATCTGGTACAAGGTCTAATTCGCATAGTTTACGGTTCTAATTCTCTAATACACCCGAGAAAGCTATTTGTCAAAGACCAGGCGCCCAAGACCAGGCGCCCAAGACCGACCCTGACGGCCTACGCGGCGGAACCATTCTGGAATCAGAGCTCGCGTGGGAACACAGCTTAGTCATCACAGCTTCAAGAGCCACCTCCTCACCCCCGTGATTGTCCCAGCATACCATCGAAGAATCAGCCTTTTGATGCAAGAAGAGTTCAAGCCTCGTCGCAGCAAGTCCCAGGGTTGAAACTGACAAGCTGTCTAAATGGTAGCTTCTGCTCCCTCGGACGCACTTGCTCTTTGATCTTGGCAGCATATGCGAGGCTCATGTGGTGGTTTGTTGGTTTGCTGAGCTGATTGCCTATCTGGTGCCTTGTCACCAATCCTTCAAATAGCCGCTCGCGATTCCAATGTCTGGGTCAATGGTCGGTTTTAATATCCTTGCTGGGGGCTTCGATGTCTTCATCTCCTCGTATCTGTTCACCCCGGGGAACGCGTCGCTGACGCTCAGTGCGAACTATCCTTCCGGAGCCAACCCGTCGTGGATCAGCGGGCATCCGAGAGACAGCAGCATACTCTAGTACGCGCAAGCCCATTTCTGCCGCGAAGCACGGTCTTGACACAGCGCAGTGCGGTGAACGCCAATGTCCCGGGAGCCGTGCAGTCGTTCCACCGCAAAGGAGGCGTGTTGTCTGCCGCAGTGGACAGCGTCTGGTCAGGTGGAGACGGGCCTGCGTTCTGTGCAATCATGCCGTCCACCGGCGACCTTGCTGTCGTGAATTACGGGAGTGGCACGGGCCGGGTGATCGTGACCTCGGAATCTTCTGCATCGCACTTTCTGAACAACACGCCCGCGATCACGTTCACTCCGCCGCCAGGAAATCTCTCGCACCCGCACATGGCAGTGGAGTATGGGCACGAGATTTTCATCCCAGATCTTGTGCGTTGGATACGTCTACGGAAGCTCTCGAGTATTGACAATCATGCCAGGGCTCGGATAAAGTGTGGCGGCTCAGTCCAGACAAGAAGGAAGGCGTCTACTCGATCACGGGATTCATTCCCCAGCCTGGAGGAAGCGGGCCGCGCCACATGGCTATTGCAAGTGCGTCCTGAGCAGCAGCACCGCTTCCCCCCCATCTGACCCGCTGCAGACAACCGCCTCTACGTCGTGCACGAGCTTGCATCGACGCTCACTGTGCAAGCCATCCCCCGCGCGCCGAACGGCACCGCAAGCATCATCGACTCCGTGTCCATTGTCCCCCCTGGTGTTCCCGCTGGTGCCCTGATGGCCGGCGCCGAGGTTCTGATCCCCAGGCCGTCGCATCGGTTCCCGAGACAGTACATCTATGTGTCGAACCGTAACAAGGGAGTCCAGGCGCCCACCGGTGACTCAATCGCGATCTACGAAAACGTGGGCGAGGGAACCCCGGAGGAACATCTGGAGCTGGTCAAACAGGTCTTCACTGGCCTGGACCAGGTGCGGGGAATGATGTTCGGGGGCGACGACAGCGAGTACCTCGTCGCGGGAGCAGCAGCTGGCACGGGCGGCATTGTGATGTACGAGCGAGTCGACGGCGGACGAGACCTAAAGGAGATCGTCCGCAACACTCAAGTCCCCACTCGAACGAGTTTCGTGTGGTACAAAGTATGATACCGATACTCACTAATATAAGTAATATCCTCTTCATACACGTCGCTTTCTCCCAGTAGACGCCCTCGTCTTCGTCGTCGGTTTCTCCTCCACGGATGCAGAGCTTAACCGCGACGACCTTCTCCTGGCCGGCGCTGGCTGAACAACAGGCTCTGGAAGAGGTCCAACATCATCGTCCTCATCTTCCTCGACCTCTGAATCCATCAGCGATCCAGGCAGACTCCGGCCCAAGTCCTTGGTCTTGACACGTGACCGGGTCTTGGCCTTGGGAGCAGCTTTGGTTTTCGCAGCGGTTGATCTACGTGAGGCTTTCGGCGGTGGCGGGACCGGTTCAGAGACATCGGCTTCGGCTTCGTGCTCGTCATCGTCGCTTGTAAATGCGCCAGGCGGCGCACGTTTCATCGGAATCGTCTGCGGGGTCACGGTCGGAGCTGGTGCAGTCACCACTGCAGGTGGTTTCCCTTGGAACACCGAGTACGAAAGGCTTTGATCCCCTTGCTCGGTTGCTTCGGGCTCAATTTCTTCTTCGTCCATCTCCACATCCTGGACTCCAGGCACACTTCCGCTTGTCGGTTGCACTGGAACTTGCTCGAATACCATCGGCGATGATGTCTGCAGTGGCGGGGGCTTGTAGAACGCATTTTGAACTCGGTTGGCCGAGGTGAAGACCGACGGAGAGCCAGACCCACTGGCCGATTGGAACAACGCCGGAAACACGGTCGTCGATCCGTTCAGCGATTTCCTCGGCGCGGCAGCTTTGGGGGTCGCGAACAAAACTGGAACAGGAATGTCCACAGGGTGTGTCCTCGACTGAGACAATCCAAGCTTGGATGCAGAGAGGACAGTCTCTGGCACCACCGGCTTCGCTGTCGGAGCGGCCACAGGCATGATCTCCTCCCAGGACATGCTCATGTCCCATTCCCGAGTATTGGCAGGCCCCAAGTCACCGCTCAGAGATGCGATCAGTCCAGGTCTCGTGTCAGGATCCAAATCCAATTCCAGACTCGCTCGTTCAACTTGGGGCAAGGCGGCCAACAAGTCCTGCACCATTTTCGCACGTTCCCTCTGCAGAGCAGACTTGCTGGACGACGCCGAGGAGAACTGGCGGTCTAGTTTGATCGTTTCAGCGTAGCGTCCGGCTTGGATGTGGCGGACACATAATAGGTTTTGAAGTGTTTCGAGAGCCTCGGCCGGCAGTTCAGAAGGTGGAGTAGCGTAAGCCTGAATCACTTGGTCCTCGTAAGACGACATGGATATCGCTAGCAGTTGCACAAGCGCATTTTTTCGTACGGAGGCTAGGGCAATAATCACTATACGTTAGTAGACGAGGAACAAAGGACGCACGGGTGAAACACCAGTCCAATAGTTTCTGTAGTAACCTGGGACGGAACGGATGTTTTTCACTGAAGGTCCGCTGATATCTCCACGCCTCGACGAGGCTGACCTCTGCAAGAGCCAATGTGTACAACTCGATGTCATGAGGCTCGGTCAGAGAAGGCTTGGCGGTGCGCACGTATTTGAGCACATAAGATGGGGAGTTCGGCATTAATGAGATGGCCTGGATAATTTTTGTGGCGTAGTCCGTGTTCAGACGAGCGTCCGAGAGGATGGAAACAGCGCGCTGAGAGTTGTTTAGTAGCCACCCACATCGAAACCATGCTGCCGTCAACAAAACGCACCGGCACGTCAACCCCAGAATCCAAGCTCCAATATGCATCCGACAAAGCCGTGAATTGTGAGGGAATACACCGGTCGAACTTGAACCGTTCCTCGCGACCGTCCTGGTACCACTTGAGCAGGAAATACACAAGGCAGTCTCGCTTCAACGCGTCATAGCGCGAAGACTGGATGGCTTCAAACAGGCGGTAGAAAGTCTCTGTGTCTCGGGGCGGGTAGAGTGTGTCGGGCTCGCGTATGCCGCCAGACGTTAATAGGATGTCGAAGAGAAGAAGATCTCCCAGCTCAGCGCGTCGTTGTTCGATTTGTTGTGCCCGTGAATCGCGCCAGGGAAAGACTTCGGGAGTCAAGTCGAAGTATGTTTTCACGGTACCCATTGCGGTCGAGGGGCGGTCGAGAGGAGAAGGGATTATTGTTCGCAGTGCGAACTACAGAACAGATCGGGGGACGCGGGAAGTTGGCAAAACATTCCCAAAGAGTCGCGCCAATGTCACGCGACCGTCAACTTCCAGAATGGACACTCAACGAAACTAACATGGACTACACTATGGCAAACGGGCTCGATATTTCGAGTATACGATACTATCACACGATTTAAAACGGCACAAGAAATTACTCCCGAAGAAATCAGTCGATGCGCCGAGAGATGGGGACCATCGCCCAAATGACTGGGAACACAGCCATCATGGATATAAGCCTGCCCTTTCTCAGCAAAGGGGAATTGAGAGAGAAACAACATACAAAGGCTGAAGAGAGCGGATGCCAGCCTTGGACGCGATTACGCCAGTCAAGAACGGAAGAGCGGCACTACCTGTTTGCCCGAATCCAGCAATCCAGCCGATGGATGGCGAGAGCAACCACCGGGGAACGGCGCGAGCAGCGCGGTTCATGACGATAGGATAGATGGGGCCCAAGAACACCCCGACTAGACTGACGGCCACCGCACCGCCGATAAGAGAGGGCAAAAACCAAACGATGAGCTCGAGTCTGACAAGTTTACAGTCTGTGCTATTCTGAGCCAGGAAAAGGAATGCATACCCGATTGCCAGGAATGCATAGAGATAAAGAACCCGATTCTCTCCGACCACTTTGTTGACCCAAAGAAGAGCCAGTCGACCAATCATCAGGCCTCCGAAGAACCCAGACGAGATGTAGCCTGCAGAAGGTCCACCATGGCGAACATCGATGATGTATGTGATGATCCAACCTGGAAAGCCCAATTCAAAAGGCATGTAGCAACCTTTCGAGACGAACATACCTCCGATTGTGACTTCAACACCAGCATAAATCAGCGCGAAGATCGAGAGCAAGTGAACGCTCTTTAGCGAAAGAATCTGTCGGAAAGTACTGCGATCGCTAGTGCTCTTCTCCCCAGCAGATTCTCCGACCAGTCCCAGACAGTCTACAAGTTCACGGTGAGTGAGATGTAACAAAACTAGCGACCTTACTCACCATCAAGTGATCGGAATCGGAAGACTAGAACAAGCGAGGCGAGGTTGGCGACTGCGATACTCATCGACACAAGATAGTGGAAGGACCATCGCGGCATCTGAGAGAACTGGGTGGCCACCAGCGGAGCTGAGAATGCTCCTGCGCCTATCAAGACTATTGAGCTGGGACGTCGTCGCGTTTAAAGGTCTTTACCATAACTGAAGCCACCGTCAGATCCCAGAAAGCAAAAATGCACAGATTGCAACTCACCTGGCATGTAGCAATCCCATATAGGTCTCAGAATCCTTCTTCAAACTAGCAACGTATGCGTTTCCCTGCGCATTCTACTCCCCTTGAGGATTCATATGATTCACGCAGTTTCAAGATGCGTACCTGGATAGCGTTGCCTATCCCGTTGATGGCAAATGCGATGGCAAACAGAGGATACGGAGGTGCAGATGCCTGGATGGCAAACGCGACCGCTTGACAGGCGATGGCTTTTCACGAGTTATGCCACGGAGACCGATGTCCCGTTTACACGCACCAAGAACCACCATCTTGCCGAAGCCGAAACGATCCGCCCAATGCATGTTGACTAACGCGCCACCAATGAAGCCCTGCTCAAGTCAGCCTCCTGTCCCATCCCTGATAGAAAGCGGGAGTACCACGCAAGCGCAGACAAAAGTCATCGACACGAGAATGAAGCCGATCTAGAGCACGACCATCGGTTGAGTTGTCGCAACTGCGTGATACAGGTCACTCACATCGTATTCCTTTTGGATTCGTGGAATGATCGGCCCGCTTGAGCCTATCGAAAGTTTATTTTGAAAGTCTATTTTGATATCATGGAGGCATTGCAGACAGGTTTACCATCGTTCCATCCTGTGAGTTATTAGATAGATTAGAATAGTACTTAAACAAAAATAACTGAGGTAAACCTGCAAGAAAAATAGCGCCGTAGATCCCCGCTAATTGGATTTTGGCACGTCTCCTTTGTCTACCGTTTGTGACGGAGTCATGTTCGACGCCGTTCAAGCTGCTCGCCATGATAGCGTCTCTATTGATGTTAGGTTCCGAGATACATAACATGTGTATAGGCTCATCGCCGGAGGTCAGGGGGGAGGAGGGCCCTGGAAAAACGCTGGCGATTGGCCGATGCTCCATTTGAAAGGGAGGAGAGTTGAGGGGAGAGTACAACCAGTAGCTGCACCGCTTGAGGTAAGACTACCTCGTCTTATAGGCAGCGTACGCGAATTCACGTAGATGGATGACCCGGGTATGTCAGTTCTCAGCTGCGCATGAAAGCAGGGTCAAGGGCATGTAAGTCGGAACTTGCATTATTTCACAGCAGCGGGCCGCCGGCTAGAGAAGTTGTAGTATTGATTGGACATCCATCCTCTTCGGTCCGAAGAAGCGAGAGGGTGTCACAATAAGCGCAGACAACCACTTGACATCCTCTTCAGGAAGGTACTGACCACCTGATTCAATTCGCACCGGCCTGTGACCTATGACCTAAAAGTACGAAAGTCATTTTTCGTACTTGGCTTGGGAAGACTGTGACATCCCCAGAAATTTCATATTTTCATCAAAAAAGCGCTAGGAAAAATCTAAATAGCATGTACAAGAGCAGATACACAGTAAAAAGCTTAGAATCTTTTAAACTGCTTAAATCATACTTGAATTGAATACCCAAATAAGCCGCTATTTTCAAAGATTGTGTAAGCCAAATTTTCAATTTTTGGGACAATTTTTAGCGATTTTGTGACATTTTGGTAGTTTTCGTACTTGACCACGGTGATATGAACAAAAAAATATTGTAATTTTCAAGCCTTGTGAAGCATGACATACAAATTAAAGGAAATGCTACAGGAAGTGTTTTCAACGTGGTCTGAACCAAAGGATATGTATACAGCAGTGCTTTTGTGGGTGTGTGCGCTTCCACCCAGATCTTTCAAATTGGGATGAATTCCTGAAATGAAGTCAATCTATAAGAGCATACAAAGGCTCTATGGGACTTGAATGGAACCTACAAGAAAGTAAAGCTACAGTTCAATCATTTGTGATCCTTTTTCCACCTGATTACAATGCATCAACAGGGGTTATCTTGTCAAGGATCACAGCAGTGCCCAGCACAGACTACGGGCTCAAGAGATCTCTGCACAGGTTCAAGTCTGAGATGGTACATATGTCCAAAATGGCCATCAGCACTTACATCTGCGAAGGATATCGAGGATTTACAGGTGGTCAGCAGGTGTCTGAATGGAAAGCTAACAAAATCGATATGATCTGTATTCAACGTTCTAAAGGTACAATACACACAGTCTAAAGCACAAGCATCACTCCGTAAGATATCAGTCAATGCGCCGAGAGATGGGGACCATGGCCCAAATAACTGGAAACATAGCCATCATGGATATGAGCCTGTCTACGTTCAGCAAGGCGCAAATTAAGAAGGGAACGACGTACAAGGGCTGAAGAGAGCGGATGCCAGCCTTAGAAGCGACGGCGCCAGTCAAGAACGGAAGGGCGGCACTCCCTGTTTGCCCGAATCCGGCAATCCAGCCGATGGATGGCGAGAGCAACCACCGAGGAACGGCGCGAGCAGCGCGGTTCATGATAATAGGATAGATGGGGCCCAAGAACATCCCGACCAGACTGACGGCAACCGCACCTCCGATCAGAGAGGGCACGAACCAAACGATCAGCTCGAGTCTGACAATCTCACAATTAGTGCGAGCCTCATGAAGGGAGATTGATAGGTACCCAATCGCCAAGAATGCATAGAGATAAAGAACCCGATTCTCCCCGACCACTTTGTTGACCCAAAGGAGAGTCAGCCGACCCATCATGAGGCCCCCAAAGAATCCAGACGAAATGTAGCCTGCAGAAGGCCCACCATGGCGAACATCGATGATGTATGTGATAATCCAGCCTGAAAACCAGAATTCAGCCATTTGGCAACCTGTCGATACAAACATACCTCCAATTGTGACTTCAACGCCGACATAGATCAGCGCGAAGATGGAGAGCAGGTGAACGCTCTTCAGCGAAAGAATCTGTCGGAAATTACTGTGATCGCTGGTGCTCTTCTCGCCAGCAGATTCTCCAACCCGTGCCAAGCAATCTGCGAGCTCAGCGTCGGCAAAATCTAGTGAGGCAACATTCGTTATCACCTTCAAGCGAACGGAATCGGAAGACCAGAACAAGCGAGGCGAGGTTCGCGACTGCGATCCCCATGGACACAAGATAATGGAAGGACCACCGGGGCATCTGAGAAAATTGGGTGGCCACTAGAGGAGCTGTGAAAGCTCCTGCGCCTGTCACAACGGTTGAGAGGGGCACATGTCAGGTTTAGAGGTTTTTACCATAACTGAAGGCACAGTCAGAGCCGGAAAGCATGAAGGATGAATTGCAGTTCACCTGGCATGTAGCATTCCCATATACATCTCAGAATCCTTCTTCAAACTAGCAACGTATGCGTTTCCCTGCGCATTCTACTCTCCTTGAGGATTCATATGATTCACCCAGTTTCAAGATGCGTACCTGGATAGCGTTGCCTATCCCGTTGATGGCAAATGCGATGGCAAACAGAGGATACGGAGGTGCAGATGCCTGGATGGCAAACGCGACCGCTTGACAGGCGATGGCTTTTCACGAGTTATGCCACGGAGACCAATCACCCGTGTCCACGCACCAAGAACCACCATCTTGCCAAAGCCGAAACGATCCGCCCAGTGCATGTTGACTAACGCGCCACCAATAAAGCCCTGCTCAAGTCAGCCTCCTGTCCCATCCCTGATAGAAAGCAGCAATACCACGCAAGCGCAGACAAAAGTCATCGACACGAGAACGAAGCCGATCTGGAGCAAGGCCATCGATTTAGTCGCAGTCACCACATGATAGAGACTACTCACGTCGTATACTTTCTGGATTCGTGGAATCATCGGTCCGCTTGAACCTGTCGCAAATTGAACCGGGCGTCATGAGTGTGTCGTAGACCGGGATTATACCATCGTTCCATCCTGAAAAGTATTAGATGGATAAGAACGGCGACCAAAATAGATCGAACAAACCTGCCAGAAACATAGCGCCATAGATCCCCGCCAGCTGAATCTTGGCACGTCGCCTTTGTTTACCATTCGCGACGGAGTCATGTTCTACGCTGTTCGAGCTGCTTGCCATGATAGCGGCTCCGTCTCTTTCGCCGTTGGGTTCCGTGATGCAGAACGTTCTGATAGACTCATCGCCGGGGGTCGGAGGAAGGGAGGGCCCAGGGACGACGCTGGAGATTGGCTGTAGTTCCATCGTGAGATAAGGTGGAGGGGGGTGAATGGAGAGTGCAACAAGCAGAGCTGCAGACGCACCGCATGAGGTAAGACTGCTTCGTCTTATAGGCAGCGTACGCGAGTCGCGTAAATGGATGTCCCGGGTATGTAAGTGCTCGACAGCGCGTGAAAACAGGGTCAAGGGCATGTAAGTCGGAGCTTGCACTACTTCACACTGGCGGGCCGACGGCTAAAGGAGTGGTAGGATGGCCCTGGCTGTCCGGGCCGAACAGCGCAAGGCGATTGGAGCAAGCACAAACAACCACTTCACATCCCGTTTAGGAAGGTATTGGGGAATTTCGCGGTGAACTCTTTTTAGATAACCCAGATGCGGCAGCAGCTTTCTAGTGTCTAAATATTGTTTCACCAGGATCTCCCGAATTATAATCCTATGGGTAATCCCTGCACCGATAGTCGTTGGCAGGCATATCATACATCCTAGCATTACATTCGAAAATTTATACCTCTATCACAACGACCGACCCTCAAAAATCATCATCTCCTCCGTCATCGACATCCCAATCTACATCTTCTAAGGCCTTTTCTCCCTCAGCATACAGCTGATCCAAGCCTGTAAGCTTTTGCAGATATTTGTCATCGTTCAAAGCATTTAGGATCATATCGAAACCCTGAGACTCATACGCTTTCAGAACCTGTCGCGTGTCAGATCCTGAATGAGAAAGTCCAATGGCAAAGACGTACCGTTTCGCTGCATCCAGTGCACTTATCATATGCTGCTCCAACGATGTGCAAGTTGCGAAACTGCGCTAAGAAACCACGAAGTTGATGAGGAACAAGCCCCAAAACGCCCCCACCAACAAGCGCAGAGGGATCTGAGTTGGGAGGGGGGGCTCCAGCGTGGTTCCTGATGTGCATTGAGATCAGGTTCACAAAGGCAACGTATCTACTCACGCATCTGGATGCTGTAGAACAGATGCCAACAGCTCGACAGCAGTCGAAGCAGCAATCGGGGCAAGCCCTGGCCGAGTGACTGTGCACATTTCGTCCAGGGTCCGGTCTGTCAGTGACTGTGCAGGGGTGAGCCTTCATCATGTGATTAGATGTCGACACTTACATCGGCCGGAGCAACGATATCGTTACAGTAATAGCATCCAAGCTGGGTGGCACCAGGACGTAACGACGAGTGTCGCACACCGTGACGCATAACAAGGAACGAATCGAAACCAAGTGCGGCATTGAGAACGATCTGGATAGCAGGTAAAACTGTTTGAACGGCCCGCATGATGTCCAGTTACACACCTTTCCCTTGGCAGAAGATATCACAGTCGGAAGCCACCGACTCTCTCGAGAATCCATCAGCAAGAAGACTGCATCGTGAGAATCAATTAGTTCCTCAAGTCTGCGAACATCTTCCTTGGCTTGCGCAACAGAGACGGGAGGAACTGGATGACCAGGCATGGGTATAGAGAGTGTATGTCCGGCGGCATTCTGTCGCGCTGTGTTAATGCAGTTCATGAAACCCATAAACAGCACGCTCACGATGCCGGGGAAAATCTTCTTCAGGCGATCAGCAGCACACTCTGCTTTAGGCTTTCCTCCATTCACACAATCTTCGAATTCGAATAACGGTTGCCTGACCGGATTTGAGAAGGAAACCTTCCCGGAGTCAACCAGTGTGATGTTTCGTACTCCCCAGCCCTTGCGTATCATTAATCTGACATGAAATGCTTGAAGGTTACCTGAGACGAGCGCACCATCAACGTCCTGGCAACATAACATCCCAGTGTTCCGGCACCCAGCAGCAGACACTTAGTCGACGAGATCTTCTCCAAATCTAGACTCGGAAGAATGCGCCATCGCATAAGCTTTAGGTTCAGGTCTACAGCTTGGTCGGCCAGGCGCACAGGATCCATCATAGGCGCCAGATCAGCCATGCGAGGAGCAAGCTTTCCCTGAGGATTCTTCTCCCAGCCGACTGCGCTGGGCCGAGAGGTCTCGCTAGTCCCAGTTTCAGCATGGACAACGCCGATGCGGGATTTCCAGGAGGCAGAAGCAGTCGGGACTTCGGCATCGCGCCAACACAGGACCTTCACTATGTTTGTTGTAGCAGGGTACAATGCCCGCAAGTATGCAAGAAGATTTCGGAGCGGCCATCCCGGGTTGTTAGGGTTCGCAGATGGATCGACAAAACCAATTATCTGTTCCTCGGGGGGAACATTGGCAAAAAAGGACGCGTAAGATTCGACGGGGGCTATCTCGGCGCCTGAACGAACAAGAAAGAAGGAGAGAGGAGACGCTCGGAGTTGCGCATGAATCGATGACAGCTAGGTCGAGTGAGTCTGCGATTCGTGCTTCGTTCCGTACAACACGTACTGAATCCTGCGCCAACGCTTCGCTCGCCGGTTTCCATCCAGGTTCTTCTATCTCCCAAGCTGGTTTCGCGACAAACGCGGGAAACGCGAACCAGTAGTAATACTTGTACTTTTTCAGATCCGCATAAGTAATCAGAAGGAAGTTATTGAGTTCGGATGTGTCGCGGCTTGTGAGGATCTTCTCCCACATCTTGGAGCACGATCAGATCGCGGCACGAAGATGAGAATATGAGCGCACCTTCTCCGCCTCCTGATTGAACAACGCCGTTTTGTCCGCAGACTTGAAATCTTCGATCGTGTTGAAATTCTTGAAGTGTCCTTTGACCAGATACGCGCCGGATGCTGGTCTAATATGGGATGGTTATGCCCGCGTCACATTCAGATGGCCCACTAAACTCACTGCGAGTTCTTGTGAAAGGATTCGGCCCCTACACTCAGATTGCAACCCAGTGCGATCTCGTTCCCTGTTTCGCGATCCGTGACAGACCTGCCAACAGAGTACGAGCCAGTGATGGGGAGCGCTTCATCCGATAGGCGTAGCACGTCGATCTTGAGGGATGTAAGCTCGTGCCAGAACGCGGGCTGGACGAGAGAGGCGAAAGGGGCGAATTGGACAATCGGCATGTCTGTTGTGGTCGCAGTTCAAGTCATGGAGCAGTGGGTGATGGAATCAACTGCTTCCTTGTTGGGAAGTCTCCCCAACATGAGCCGTGGTTCACAATAGGGAAAGTACCTTATTTTGAAAACTTGTCAGAAGCTGAGACGTTGAACGAGTGCATGCATCTTTGAACGCTTCCAGTTCAGGTTCAAGCTGGTTCAGTCTCCTGTCACGGACCAGAGGACGAAACTATTGACGGCAGAAATGTCAAAAGCAGTCACGTGCTCGTCACCAAATTTTGGACTTTCGGAAACCCCCGGTTTTATGCTGCCATGCACCGACTCGCGCGACTGGTGAGTTCAAGACAAACAGCAGCTTCCCTCACGGCGCGCCGTGTGTCCCGTGCATCTATACCCACTTCGAGCCTGACGCACCGGCGTCATGCTTCACAAAATGTCAATCCGGAGTCACTCTACGCGCAATACGTGCAGGACCTGAAGAACCCCGCGTCGGCCCATTTCAACCCCAATTCCACTCCCGTGTCTTTCGAAGAGTTCTCGAAGAGATTTCAGCCTCAAGAACCCAGGGCAGAGGCAACACCAGCCGCTGTCCTCGAAGAACTCGCAGAGCTGGGCATCACTCCGGAAGCCGATGAAACCTATCACGCAGAGCCCTTCGTGGACCCCTCTCTAGAACCCACTTTCCAAATGCGCCTGGCGAAACTCGGGAAAGTGGTGGAGGAGCAAACCGCCCCCGCGGAGGAGGTCGCGCAGCGCGTGGCGCAATTGTTGTCTTCTGGGTCAGCCCTAGAGGACAGATGGTCTGCCGAGCTTGTGGAGCACCAACTGGCGAGGTATAACGGGCCGCTCTCGGCGCTCAACGCTCGGGTAGAATGGTATCTGCAGAACACGGAGGCCATTCAATTGACGGAAGCCGGTGATGTTCCCGGAGTGCTGGACGCGCCGAGGGAAGTGTACGGTAAGTTTGCATTCAATCTCCATCTGAATATCAAGACGAAATCTCATGCATCAAATTTCGATTGGCAGACAACTCGGAATATTATTACCGTCAGACCTTGGCCGACGAACTAGCAACTCATCTTCGGAACCGTGATGTGCAGTACACGATTCAGAACATCTTCACACAGGAAGATCAAGGAGCTCTGTTCTCTCTACTCGACAGTCTCGTTGCACCTCTTTTCAATGAGAATCCTGAAACCATGCGAGCCATCTCAGATTTGTTCGCCAAATACGACGAAGACGTGCATTTGGTGTTCCGCACAGAACCTCGGTTGCCCCGAATCCGTCGTCTGGAGGCTTTCATGCGTCTGGCCCCAATGCCAGGCGATGAAACACCACAAACGAAAGCAGCTCAAGAGCAAAAGATCAGTCAGTGGCTCGTACTCAGCAACAATCCTCCCGTTCATGTCTTGTATTAGAGAAACTCGTCGCTGAGGTCAAGCGAAAGAACGAGGAGAAAGGTGAATTTCTTCGCAATCCTCATAGACTCAGGTATTGACCGGGATCTGTCAGTCGAGGCAGCTCGTTTGGCGAAGAAAACACCATGGCCTGATTTGATGACACGGGATCCCCTACTCGATTCGCGCGATGTCATGGAGATCCCTGCGACAAAGGAGAATCCGTATCACAATCGGGTTGTCATCCGGAACCACCACTCCATCTTCAATGAGGCACTCCAAGCGGACGGTTTCGATTTCGCAAACCACGAGCCTACGAAATCGAATGACGCTCACGGTGATGCCGCATTGAAGAGGAAATTGATGGTTCCCGACACGTCCAACCTGATCGTCTACTCCGTCTACAGATACAGGGCCATAAAACAGACGGGGAAAGGGAAACTGGCTCGTGCGGTGGCTGTTTTCATTGTCGGTGATGGCCAGGGGATGGTCGGCATGGGCCTGGGCAAGCACGAAGACATGAAGACTGCGCAGAGCAAGGGCATCACCGATGCTGTCCGAAACATGGACTGGGTCGAGCGTTTCGAGGATCGGACGATCTGGACGGAAGTCAGAACCAAGTTCGGCGCAACCCAGGTGATCTTGAGGCCCCGGCCCGTCGGATTCGGTCTGCGATGCAACCCTTACATCCACCGCCTGCTCAGTGCTGCGGGCATCAAAGACATCAGCGCCAAGGTCTGGGGCAGTCGCAACCGTATAGGGGTCATGAAGGCGACGTTGCGTTTGCTCCAAGCTGGCCATGCACCATTGGGGATGGGCGACGGAATCGGGGGCAAGGGTCGCAAGAGTGCCAAGGGGGTCGGTCTGCGCAACAAAACACAGATCGAACGGGAACGAGGAAGGAGGTTGATCGACTTGAGGGTGTAAAGCATGGTACATCGCATCAGATTGCTCTCGTTTTCGTCTCTCGTTACAACATACATTCACAATTCATCCCTCTCGAAACATCTCCTTGTCGTCATCATTCTGGCTGCTCCTTCCGTCCGCATCTGTATCCTCGAGCGTCTTGGAAACATCCACCTCCTCGAACGCACTCGACATGCCGCGCACAGGGAACATGCGCGTCAGACTGTAATACACAATCGCTGAGACCCCAAAGCCGGTGAAAAAGGACATCTGGTATATACGCGTCGCAGCGAGGGGGACCGTCCGTCCAGTTGCACCGGCAAATCCGACCACGTTGATCAAGATTCCCGCAATGTACCCGGCGTAAGCACTGGCTCGGTGTTAGCTCTTTTAATGATGCTTCAAAGATGTCGCATACCGGAAATTGATCCCGTAGGTATACCAATACCAGCCGTTCCTGTGTGTGCTGTACAAATCTGGCACTCGGTAGTGTCCTCGCCGGATGAAGTAGTATTCCGTGATCATCACACCCGCAATGCTGCTAAGGAAGACTGTGAAAGAAGATCAGCAGTCCACAATGTGGATCCACACGCACACCCACCTGAGTATGCGGAGAGATACGACGTGAAACTGTTACTGCTCTTGAGCAGGTTCCATGGCAGCATGCACAGTCCGACGATTGCAGCAACAAAGCCTCCCCGACGGATGTTGATGAACCGGGGGAAAAGTGCAGTCATGTCACAGCCGGCACTGACAGAGTTGGCTGAGATGTTTGTTCTGATGAACAAGATCAGATATCTGGAACGCGACTCCAATTCATCTGTCCCTACCCAAGCTGAGCGATGATGAAGGACGCGGAAATGAACCAGACCTGTGCAGTGTTAGGAGACTTGAGCAGAGCAGCGAGCGATACACACCCCGAATCGTGTTGCATGTGAAGGATTATTGTCCAAAAACTTGCCCAACAGATCAATCGGAGACCAAACCGCATCGCCGCCAAAGATTACGGCTGACGACGACGAGACGATGATTCCAATGAAGGATACCAAACTGAACGTGACCGGAACAGAGATAAGCTGCGGCCAGAGGGCGGCAGATGGAGTGGTGGCGCGGGACGCGAAGTCAGGTGCATTCCTGTCGCAAACTCAATGTCGAAAGAGATTCACATGAGACGGCACGGCACATACGTGACCAAAGTTGCCATGTTGCTGATGCAGGACATCAAGCTCGACACCATTGCCCATCCAAGCTCGCTCCCGTGAAGTGTCGAAGGCTGTCGGATAATCGGGCCGACGCCTTTGGCCTTGACGATACACCAGATGAAGAATACGATTCCAGCCGTAGGTGCCACAATCGCTTTGACGGTGAACAGATGTCGTATTTTGTGTATCGGGAACCAGATGGCGGGGAGTGAAATAAGCCAGAACAGGAAAAAGCATAGAAAATCGCGTGTGTTCGTGCCAGATGAGGCAGGAAGGTGGTTTGCTGAGTGATGAATAGTGATTAGCCAGAATAGAGATTGGAACGCTACGACGTACGGATGTTATTCACACTCGGCCACATCGCCCTCAACATAACTAGCACGCAACTGCCCCCGATACTTGCTTGTACGCCGTACCAGATGCTGTCATCGAATCAGCACAAGTCATTGCAAGGGTTGCTTCAAAGTAAGCTCACCAAGCCATGGCGGCACGATTGAACGTCGTCCATAAGCTCCCGTAGAGTCCAAAACTCGTGCGCGCAACCACAGGAAACGTCACATGGAAAATCGCGCCAGGACGAGCATTAAGGACGATGAAAGGTGCCACGATCCCGTACCCCAGCCAGACACATATCCATGCCTGCCACCACGAGAGTCCAAGCTGGACCATAGAGCTCACGATCATCCATGTGTTGACGTTAAAGCTGTCTGCGACCCAGCTAAACAGATCGAGTTAGCACCTAAGTAGTACACATCTGCGGGGCGGCGGAACACGTACAACGCAAAAAAGTTCCACGACTGCCAGGTTCGCTTCTCCTCCTCCACCGGAAGCAGGTCCTCATTCTGCAAAGCATCGCGTGAGTAGGTTCCGGACAAAGCAAGACAATCCACAGCTTACCGCCAAGAACAGTTGGGAGTGTGAGAGCCCTGGTTCATGCGCAACTTCGAGGCGCTGTAGAATGCCCATGGCTGGAGGTAGGGAGCCTTCTCTGATGCAAGGCCTTGATATAAGATTGACGCTTATCATCGGAACGAGCATTTCAGATAAGATAGAAGCGCCGCCACGGAGCGCGGACGTCTTGCCAGTGACATGCCGGCCTAGACTTGTGGGACGCCGTCAAGGGGGTGAAGGCAGGAACAAAGAGCCTCCACCAAGGGAGAAATGAGGCGCGTCGAACCAGACGATATCCATTAAAGTCGGCGCCTATTGAGTGCAGTGGAGGTCTGGAAACAACTTTGAAGGCTCCAATGGTGGACGTCAAGATTCCAGAAAGCTGATGGGTGGAATGAGGTCACGCGCAGATGCACGTGATATGCGGAGACACGACTGGTCACTTGCCCTGTCACAAGATCGATTTCTTCAGGAAGAGGACAAAACGTGTTCATGAATACCGATGGACAGCGTACGTCGGGGGAAGGCGGTATAAGTAGAGGTATGTAGTTTCAGACAGACAACGACCAAGCATAAATAGAATAAATGCAGTTATAGATGAATGTAAGATGCAGGGATGATCGCGATATCGATCCGATTGTAAGTGCGTGTTTTCATGAGCAAAAGATTGCCGTAGAATAGATGGTGATGTGAGCCTGATAGCATGTGCGTCGATGTTACAGTGGGTTTGAGCAGAGCATAGGAGACGGGGACAAGACATAGACTGTGAGATGTACATGCATCATGTAGATGCAACGGGAGATGGGGACCGCAGTTTAAGGGCGGGGACTCTCGGCGATGGCGATCGGCTGACTTGTCTGAAGCGCTCAGCAGATGGTGACGGGGTGGTGAAGGTGAATGCGGAGTAGATATGACGCCGCTCAGGCGTAGAAAACACCACTGGATCCTGGCCTGCCGACGAGGCGGGGGGTGTAACACGGGCGAGGGAGCCCGAGGAGTGAGAAGATGAGAAGTAATCGCGAATTTCGGGTTCGGCGGAGGTGGCCTGAGGTAATGCCACTCAATGAGTATGGAACCAACGGGCGGAAAACGAAACGTACCTTTCGGAACTTTGCGCGTTCCTCGGAAGTGGGTGGCGCGTCACTGCCGAACGCAGCATCGTACGCTTCCGTAACGTCGGCCAGCGGGGCCACAGTCAGCTCGTAGCAGCGTGAAGCGATATCCGCATGCATCAGACGTTCACGAGCGGCCCCATCTTCCTCATCCAATTTCGGAAGGGTTGGCACACGACGAGGTTTCTTGCTGCTCGCCTTACGGCTAGACTTGCCACTGTCCTTCTTGGATCGTATCTTCTTCCCCTCCACTTTATCCTCCTTGTGCTTCTTGGCAAGGACATCCTTGGTGGCAAGGACCTGGGATGTCTTGCGCTTCTTCGACATGGAGGGAGGGACGCAAGGCTCTCCGGTGAGAGGATTGATGTTCTCCTTCTCGATGACAGGGGAGAGGGCGGGAGTGACGGCGGAGGCATTCGGGTCGGAGGCAACAAGGACTGTGCCGGCTGCTCGCTTGGCCTTGGGGGCGGGAGAAACGTCGGTGGGGGTGTCGCAGTAAACGGTGAAGGTGGCCATGGCGATTTCGATGATGGCGGAAGGAGGACGAGGCGCGGATCCGGGCGGAGGAGTGAGAGAAGCCGGCGTCGGCGTCGAGGTAGAGAGCAGAGGACCGTCGGCAAATTGTCCACTAAATACAACAAATCACGTCACGTCACGTGCTACTTCAACTTCGCGTCCTCGAGGATCACGTGCCTCAAACCTGTCGTGCCTGCCAGTTACTACCAGAGTGAACAACTAAGTATTCAGACAAGTCATATCTTCAACGGCTTTGGGGATGACAAACCGTTTGCGACATGCGCTAAAATCTGCCGACCATCGAAGATACCGGGCTTATCTTTTCCGTCGTGCATTGCGTCCACACATCCGCTTTGTCTCAGTTGCATAGGAAATGGAGTCCTGTGCTGCGCCTTCGCCATCCTTCAAAACTTTGAGCTTCGCTGGGTGTTGCAAGCGTCCATGCGTGGCCTTGCTTGATACGCGATGCCTCTATCTTGACATCTTTCCTGGACGGCTTCCAACGGTCGTACCGTATCTTCCCGGGGTAAGCACTAAGCGGAACTTGGGAATGTCTCACCGCTTCCGATCGACCTCTTCCTCTTACATCATGGACAGCTTTGCTGCGTTGGACCGCGTGCGGATATTGCCCTGTCTCAGCCGGGGCATGGGTATTAAGGTGATTGCAGGGTGAGACGGAGTTCGACGATAGACTATCATCACCCCCCCGTGTGTTGTGCGCACAAGAAGTAGTCTCGATCGACAGGCGTGCTTTCTCAACGCGATCTCGCCAACTCATTGGAGCCTGACGTGGTTCGTTTCACATCCTCATGTTTTGCACGCTGGTACTGACTTTCGTCGAATAAAAGTTGCCGGCTCCTTCGTCTCGTTAAGACCAACTCGACACTCATTCCCCTCAGAGGATCCCGCTACGATGTACACTGCTCCTGCTCCAGACGACGGCCGTGTCCCATCGACCTCACTGGAACCGACGCATCCAGCACCGGGCACCCTCATTGACAACGGTGCGCTTGAGCTCATCGAAGTTCTCGGTGTCGGCGGGTACGGTGTCGTTTACCGTGCCGTCGATGCCCACTCGCCGGCCTCGTCTCGGCAGTTCGCCGTCAAGTGCCTGCTGAACTCGCAGACTTGTGCGACGTCACGGAAGCGGCAACTGCACATCCGGGAGATAGCGCTGCACCAGCTGTCGAGTGCGCATCCGAATGTCGTGACGCTTCACCGCGTCGTCGAGGACGACAAGTATACATTTATCATTATGGACTTTGCCCCAGACGGCGACCTCTTCTCCCAGATCCTCTACGGCTGCCGCTATCTTGGCAACACGAGGCTCATCAAACACATTTTCAACCAACTTCTCGACGCCGTCGAGTACTGCCACTCCTTGGGTATCTATCACCGCGACTTGAAGCCGGAAAACGTTCTTTGTTTCGACGGTGCGTGCGTCTATGCGGATGATGTCATCATTTCTAACCCACCACAGGCGGTTACCGTGTGGCACTCACCGACTTTGGGTTGGCAACAACCGAGAAGTTGAGCGAGGAGTTCAGAACGGGCAGCGTTTACCACATGAGTCCAGGTGCGCGCCGTTCCGTATCTTTCCGCGATACCATGCTTACTGGACATCATCAGAATGTCAAGGCGGGGAATTTGCGCCCACGGGGTCCTACTCGCCCATGTTCAATGATGTATGGTCGCTCGGCATCGTTTTGCTTAACCTCGCCACGGGCCGCAACCCGTGGAAAGCTGCGACGATTTCCGACTCCACTTTCCGCGCATACATCCACAACCCGTCTGACTTCCTGTTGTCGGTTCTCCCCATCTCTGCAGAGCTCAACGATGTGCTCGTCCGCATGCTCGAGCTCGACTGGAGGGACCGCATCACCATTGCGGAGATCCGGGCCGCACTCGAGTCGGTCACGACATTCTACTCGGAGGGCGCCGTGTTCGATGGGAGCATGGCGAGGTGCCCATGGGAAGTCGGCGTCGACCTCGAGCCGGATGCGGAGCCGTCCCCTGTTAAGGAGCTGGAGCAACCGCGCCACTCGAACTGGAGCGTGGAGTCGAGCCTCGTGTTTTCACACCCGCAGGCCACGAGCGACGCATCCTCGAGCACGCAGTACTCGTCGTGCGGTGGCACGTGGGCTCTCGATTCGCCAAGCGCGTCGGAGATCCTCGCGGACAAGTTCATGTTCGAACGGCCACGGTCGCCGCCTCCCATCACGCTGCCAATCTCGTCATGTTCATGTGACGAGCACATTCCCGAGCCGCTTCCTGCGTCGCTTGGGGGCACGCGTAAGCCTCCTGCCCTGACCATCAATACGACGCGCCTCGGCCCGCAGTACTTCACTATCAAGAACGCGAGCCTGGATTCGTCGTCGACCGGGTCTTCAGCAATGCAGACGGCAGTTGACGAGGAGGACCCTTGGGCGTCGTCTTTCTTCCTCGGCAGCTCCAAGGCGTCCATGGTCGACTCGGCAAGCCTTCGAGTCGAGGCGGACAAAGACTCCGTGATGACTTCGCCGCTGGTCTGGCATCATGGGCACTGCGCCGCGGACGACATCTCGCGGTATTGCTCGACACAAACATCCTTCATGGATGACGAGGAGGAAGACTCCTCGGACTCGGATCTCCGATCGCCGACTCCATCACCCACAGGCACCACCTGGGGCGACTCATGTCAGTATTCTTCGTCGTTCTGTTCTGTTGCCGACGCGTCTGTCCACCCAAGGTTCGGTGCCGAGGTCCCAGGGCGCAGCCACAATAAATACAACTCTCTGGAGCCGTTTCAGTCGTTTATTTTTGAGGAGGCGTCTCCTTCTCCGTCTTTCGAGACTTGGCCTGCTCTTCCGAATCCGATCTCGCCGTCGTCGACTCAGGGCCAGCGGATGATCAGACCCCGTCCTTGGATCTTCCGCGCCAAGTTGTTTGGGTCGATAGGGCATTGATCCATCCTTTTCGTCTTCCTGTCCATCAATGCCCCCAGACGACCAATTGTGCTATTTATGCTATGTAACAGTACCAGGGGTACATTATCTATGTACGAAACCTCATGTAACTCATGTACTCATGCCCATCATGACCTTGACGAAATGAAACGTCGTTTCCATGTACCCAGTCGGAGGCTCATGAAAATGAATGATTACACCCAGACCAAACAAGTCATTTCTACAAAAACACTTCTGGCTTCTCCTCTGACTTCTTTGGCAGGGCATCGATCACCGTCATGGGTATTGCCGGCACAAGCTTCCGTTTCCCTTTCGTATCCTCCGCATAGTTCTCATAAAAGTTGTTCTCATCTCGTCCGGAGTCACCATCGCCGTCACCCAGCCGGCCCGGCCCATCCCAGAAATGGAAGGCTTGCACGTGCACCCCATAAGATGCGGGGACGACCTCGAGCAGGTCCCCGCGGGCAATCTCGATGGCCGGAATCTCGGATGCTGGGAGCCCGATTAGGTATGCGAGCAGACACCGAATGACAGACGCATGTCCGATAATGAGAAGGTCTTCCTGCTCTCGTTCGAGCTCAATGAGCACCGGTTCTAGGCGAACTAAAACAAACCGGTCAGTCATCGATCCCAAGCTGCGAAGCGTGCCACGGACCACTTAGATCGTGGTAGCTCTCGGCTCGTGGAGCTCTGAATGCATATGGGTCTTTAGAGAACCTTTCCCAGTCCTCGGGATAGTATTTGCGAGCCTGGTCTGGATTCAGTCCATCCCAGACTCCAGGATTGATCTCGGCCATCTGAGGTTTCTCGGAGACCTTGACGTTCAGCGCTGGACTCGAAAACCGAGACACAGAGGCTGCTCTATCCCGCGATGTCGGCTCCGGCATGGGATCAACCCCATCGGAGGCTGCCGCAGCGGCTGAGGCCTGGGCAGTGGTCAGGAATGGCCACGCAGTGTGGTGCGAGCGTCGGCGCGTCGATGTCCAGATCTGGCACGTTCAAATGTGGGTGAGTAGTCAACGAAACATTGCCGCACGTACCACAAGTCTTCGCTTGTTCAGATCCTGCTTGGTTCGTCTCTCCAGCACAAATTCTTTCAGTCGTTCGGCGTACTCCCATCCTGCAGGGGACAAATCCGAGTCGGCTTTGTATGAATGTTCGATCAGGGATTGCCCCGACTGAGAAAGATTCAGCCTATGAGAGTCCTATAGTACCCGTGCATACCCTCGCGAAGTAGATCGTCCGATATCTGTTGTGGATGTTCATGAGGAAGAAGACGATTCGCGACTGCAAGTAGCCTTGAATATTCTGCAACGACTTAGCATCAGTCCAGAAACAATCCGTGCTACGCACATTAACCATGATCTTCTCGCCGACCTGCACAGAATGGTCAGCGGCTGAGCGGACATTGCTTCCGACTTACGTTGATGATTCGGATGAATGGCCAGGTTGTCTCCTCTACGGGTTCATAATGCTTTTCGTGGTCACGGATACGAGTGTAGTAGTCTTGAACGGCTTTATCCGAATCCCATCCGCGATACTGGTATGCATGAGAACAAGCGGTTCTGATATCCGTAGGCTCACATCGGGAGACGAAATCTTGACACTCCGGATGTTGCGCTCAATGACATCTTGATCGTCGCACAGAGACTCTTGCGGAAGGGGTCAAGTCCGGGCCGAGAGTACGACAAGCCGTACTCACCGAGCAAGATCACATGGATTCCAGCCTTGTCAAACTTCTCCGCCAACGCTTGCCGCGCAGCTCGTGTCCCGTTGTTCGCGTCGTAGATGACGACCTGGCCTCCACCGTTGAACACGTCCCAAATCAGGTCCTCGCACCCACTCGAAATCTTCGCCCGCATGGCCTGAGTATCTGCAGATTTTTCCCCTATCAGTCCGGTTTGCGTCTTTGAGTGCTAACGTGTCTGCGAAGAGCACTCCGGGTCACCGACCTAGCGTAAAGTAGTCTGGAGGAAGTTGTTGCGCTCCTCCCAGTGTCTTGCGTCGGTAATCACCCAGCGACACCACTTGGGTCTTCACGCCCATCCAGCGTAGGTATCGCTCGAGGGCACGGGAAATGTGGGTCTTGCCTCGCGCAGGGAGACCGATGGTGACGATCAAAATCTTTCCCGCATGGAAGAGAAGACCGGAGTCGGTGGTGTAAAGTGGTGCAACCATTGAGGGTGATGGTCGAAGGAGAGGCTGGGATCACTTGGAAACTGCTGATAGGATCTTATCTTATCTCTGAAGCTTGGGCCAGGAAGCAAGTGAGCTTACAATGACCTATTCCATGCATTGATGTACGTATGTTCGTAGAATCTATAGACGTAGCGGAGATACAACAGATTGACTGCGCCTCCACTTTCTCCTTGTGCGAATCATCGGGAATCTTGGGCAGAGAGCCGCGGTAGGAGCCCAACTGATCGAATGCCTAAGATAGCAGCTAGCCATGACAGCCAATACAAGCCCATCAACATGCCCACGAAAAAGCAACTGAAGATAACCGCTGTCGGCTAGGCACTCTAAGCCACGATAGTTAGGAACACACATAGAGAGATGGAACTAACAATCATATGCAGCGTTAGAGTGCGAGCAGAGATTGCAATGAACATGAGATTGTAATTGGTGGGTTCTGTTCGGCAGAGAAGGTGTCCAAGTCCACCCATGCGTAACAGAGCTGAAGCCACAGCACACACACGTTGCCCGGCGCAAACGAGATGCTGCCGACAGCAACAGCACCGAATGACAACGAATTGAGCCAGAAGATGGAGCCAAGAGAAATCAGGCTTCATCTATGCCGGTCAAAGCCAGAAGCTACAGCCTTTAGCCTAATAAGCTTGACAATCGTTGTAGCAGATTCACCATCCACGTGAAGATTCCCCATTCTGCCTTGAGAAGGTTGAAGATGAATACATAATCCCTGTCGCAGTGCGCGTACTTCAAATGCGTTAATAATGTAAGCGAATCTACAACACGCTCGAGAAAGCCGGGATGCGATTCGGGAGGGCTTCATTGAATCCCCTTGTGTTTTGGGGTTGCAGATGCGTGCTGAAGCAGCAGAAGGACCGACGGAGATCTTGATGGGCGGCGGGTCGCCCATCTCGTCGAAGAAGAGTGGCATCTTCTCAAATTCTTCATCGAAGCTGTCTTCGAAAAGAACTCCGTTTCGTTGTCGGATTATAGTGAGTATCCCTTGGTACGCCCCCGCTGTAGCCTTAGCAGCAGGGTTGGCAAAGGCTCTTGCTCCAAAGAGGGAGTGACCACAGTCTCAGGATCGTATTCTAGAGGATGTCGAAACAAACGTAATGCACATACAGTATAGCGACCCACTTGATGAGAATGGTGTTTTCGTCCCCAGTCTTCTTAGCCTTCGTCGTCTTGGTCTGGATGACATGGGTGCATAGAATGAACGCGTTGCATCTATTCATCGTCCACACATGAGAAGAGGAACGGGTGGTAGAGCATAACGAGCGGCGTGTGCAGCAAAGCAAAGCAGAGGAAAGAACAAGGTGTGGACACTGACACACGTCAACGAGTAGGCACAGCCCACGGGTGTGATAATGGGTGGACTCCGCTGGAGGGTTGCAAATCCATCTAATCGATTTCGATCTGCGCATTGAAACCACACTCGTTGTCGGATGCGGAAGAATCAGAAGATCGTTCTCAGGCGCTGTCTCCCACGCAGGCTCAGCATGGTTCAAAATAGCAGGCAATCGCTCGCCGCATCAAGGGATCGTGCATCCTGTGGCGTCCGAATTTCAAATCAGTTCATCGCGAGTTGGTCGCTAGACTGCCAGTGAGATGTCGATGATGGAAAGGAGGCTGATTGTTTGCTCGACCAGCACCTCGATGATTCGGAAGTAAGGCGGTCCTAATCAATTTGAGAGTGGTAGAGAACAGGCACAGTCGGGACGCAGTAAGGGGTGACCGCACGCATCGTCGGGTCCGCAGGCCGGAATTTCGCTCAAAAAGGTAATGGAGCTGCTTGTGAAACTGCAAATAGGCGCGGCGCCCGTATGTGACATGCCGCCTTGTCACGCTGATCCCTTGACACCAATTCCCTCCACGATCATCCGGAGACTTTTCTTTTCTTCATACCTCCATGGACAGCCGCACACCACAGGCGCAAGACCAGTCCAAGGACTTCATGTCCTTCTTTCCTCCGGATCTCGCGATGGAGCAGCTGCAGGCGTCGACGGAGCAGTTCCAGTTCTCATCTCCGCAACAGTCTGCGACCGCCGTCAACATGGACCTTCTGGGCACGATTGGCAGCATGATAAATGAGCAGACCACTGCAGCTGCATACAACCCTGGAATGCTCATTGAGCAACAGTACAAGGTGCAACAGCTACAGCAGCTACAGAGCCTGCAGAACCAGATCTTCCAACAACAGGCAAGTGATCAGTCATGCCCACATGGCCTCCTAATCGTGTGCCAGATTGCAATCCTTTCAAGTTCGCCTAGTAGCCCTCTTCCGGTCGAAGCAGAGGGCATGAGGGACAGAGGCGTACCATTTCATGGACTTCCTACCCCTGGTGCGCGCAATCATCCTGTGTCCTAATCTTACGACTTTCTCACACACATACAGGCAACTCCACCGAACTTCGTGCCCAGACTTCCGTTGAATATGTCTCTCCCATGATTCTCGACTACAATGACCCGTACGGCACGCCGCAACCACAGCATCACTTGCCTTCCGCGCAATACAATGCACCACCGCGCGGATCGACGTCCGCACCGGCTCACATTGCGTTTCACACGAACCAGCCCGAACTGGACTTCGATATCTCCCCGCTAACGAGTCCGTGGCTCGGGGCGCATCAACACCCTGTCAGGCACGAAGCGCCGCAAGGCATTAAACGACGAGCGACATCAAGCAGCGACGACGAAGGTGCCGGAAAGAGCAGTGATCGGCCGTCACGCAAGAAGCAGTCGCCGGCCATCCGCGCCACCATCCCCATTCCCAAGAAAGGGTCTCGGTCGAAATCGGCGAGCTCCACTCCGCTACTACGATCTACCCGGACTCGGAAGGAGAGCATCTCGATGCCAGGAGACACACCCTCGCCGGTCGATCTGTCAATGCCGCCTCCCGCTCCGCCAGATTCGATCGCGTTCGTGCAGCAGCAGGCGTCAACGTCCACACAATCGTCGCCAGCGTTGAGGCCACAGCTGACACCGGTCACACCAGCGAGCATCATGAACCTCGGTCGATTGGGCGTCGCGAGCAATCTGGGCGGCAAGTCGAAGAAGTCACCTGTCACGGCGTCATCACCCAAGAATGCGCTGCCCGGGACATCGACATTGGGGGGTCCGGTCTCACGGCAAATGACAGGAATGCCTCCGCGCAAAACGTCGCACAAAGCGGCCGAACAAAAACGAAGGGACTCATTGAAGACGACGTTTGACGAGCTGCGGACACTGCTGCCGCCCATCGCGCTTCCGTCGGATGTCGCTGACGAACCGGTGCTACCCGGTGCACTCCCACCACGAGGCCCGCCAAAAGCCGGAGCAGAGGGTCCAAATAAAGGCGTGAGCAAACTGCAGCTGCTGATCTGTGGGAACGACTATATTCGCACGCTGAGCGGTCGCGTGCAACGGCGCGACGACGAGATTGCGAGTCTGCGACGAGAGGTCGGCTATCTCCGAGGCGTTACACGCGGCGAGTTTGTGTCGAATGGCGAGGTGGAGGAAAATGATCTGGAGCATGACCTCGATGCCTGCGAATACGGAATCATGCTGGGTCGGATGTCCAACACAGTGATCGAGGAGGACGACGAAGACGAGGAGTGAGCGCAGATCGGTACATGCGTGTATATTCCCTGTAGTACAAATATCCTAACGATAGATACTCGATGTACCAGGAAGTTCGGGAAGGGCACACTATTGACTTTATTACATCACCAACCGGGCGGTGGGCCTTGCGGCGCGTGGTAGCCGCCCTGAGCACTGGGGAACGACGGCGTCCCGGACTCATAGGTGTCAGCGCCTGGGAATCCCGGCGCCGGACCGGGAAATTGCGGTGCGGACGACGGAAACGAGGGTGCGCCGCCATACTCAGGGAATCCCGGCCCGGAGTTCGGGAATGATGGGGGACCGGCCGGAGGCGAGTACGACGGTGCATAGCTGGGTGCATAGCCTGAGGACGGCGGCGGGGGCATGCTTGGTGCACTGTAAGAGTCGTGACGAGGGTAGGCGTTCTGGGGCGGAGGTGGTCCACCAGGTGCGTTGTAGTGGCCATGATGTTGTTGTTGGTGTTGATGTTGCTGCGGGTGATAGGGCTGCTCTGGTTGCTGATATTGCTGCTGCTGGTGATATTGGGGTTGTTGAGGTTGTCCCGGAATCTCCCGGCCTATGCCCTGCCCACCGAATATATGCTGTGCTTGAGCCACGCCCGGAATGTTTTGTGCGTATCCCATGATATCGCTCTGCACCTGGTGAGCCTGATTGGAAGCAAATGTTCCCTGTGCGGCAGAAGCTCCGCCTTCGCCAGCATGCCGGATATTCTCATGGTTCCGCACAGCATTCTTGGTCAGGCGATGCATGATGTCTTGTTTCCGGTGTCCTAGTCCGTCTGCCCATGTCCGCATGTACTGCATCATCTCACGCTGGATCTGCGAGTGTGGGTTGTGGAAATCTGGGTGGAACCTGTGCCGGAGTGTTGCACGTAAGCACTGCATGGAAGCCAGGATGCAAACACGCACATGCAAGACAGCACATCCTCTTGCAACTGGTGCACGTTCACAGAATTGTCGTCCCATGCTTTGATCACGAGCGTCACCGTGTGGATCTTGGGCGAGTGGGTGGGTCATCCGATCCGCAAGCCTCGAACATTACTCACGAGGATAATTCGCGCCAGATGCCCAGCAGGTTCATTGAGAATCAGGTTCTGTCGAGCATATCGTCAGTAGCACTCCACACCTTCCTTGAAAAAGCATACAAAATGATCCTTGCTCAGGAAGGAATGGGTCGGATCGGATGAGTGCGGGTTATCAAACACCTCAAACTGCTCCGCATTGTTGATGACCTCGCCCGAGACTCCAGCCAGCGCAGTCGTAGACGTCTTCAAAATCGGGTTCAGGAAAGGTTCCAAAGTCGTGAACACAAAGACTGCAACCGTCAGCTTGAGCGATCCAAGGCAAAACCATAACCCACCACCGATCGAATCCGATATCTTCTCCACCAACGCGTTCAGTCCAGGAATCTTTTCGATTGTCATGCTGATCTTCTTCATCACGGAGTCCCGGAAGCTCAACACCTGCCACAATACAGCGTGCAGCTCTTGGGGGCTCATATCCTCCGGCCGCTTTCCACCCTGGCTTGGTCCGGCACGGATCCGCTCAATTCCCTCCATCTCGCGAGACATCTCACCACCCGCCCCACCGGGAATGTTGAACAACATATCACGCAGGACTGACGATTGATTGCCCGATCTCGCAGACGACCGTGCCTTATCCAGTTCCTTGTTCAGGTCCGAGACGGACGCTTGGCTGAGATGGTCCGTCGCCTCTGACCGGGGCGTCAGACAGAAACACATCAAGAGTAGGTGTATTGAATCTCACCGCCCAGAAGCGAATGCGTGAAATCGCTACCACCAAAAGTTCCGGTGACCAACGGCGCAACCCAATGACCGTTCGGCGCTTGGATGCGCGCCTGGTCGCCGACCTGCGTGAAGACCTCTTGATGACCCATCGCGACCAACGACAGCTCGCAAAAGTTGGAGTGGGCTGGGAAATCTTCCAGCGTATGCAGCTAATGACGGCAGTGAGTTGTTGGCTGCTATCAAGTCTATACGGGTTCTGCACTCACCAACTGTCCCAACAATCGATACGCCTCGTACTCATCTTCACTGCGCCCCTGAGCACGATGCTGGCGGCCCAAATGAATGCATCGATCCAGCGTACGCCGGACGAGGGCCTTGGATGTGTCCCAATGTCCGTTTTCTGGCGGTGCTGAGTTCTCAAACTAATCAAAATCGCAGAGGAGATGCACCATTGGCGATGTAATTTTTCATTCCGGTGCGAGGATCAATTTCCAATTCGATGGGCTACAATGAATGCAGATCAGTGACATGAAGCGCGGAACACAAGTTAGTAAGACGTACCTCAACGGGACCTCTCAACTGTGGGTGATACCGACGTGGGTCTTCCCCAGCGCCATATCCTTTGGGATTGTCAATGTGTTCCGTCTGCGCGCAGGCGTCAGATCAAACTGCTGAGAGAGTTTTGTAAGACGCACAGGAAGATAAACACCAAGACGCTCCGCGGTGACTTCGAATTCCGCGGTTGCGTATCCGTGGGCCTACGTGAGCGCGATGAGATCGAGGCAATCATCCTGAAAGCACAGATCGCACCAGGAAGCCGAGGACCATGCACAGATTCAGGATCGTCTGCAGCTGCACTTTCTTCAAAGTTGCAATGTCGACTGCCTACACAATAACAGATGAGCTCGCACGATAGATCATGACAACGACATTACACACTTGACTGTAATCTCGGAGCCAGTTCCTAGATGGGCCTTCCGAGTCAGCCTGGGACAGACAGGCAGAGCTAATCACGCACCCAAAATACACTCTCTTGACATCCAAGCCACCAAATTTCGATCCCTTGGAAAGTATGTTCGCCAGTGCGAACCCGCCGCCGCTGCCCCGTTTGACCAGCTCCGCAAGCGCGTCCTCCTGCACAGCGAATTTAGAGCGGGCTGACTGGAACAAACCCCGCGAGAGAGAGACGCACAATATCACCGTGCCGGAACGCCCGTCCTTCCATGTATGCAAAGCTGCATAGATGAGCGCCCGGGTGAGGAGTGCACGATCAAGTTGCTCACGAGGGAATGTTTCCCGCACCGAACGCATATACGCTACTCCCAGAAAGGCATACGAAGAACAGGACCAGGAGGAAGAGCCAGGTGACCCTCGATGGCATCTTGTGGATCGCAGGGATGATGTTGTTGTTGTTAGTGAGTGCGAGTGTTCGAGAATACTGCGCAGTTCTTATGCTCGACTACAGAGGGCTGTGTGACGTCGAAGGTGAATGTATGCACAGATATCGGCCGCTGTCAAAGAGAGGCCGTGCGACTGATCTTGAGTAACCTGGCCAGATTGCCAAGAATCACATCGATGGCTCACCTTCACCAGTTGATGTCGATGATGGTAGATGGAAAGTACTAGGTTCGTCCAGACTGCGAGGTGCGATAAACATATTTAGGGATGCCCTATGAGTTATTAACTCACCTGCTTGTGATATGAAGAGCGTTTGAGTAGAAGCGAGGCAGTGAAAGCCAGCGACTGAATTAACGCACGTGATTTTCTCGGCGCGTGACGTCATATACACACTGCCTTGCACTACTTGCACGTCTCTACAGCTCCCTTCCGAATCCGAGATAGCAACGATGTCCATTGTGAGAAAAATCGACAGGAAGGTTAAGCAGCACTCCGTAGACTAATATGATCTAGTCTATCTTTCGGGACGGCCGAGAAATCAAGGCCCAAAGGATGATCATTACAACCATCATCGAAATCAACCTGCATAAGCCTTCAGTTTGCATGATTTCGCTGGAGAAAGCGTAATTACACTGGCTGCAAGGCCTTGATGCCTGCTCGGGAGGAGATCGCTCCAGTCATGAAGGGGAAGATAGCACTACCCGCCTGACCCAACCCGGCAATGTAGCCGATGGAACCGGTGAGAAGCCATCCAGGGAGGACGCGCCCGGTGTGGTTCATAGTCAGGGGATAGATGGGTCCCAGGAGGACTCCAACAATAGAGACTGCGACGGCGTCGCCGATCAGAGATGGCACAAGCCATACGACTAGCTCAAGTCTTGTAATGTGAGTCAGATCAGAGACTAGACACACAGAGGAGAGATGACGACGCACGCGACGGCGAGAATGGAGTAGATGAAGATGACCCGTCTTTCTCCCACCTGAGCATCTCGTGAGCCGAAGCAAGCAGCCGAGAAGACGATGATAGAGTGGTGACCTTTTGATTCAACCACAACAGCCCAATCCGGCCAAGCATCAGACCACCGAAGAACCCGGCGGAGACGTAACCCGAAGACCTGCCTCCCCCTCTGACCTCGATGATGTACGTGACAATCCACCCGCCGATGGTGACCTCCACGCCGACATATATAAGGATAAAGGCCGCGATCAGGTGCACTGTTTTCATCGTCATGATTTGCCGGAACGTGCTGTGCTCGCTGGTGCCCGATTCGCCTGCGGCCTCGCCCACTGACGCAAGACATTCTTTTCGTAGGTGAATGGTCAGCGACGTCGGCGGTGCTGCGATGGAACAGTGAGCGCACCGTCTTGAGACTTGAACCGGAAGACGCAGACGAGCAAGATGGTGTTGATGACCGCAATGCCGAGCGAGCAGAGATAGTGGAACGACCAGTGCTGAAGGTGGGCGAACTGCGTCGCCACTAGCGGAGACGCCAGCGCGCCAGCCCCATACGCGCCGTGGAGTAAACCCATTTTGATTTCGGGGCTGTTCGTCAAGCTCGCGATGTAGCCATTGGCTTGGGCGTCCTTTCAAAGGATGAGCGAAAGAAAAATGGGGGCATGTAGAGCTTTCTACCTGGATCGCCATCCCTATTCCATTGATAGGAAAGGAGATCAGGAACGCGGGGAAGGGTGGTGCAGCGGACTGGATCGCATATGCGACGACCTGGAAGACGGAGCCTGGCACCCATCATCACTTGAGCCTTTATCATCGCATCGAATACTCTGCAGACAAACCAAGGGCGATCATCTGCGCGGTTGGACTTCAGCATAATGGAAGGGGAGAGTTAAAGGGACCAACCCACCTTGCCAAACCCTAAGCGGTCAGTCATAGGTACATTGACCAGTGCACCTCCCACAAAGCCCTGATGCGGAGATCAACGGAGAGTTACACCGGCCAGAGCAGACGCACAACACAGGCGCAAACGAAAATCAAGGAAACGACGGCGAAGCCAACCTAGATTAGTAAATCAGCGTCAGAGAGTGGATCTCAACAGCTGGGATACTGACATGGTACACTTGCTGAATTCGCGGAATTAAAGGCCCAGAGGAGCCTGGAGACAAAGTCCATTGAGCTGTTGCCGGAGAAACGCAAGCGTACCATCGTTCCACCCAGCGGCTACCATACTGCAGAGTTTCGGGTCAGCTGCTTATCTGGAAGGAGCATCCAATTCTCTTACCACCAATACAGGGCGAACAACTGGATGCGCTCACGCAGTACATGCTCTTTAGACCGGGGAGTGCTTTCCGCTCTCTCCGGAGCACTATCCGCCTGCTTGTGCACCTCCTCCATACCCACACTGTGATTGATCGTCTTGAGGTTCCCCTCGGCCGTCTGCGAGGGGATCGTGTGCAGCTCGATTGCAGAGGCCTGCGCGATCGATGACATGATGAAGCTGGTAACAAAGTTCAAGACGCGAGCGGTTATGAAACTCTTATATGGTCGTAATCATAAGCCCAGAGAGCACGGACAATCTCCAGAGCGGGGAAAGAGGGACGTGGATCTGACGTGGTCCATCGGCCCTGTGATCCGCACGGAAGAATTTCGGCGAAACTCGCCAAGCCATCGAAATTCGTTTGGTTTAACATGTTAGAAGCCTGAGATTCGTCGAAGGATCCAGAGTGTCATGAATATACTGGTTTTTGTCTCATTGTAAATGGTTGTGATATTTCTCGAGATAGGTATTTACTCGTGAAGGGCTCAGCAATCCAGTCATCTCAAACGCGCGCTTCCGAGATTTGAATCGAGCGAGTGGAGCCATTCGGTTGAAAGAGAAATTTCAGATGCCAGATGAAAGTATTCTCGTCTTTCTCCTTTGAGTGTGAGAAGAAAGAGGCTGGGTGCGCATGATAAAACACAACCGAGTCACTTATTTCTATCATGTAGGAACACATGACAGAAATCCCTGTAACTGAGCGGTATCCAATCCAAGTCGATGATGCCTTCCTTGTTCATGCGATTGGACTCGTTGAAAGTTGTAAGGTCAAGTTTCCTCGGCTTTATTTTGTGAACATGGCATCCCCGATTTGGAACGTGATGCTGTCACTGCAAAACGATCACGTCTTGCAACTCGGAGTTGGTTCTTCAGAATCGCAGCCACACTCAACGCCCCCAAGCTGCTGCGGATAGATGATAGCAAAACGGATACCATCCACTACTGTTCCTGCGGATTTCTTGCTCTCACGACGCACGTTCGAGCACACTGGGTTGCTGCTCTATGTTAGCCCGAGATTCAATACATCACTGGCTCTAGGGCGCTCCTGGGCGATTCTCTTTGTCGGTCCACCCTGATCGTTTTACTATGGCGCCTCCCTATAAGCGAGTGTGGCCTGAGGAGACAGTCGCGTTCCGAAGCGTGCTCACGGCAGTTTGCTTTCCATTCCATTCCTTCTTTGCGCCCATCTTTCCCCCTCGCTCGCTAGTACCATCAGTACACGGTCTTTAGAATTCTTGGCAATAAAATGCAACGGCTGTGCTCGAGACGGCCGACAACCAGCATTTCTATAATCTCAATCTGGGCCCCTACCTGTGCGGGTCAGTCTCAATGATACCGTACTGGCCGCCACGCACACCATCTCTGAGAGTGGAAACTTCGCAGGCTGGCCGCACAGACTTTCATGATGAGCTGTCTTACGCTTCAGATGTGGAAGTACTTCGAGGACCATGGCAACGACACGCGCAACATGAAGATCTTCGTGTCCATCCTCCGTTTCTTCATGAGCCTGTTCCAATCTGCGACCGATTGGTGCGTGACTACCCAGTTTCTCACGTCCTGAACGATTCAGCCTCTGATCTCGGTCTGCAGCCAACTGATGTACAACGCTTTCGTATCGAGCTACGGGGATATCCTCCATTGGAACAGATATGGGTGGACATTCACGTGCGCGGCGCTCGGTTCTCCGTCGATTTGCAAATGCTGATAGTTGTCCGGCTAGTTACGAGCCGGCTTGGACTGCCCTCATCGCTGCGCTGGCTCAAGGATTCTTCCTGCATCGATGCTGGATCGTGAGCAAGTCTATCGGTATTGGTCGTGGGCGGACTGGGAATCATGGTTTCACTCGCTGCGGGCATCGCCTCGACTGCGGGTCTCGTTGCTCGTCCATATTACACGTGAGTGGCGCTCGTCCCACGGAGCTCAGTGCTCGGCCGCTGAGCGATCGCTCAGGGAGACTTCAATTGTCATCGTCCAGGTCACGACATGGCTGATAGCCACTGCCAGTGCGATGTCCTTTCTCACTCCTTACCGTTTCTCAACTATCTCATGAGCAGTCCCCGATCTAGGCATTTCCATCGTTTTGATCACCCATCTGCGCAAGATGAAGACTGGTTTCAAGAAGTGAGCATACCCATGTCTTTTCCTTCCTTTCAGCTTATCCTGGGACAGGACGGCAAGACTTCGTTCTCCATCTCGCGATGCGCAAGATCTCCGATCCCTCCCCTTTCCCAGGAAAAGACGTTGTCCCGCGTGGTGCGGGTGACATTCGAGACAGCCTTGATCACTTCGCTCGTCGCCCTCGTTGATCTGCTGCTTTACGTAATCATGGGAAAGCGAAACAGCATCCATCTTGCGTTCCAGCTCGTCGTCGGCAAGACATACAACCATTCTATCATGGTCACCCTCTTGTCCCAAACTGTGCGGAAACATAGCTTTCCCCATGAGGATCTTCTCTCACATGCACTCAGCGGATCCGGAGCGAACTCGACTCCAATTCGCTGGGCCGGATGGCTGACTCTGGCTCTGGCCAGACGAAGCCCCATAAAATCAATACTGGTATCACGGTCACCAGGACCCAGATCCGGGTGGCCGATCACTTGGACTATTCCATGCACTCCATCAAGTCGATGTCACCCTCGGAACGTGGCGAGGAAGAGAGAGACGCCAATTCCGTCAAGGATCGGATCGCTTGACGCCGTCGAACATCGAGTCGGGCAAAGATACTGCTGCAGCGACTGTACACACTTTCAAGTCTACTACATTACCCTTACTTATATAACACCAACACGAGACTAGATGATCCCCGTCCAGGTCTCGATGAGATCGACGACACAGTACCCGTCAATCGGCACATACTGTTTGGTGATCATCTTAATCACCTCCTGTGCGACTAGTCCACCGAGGAATGCGGCCGTGTTTGGCAAGTCGGCGTCCGGAGAACGGGCGCTGCGTGTGACTTCAGCCGCAAAATAAAGAAAATCCACGGTTGACGACACACATTTCACCAACGGACAGAGCAAATTCTTCCGGCAGCTCGGTTCCAGGTGGTAACAAGGCCTGGGCCGCGGCAGTCAATGCGGCCTCTGATGGCTGCGATGTTCCGACAATGGCGAGAGCAGAAAGAGCCAGGTGTGTCGCAGCGGCCTTTGGCGAGGACTCGATGGCCGCAGCTACACAGTGGAAGAAATTCAGTGACGACAGATCGGATGCGATATCCTTCACTCACCCAGAGCGGCAGGGTCAGAATCCAAGCTTCCGTACTTCCTTCCACGCAGCAACTTGAGCCCGTGCGAGTTCTTCACGAAAGAATCAATGAGATCATCTTCCAGGGGCACCGTGAGGAAACTTTTGAACACCGCCTTCTCCTCTTCAGCCCGCTGTTTGTACAGCTTTTGCAAGTGGATATAGTTGGTCGTGTTGGCTTTCATGTCAGGGAGTGTACTGCTCAAAGGCAACGTATGTGGAGGTTGCTGCGTGAATTGCCGCAAGGCATCGAGGAGATGGAAGAAAGGAGGTGAGCTGGGACCAAGTGCGCTCAATTTCGGATCCTGGAATAGTGCGGAGATCTCCGACGGCACCCGAGTTTCCGTCCAACATCGGTAGGCTTGGGCCTCTGCTTCGTCAAAGTTCTCCTCGTCAAACTTGGTCTTCATGTCCTGCAGTGCCTCCTTGAACAGTTTCTTCTCGTCGTACGTCTGCGGTGCCTTGCCATCGTGCCCGGCCTTCCAATCTGCCAAAGCACGGACGAGGAGGACAACGTAAGGAATGTGAGAGTGTTCGGTGGGATCCATGTTCTGCAAGTCCAGGGAAGTCGCGTATTCTTGTAGAGTAGGAAACGCTTTGTCGATTCGTAATGACGGTGTTGTTTCCGAGTGGCTGTCGATGACTGTGTGCATACTAGGTGAATATACCAAGTTACGAATAACAAAAGGCGGAGCATACCTGTATGCTCGTGGAACTGGATTGTGAACTCAGCCAGAAAACCAGCCGAGTTAACGGCCACCAAGATCGGCAGAGTGTCGTCCTCCCAGAGCAGAGCTGAGAGGCGTTTCAGCAGCCTGGGCTCCAGATTGTGCGCGATCACAACAGTATACGGCGCAAAGTACCCGGGGTTCGTATCGAGGATGTCCTCCAAACGTGACTGGTCCGCTCTCCCTTCGACACCGTCATTGAGCTCGGAGAGCAGCCGAACAGCTTCCTCGGCACGGGACTTTCCGATGCTCTCGCTGCCCTCAAGAAAGAAGTTGTTTCCCGCATCGCGCGGGGAGACGGTCCGCGGATCGAGGATGGTGAAGTGTCCGATACCAGGGAGAACCAAGTTCTTGAGGATGGACGTCGAGGTCGCGGACCCGGATATGACTAGCAGACGCGAGTTTTCCAGCGCAGTTTGGCCGGAAGCAGCCCACAATCTGATCTCTATGTCAAAGAGAACAAAACGGGGGGATCCGAGCGGACCTCAGTTGCCGATCGTAGCGCCGCGTCTTCGCGTCAGGTTGTACTCTGAGAGATGATTCAAGCCCCGCGACACAGACAGAAGCGGAGATTACCGACTGTGCAGATGCCAAATCCATTGCCTCCGGAGCCATCGCGTTTGAATAGAAACAAAGAGTGAACACTGAAGTGGGCGTCGAGGCGAATGAGTAAAGCAGTGTGACGTGACCAGGTCGCGACCGTCACCCGATCAATCGACTGAGCGTTCCGCCAGAGCTATATTTTGATTCAAGGACTCTAACCCAGAAAATGCTCCCTCTATGAGACCTGCACTAATTAGATGGCGAACACTCACGCCGACTCGACTCTTGAGCACAGGTGAGCACTCGTTGCCTGAAACTTTCTTGCCTCTCATACTTGGATGTCCTAAGTCATCGAGAAAACTGTGTTGCCTCCCAACGAACTCTTAGCGCTTTGTATTGAAAACAACCAGCTCAACAGGGCAGAACGCATCCGAAAACGACTTGCCAAGCAGTCCCTTGCAATCATCCCGAACGCGCTCTACGAAGGCGCCGCGCTCGAACAAATCCGGTTCCACGGGAAACAGAGCGTGCGCGAATTCCTCGCGTGGATTCGTCTTGTCCCGGACAACCTGCAGCCCGAGTGCGTCCGCGATGTGCCACTCACGCGCACGCGGGATCTGCTTTTACACACAGGCGCCCCCGCGCGTAATCTGCACCTCATCACGCTCTTCTCTCTGGTCTGTGCCGAAAAGGGATATGGGGCGTTGGTATGGGATGATTTGGTGCGCTTGATGACGGGATACCAGCACCCTGACAAAGCCGTCTCGTTCTTCCTTGAGTACGAGAAAGCGTTGGTGGCCTATTATACCCGGTACCAACCCTCGAGGGCTGCAGAGATATCGAGGAAACAGAGGCATCTGTTAGTGCAGTTGTGCTGCGATGCGGGCTGGTTGGCAGAAGCTGCTGGCGTGGTGCGGGACAGTCCGGGGATGCGACTGACTCGCTCTTGTGAGCGGCTGGTTGGACTGTTGCAG